CATCAGCACAATCAGAATTGGAATCCTGTGGCAGTGCCTGTAAATTAATCATGTAATAATAAGGCATGAAAATAATGCTTCAACCTGGCTTTTGTGTCTGGGAATTATCAGTAGGAGCCATTTCTAATTTCTCAAAAGTTTTATAATGACAAAGATATACAGTTAATTGAATGTTTTATCCATAGTTTACCTACACAAGGCATCAATGTTGCAAAGCCCCATCCACAAGTAAGTATTAGGCATTGGACAATGTTTAATGCTGCAAGCTCCAGATGTCTATACATGGAGGTGATATATACATAAAGATATGTCTTCTTTAAAATAAATTACAAAATATATCCAACAGTAAGTATAAACATGTATCTATGTATCAAACAATAACTGGTAAGACTAACGAATTGGAATGTCTCGAAAACATCTAAAATGTCAAGTCAACATAGTGTCAACACTCCATAAACAAGTTGTCAACATGGTGTCAACACTTCATCTACAAGTTGTCAACATAGTGTCAACACTTCATCAACAAGTTGTCGACATAGTGTCAACACTTCATCAACAAGTTGTCAACATTATCAGCATTCCGTCAGCAAGTTGTCAACACTTCATCAACAAATTGTCAACATGGTGTCAACACTTCATCAACAAGTTGTCGACATAGTGTCAACACTTCATCAACAAGTTGTCAACATTATCAGCATTCCGTCAGCAAGTTGTCAACACTTCATCAACAAGTTGTCAACATGGTGTCAACACTTCATCAATAAGTTGTCAACATTGTCAACACTTCATCAACAAGTTGTCAACATTGTGTCAACACTTCATCGACAAGTTGTCAACATGGTGTCAAAACTTCATCAACAAGTTGTCAACATGGTGTCAACACTTCAACAAGTTGTCAACATGGTGTCAACACTTCATCAACAAGTTGTCAACATGGTGTCAACACTTCATCTACAAGTTGTCAACATAGTGTCAACACTTCATTGACAAGTTGTCAACATGGTGTCAACACTTCATCAACAAGTTGTCAACATAGTGTCAACACTTCATCTACAAGTTGTCAACATGGTGTCAACACTTCATCAACAAGTTGTCAACATTGTGTCCACATATTATCAGCAAGTTGTCAGCAACGTGTCAACTTGCACAACAAAGCTTCTTATATTCCAATGTCACAACTCGGAAACAGAAACTAATTTGAATATCTCACAGTGATTCTTCTGTAACTATTGGAGAGTTCCGGTACGTCGACCTTGCCCAAATCAACATTTGATAGGTTTGTTCTCACTTTGCCATGGGGCTCAGTAAGTGTTCACCTGTTATATCATAAATTGATCATTTATCAGTAATCTATGTATTTCACTTAAAAACAAAGGGACCACAGTATTCAAATTTCATATAAATATTGTATCTTTCCCAGTAAGTGTCAAAAACTGCATTCTGTAAATGTATTGTCCATATTACATAAGATAATACATATAATAACGCTTTAATAAAACTGAAATAATATTTCATTTTGTGAGCAAAATGAAGTAAATAATGAAAAATACTTTATTTATGTTACAGATACAATATGTCCACACAATTACACTCCCTGTGCCTGCAGCAGTCTTCACTAGAGTCTGGAATATGCTACAGTCTTAATCCCCATTGTTCTAGGGATTATCTGGGTCTGGGGATTTTCATATGAGAACAATACTTGCCGGCAAAGTGAGAACACACCAGAGAGACGGGCTGATATAGGCCAACAAAGTAAGCTCAAAATGATCAATTTGAGCAAAGACATAATAAAACACAAAAACCCTGAAACAATGACTTCATAGCATCACAGACAAGGGAATAGTAAACTCACACAATCATAACAATCAGTTTGTAATCATCGACTAGAATCATTTTGATATATTCCCTAAATTTCATAATGAAATGCTCCACACAAAAGTGTGGACAGGTCCATATGGTAGATGAAGGGGAGGTGGGTGGGTATATAGTTCAATGATAACACAATGCCACAACAACAAAAACAACAAAACCTTCAAGCCAAAATCACAACAACAAAACACAAAGTATGTAAATGACAGCAGCGAAAGGGCAAATAATTGTACAGCGCTGTGATAAGTTCGAATAATCTTGGGTAAATGTTATACATCACTGCTGAAAAGATGGACAACACATTTTTCAATAAGTGTATTCAGACACACAAAATTAAAATCAGACCTTTTACTCCATTGTGATAACTTTCTGCTTGAACATCTCACAAACCCTTCATGCCACTCCAAAACAAAAAGGTGTATAAAATATCCCAAACATAATTCAGCTTTATTATTTTCATTCAGAACTGTCCATTTGTGTTATATACCTAAACGCTTTGTTCGATTGGCTGATTAGAAAGCTCACCAAAAGGGATCTCCTACAGTCATGTCAGATCTTCATGCAGAAGGGGATCACATCGGAAGTAAGAGATTCCATGTTTAAGTGGTTTTTCCCCACATATCTTATCCTTGCCGGCCATTTCACCTTCACCTTAAGAAGAGTGTCACCATGCACAAAGAGTGGATGAGGGTGAAATCACCACCCGACCTGAGGGTGTAATGACACATTGAAACTCTAATGCACAGCAATACATGGCCTTCAATACCTTACCAGATACATACGGACATGTATCGCGATATACAACTATACAAATAACGCCTTTTTAACTTTCATAACAAAACATTATAACCTTAATTAATAAGGTTAATGAGCTTTAAAATCAGGTGTTTGGTGTCAATTTGGCTTCCCTATAACTATTTCTGATGGACTTGGAACAGTTCACAAGAATAAATAGTCTATTGCCATTTTCTCACTAATCTGAAACATATTTCATTTTATGGCCTTTGTGTTATCTGGCATATAGAGATACGTATGGTATCGTGGCCTTCCGTATTGCTGCACCCCTGGTTTAAATGCTGCCTCAAACAGTACTTCTGCCAGATCAAGGTGGACAGTTTTTGATTTGATAAAAACCGAAAGTGATCATGACTAAGACTAGATGGTTGTCACTTTGGTGGGCCCACATGCATGGGTAGGACACTGGACTACCACCTAACAGGGCTCTGCATCCAGCTTACTGCACCTCGGCATCTGGAATACCACCTAACAGGGCTCGGCATCCGACATAATGAAAGAAGGTTTGCACCCTCAACAGTGGCAGCTTATCAGTTCTGTGTCGCACATATCCATGATTAATCTCAGATGGCCACAAACGCAATGAAGGAGGAAGTTTGGTATTTTGTATCAAAATATCACAACCGTAATAATAAAACTATCCTTTGAGTTGCATTAAAGGTTTAATAATTATTATCATGATTATCAATGATTACCATTTACATTGCATATTGATTCCTTCCTCAACTACCAGAATGCCACTCAAAGACATGAACCTGCTGTTTTGGCGCCTTGACCACCAGACCATCATGGATGTCTGAAATCTCTAAACCAAAATGTATACTTGAGTTTAACAAATCCCAATAAGTCAAACAACAGTAAGGAAATAGTGGGGCCACAGTGCTTTCATTCTCGGATTTTCATATCCAATCAAATTATATATCATGATATATTGTATCTGTTTCATTTGCAAACAAACAAAATAGTTATAAAAGTAGTATACAAATATATAACATGTATAATGCACAGCTCAAAATGCTGACAACAAAGATAAACCATGCTATATTATTTACAGGCTAGCACAAGCACTTGTGTGTAAGAGTTATCTCCCCTACCATGCACACAAACTGTTCAAACCACATTAACAGAAGGTAGTGACAAGTCTTGGCAAATTATTTCTGAAGTAGGCATACTTCTTATGGGATCAAGCATGCCAGAGTTTCAACAGGGTCAGGATCACAGCTGGTAATTTGTAATTACCTACAACAAGGATGGTTACCATTTACAGAGCTCCAGATAGGCTTTTGGTGTTGTGGGTATTTTACCCATGCATTTTAAAACATTGGGTATCAGTAATTCTATCTGGGTATTCAAATTTCTGTTACCCACTAGTTTTTACACATGTGGGTATTTAAGTTAAATATTTAAAAACACTATTCATCTAGTCCCTGCAAACTGGTGTCGTGTAGGTTCGAGAGCTTTATAGGACTCAAAAATACCACGATACTTCCACAAGAAAGTGTGATGGCAAATGATCATGATGTAACTGTCATCGTGGAATTTGGCAAGGTTGATGGAATGCCCGTTTATAATTTCAAAATAAGTTGCTGATTTGCTAATCGAATACGCAGGGTTACTTCACAATATTTCGATGATATGCACAAGTTTTATTTTTGTAGCGTATCTGTAATGTTCGTTGCGTATTTGATATGCTTGGATTTGATTTTACTGCGTATTTCTGCATTTCAGATGCGTATTTTACGCAGATACGCAGCTTATCTGGAGCTCTGCATTTATCATCATGATCATAATACTACAGCTTCAAGGTGAAATCACCCCAATTTACAAGTTAAAGGAATGTACATGTAAAAATGTCCTTTTGTATAAATAGTATATTTGTAGACATTCTAAACAATGACTGTTGATAAGCCAGATTAATGGGTCTAACTGTACAACCAAGACGAGAATCCTGGTGCACATAAATAACAACCCTGACTGCTGTTTGATTATAGATGTTGTTGGCTTCTCATGCTGAGAAGGGACATACTTCTGACTAACTGTGTATGAGACTAGAGTTGGGACTGACATCAATGAATACAGTCTTGGTGAGGATGTTGTGTATAAACACATATACATGGGTTCTTATCGTGAACATGATATAACAAGGCATACTGTTTGCACCAAGCATTTGATATTTACAGTGTATATGTGTGTACAGTGTGTTTGTGTGTGTAAGTCTGTGTATTAACAGTGTGTGTGTGCATGTATATACAGTGTGTGTGTGTGTGTGTGTGTGTGTGTGTGTGTGTGTTTGTCTCTGTGTTAGTGATTCTTCAGCTGCATTGGGAAGCATGGCAGTAGTCTCACAAGATACCAGGAGTCAGGGAGTCATCCCCTCCTCCCAAAATAAAAGACACACTAGGTCCCTCCAGTCACACTAGGTTCCAGGAGTCACACTAGGTCCCTCCAGTCACACTAGGTTCCAGGAGTCACACTAGGTTCCAGGAGTCACACTAGGTCCCTCCAGTCACACTAGGTTCCAGCAGTCACACTAGGTCCCTCCAGTCACACTAGGTTCCAGGAGTCACACTAGGTCCCAGGAGACACACTAGGTCCCTCCAGTCACACTAGGTTCCAGGAGTCACACTAGGTTCCAGGAGTCACACTAAGTCCCAGGAGTCACACTAGGTTCCAGGAGACACACTAGGTTCCTCGAGTCACACTAGGTTCCAGGAGTCACACTAGGTTCCGGGAGTCACACTAGGTCCCTCCAGTCACACTAGGTTCCAGGAGACACACTAGGTTCCTCGAGTCACACTAGGTTCCAGGAGTCACACTAGGTTCCAGGAGTCACACTAGGTCCCAGGAGTCACACTAGGTTCCAGGAGTCACACTAGGTCCCAGGTGTCACACTAGGTCCCAGGAGTCACACTAGATCCCAGGAGTCACACTAGGTTCCAGGAGTCACACTAGGTCCCAGGAGTCACACTAGGTCCCAGGTGTCACACTAGGTCCCAGGAGTCACACTAGGTCCCAGGAGTCACACTAGGTCCCTCCAGTCACACTAGGTTCCAGGAGTCACACTAGGTCCCAGGTGTCACACTAGGTCCCAGGAGTCACACTAGGTCCCAGGAGTCACACTAGGTTCCAGAAGTCACACTAGGTTCCAGGTGTCACACTAGGTCCCAGGAGTCACACTAGGTTCCAGGAGTCACACTAGGTTCCAGGAGTCACACTAGGTTCCAGGAGTCACACTAGGTCCCAGGAGTCACACTAGGTCCCAGGTGTCACACTAGGTTCCAGGAGTCACACTAGGTTCCAGGAGTCACACTAGGTTCCAGGAGTCACACTAGGTCCCAGGAGTCACACTAGGTCCCAGGTGTCACACTAGGTTCCAGGAGTCACACTAGGTCCCAGGAGTCACACTAGGTTCCAGGAGTCACACTAGGTTCCAGGAGACACACTAGGTCCCTCCAGTCACACTAGGTTCCAGGAGTCACACTAGGTTCCAGGAGTCACACTAGGTTCCAGGAGTCACACTAGGTTCCAGGAGTCACACTAGGTCCCAGGAGTCACACTAGGTTCCAGGAGTCACACTAGGTCCCAGGAGTCACACTAGGTTCCAGGAGTCACACTAGGTTCCAGGTGTCACACTTGGTCCCAGGAGTCACACTAGGTTCCAGGAGTCACACTAGGTTTGAGGAGTCACACTAGGTCCCTCCAGTCACACTAGGTCCCAGGAGTCACACTAGGGTCCAGGAGTCACACTTGGGTCCAGGAGTCACACTAGGTAGCTTTAGTCCCACTTGACTGACCACTGCCATGCTGTGAGTCCTGCTGTAGATGAATACAATTAGTAGAGGATCATGCCATTGTCCAGCTCCTTCTCCCCCGCCCGTTTGTAGCTGCAGGACAACTTCTGGCCGGACACCAACAGGATGACGTTACTGGCAATGAAGGACAAGACTGCTCCGACCACAAAATAGAACGAGTAGTCCAAACTTGTGCGGTCTTTCGAAACCCAGCCAACTTCCACATCATCTTTAGGTAACACATTAGAGGACAAATCTTTGGTGAACAAACCGACGAAGAGAAGTGCCCCTAGTAATGAGAAGGTGCCTGCAACAGAAAGGAACAGTTATTAATATCTACATCAGTATCGCCAACAGAAAGGACCAGCAGAGCTCCAGATAAGCTTGTGGTGTTGTGGGTATTTTACCCATGCATTTTAAAATCATTGGGTATCAGTAATTCTATCTGGGTATTCAAATTTCTGTTACCCACTAGTTTTTACACATGTGGGTATTTAAGTTAAATATTTAAAAACACTATTCATCTAGTCCCTGCAAACTGGTGTCGTGTAGGTTCGAGAGCTTTATAGGACTCAAAAACACCCCGATACTTCCACAAGAAAGTGTGATGGCAAATGATCATGATGTAACTGTCATCGTGGAGTTTGGCAAGGTTGACGGGATGCCTGTTTATAATTTCAAAATATGTTCCTCATTTGCTAATCGAATACGCAGGGTTACTTCACAATATTTTGATGATACGCACAAGTTTTATTTTTGTAGCGTATCTGTAATGTTCGTTGCGTATTTGATACACTTGGATTTTATTTTACTGAGTATTTCTGCATTTCTGATGCGTATTTTACACAGATACGCAGCTTATCTGGAGCTCTGGACCAGTTATTAATATCTACATCAATATCGCCAACAGAAAGGACCAATCATTGATATCTACATCAGTATCACCAACAGAAAGGACCAGTTATTAATATCTACATCAATATCGCCAACAGAAAGGACCAATCATTGATATCTACATCAGTATCACCAACAGAAAGGACCAGTTATTAATATCTACATCAATATCGCCAACAGAAAGGACCAATCATTGATATCTACATCAGTATCACCAACAGAAAGGACCAGTTATTAATATCTACATCAATATCGCCAACAGAAAGGACCAATCATTGATATCTACATCAGTATCACCAACAGAAAGGACCAGTTATTAATATCTACATCAATATCGCCAACAGAAAGGACCAATCATTGATATCTACATCAGTATCACCAACAGAAAGGACCAGTTATTAATATCTACATCAATATCGCCAACAGAAAGGACCAATCATCTACATCAGGTTCTTTAACTGTATGGACCAATCATTATCATCACCATCAGCATCGAATGTGTGGACAAGAGGTGTGTCATATTAGTGGTGTACCACAATATTAAATGCTAATAAACATGATAAATATGTATCGCAATGCGTTTGGAAAATACTGGTATCTTGCAATTTTCAAAATCCTGCATATTTTCATCTTGTTGGCAAAATTTATATAAGTGACAAGTCGAAATGAAATTATGAAATCCACAAGTTAGCCACTTGATTCCTGCGATTGAAAAATGAAACTCTTCACGACCAGCTTCCTGTATATGATAATGTTTACATTGCAAAGAAATATTCATTTGAGAGACCTGAAGCATGTTAGACCCGTGAAGATTCCGGGGTAGAATAGGTCTTCAGCAACCCATGCTTGCCGTAAAAGGTGACTATGCTTGTCGTAAAAGGCGACTAACGGGATCGGGTGGTCAGGCTCGCTGACTTGGTTGATGCATGTCATCGATCCCAATTGCGTGGATCGATGCTCATGATATTAATCACTGGATTTTCTGGTCCAGACTCGATTATTTTACAGACAGCCGTCATATAGCTGGAATATTGCTGAGTGCGGCGTTAAACAACAAACCAACAAACCAAGCATGTTAAGTGGTCCAAAAGCAAATGTCAGACCAAGTCAAACTCTTAAATACTGACAAAAATAGGAACTGGCACTGAATCTCACTACTATCTGAACAAACACAAAATTTTATTCAACTTTGAACAAAAGTGGTTGAGTTGTGTGGCCAGGATTTACCAGACACAAATTCCTATAAAAACTGAAAGCATCCACTGGGTTGCAGAAAATTGGTGTCCATGTTTCGGGATGAATGCTACTATTTCATAATTTGGTACCACTTAAAATTAATTTCCATACAAAGCATTTAAAATACACCCTACATAGTGAAATGTTTGATGATCTTCTATTAGGTCTAGCGCTAGAAGTTATGGATTCACTTCACTGGGGAATTCCATATCTATTGTTAAACAATGCCTCAATGATCTATTAGGTCTGGCGCTAGAAGTTATGGATTCACTTCGGTGGGGAGTTCCATATCTATTGTTAAACAATGCCTCAATGATCTTCTGTTAGGTCTGGCGCTAGAAGTTATGGATTCACTTCGGTGGGGAGTTCCATATCTATTGTTAAACAATGCCTCAATGATCTTCTGTTAGGTCTGGCGCTAGAAGTTATGGATTCACTTCGGTGGGGAGTTCCATATCTATTGTTAAACAATGCCTCAATGATCTTCTGTTAGGTCTGGCGCTAGAAGTTATGGATTCACTTCGGTGGGGAGTTCCATATCTATTGTTAAACAATGCCTCAATGATCTTCTGTTAGGTCTGGCGCTAGAAGTTATGGATTCACTTCGGTGGGGAGTTCCATATCTATTGTTAAACAATGCCTCAATGATCTTCTGTTAGGTCTGGCGCTAGAAGTTATGGATTCACTTCGGTGGGGAGATCCATATCTATTGTTAAACAATGCCTCAATGATCTTCTGTTAGGTCTAGCGCTAGAAGTTATGGATTCACTTCGGTGGGGAGTTCCATATCTATTGTTAAACAATGCCCCAATGATCTTCTGTTAGGTCTGGCGCTAGAAGTTATGGATTCACTTCGGTGGGGAGTTCCATATCTATTGTTAAACAATGCCTCAATGATCTTCTGTTAGGTCTGGCGCTAGAAGTTATGGATTCACTTCGGTGGGGAGTTCCATATCTATTGTTAAACAATGCCTCAATGATCTATTAGGTCTGGCGCTAGAAGTTATGGATTCACTTCGGTGGGGAGTTCCATATCTATTGTTAAACAATGCCTCAATGATCTATTAGGTCTGGCGCTAGAAGTTATGGATTCACTTCGGCGGGGAGTTCCATATCTATTGTTAAACAATGCCTCAATGATCTTCTGTTAGGTCTGGCGCTAGAAGTTATGGATTCACTTCGGTGGGGAGTTCCATATCTATTGTTAAACAATGCCTCAATGATCTATTAGGTCTGGCGCTAGAAGTTATGGATTCACTTCGGTGGGGAGTTCCATATCTATTGTTAAACAATGCCTCAATGATCTTCTGTTAGGTCTGGCGCTAGAAGTTATGGATTCACTTCGGTGGGGAGTTCCATATCTATTGTTAAACAATGCCTCAATGATCTATTAGGTCTAGCGCTAGAAGTTATGGATTCACTTCGGTGGGGAGTTCCATATCTATTGTTAAACAATGCCTCAATGATCTTCTGTTAGGTCTGGCGCTAGAAGTTATGGATTCACTTCGGTGGGGAGTTCCATATCTATTGTTAAACAATGCCTCAATGATCTTCTGTTAGGTCTGGCGCTAGAAGTTATGGATTCACTTCGGTGGGGAGTTCCATATCTATTGTTAAACAATGCCTCAATGATCTTCTGTTAGGTCTGGCGCTAGAAGTTATGGATTCACTTCGGTGGGGAGTTCCATATCTATTGTTAAACAATGCCTCAATGATCTATTAGGTCTGGCGCTAGAAGTTATGGATTCACTTCGGTGGGGAGTTCCATATCTATTGTTAAACAATGCCTCAATGATCTTCTGTTAGGTCTGGCGCTAGAAGTTATGGATTCACTTCGGTGGGGAGTTCCATATCTATTGTTAAACAATGCCTCAATGATCTTCTGTTAGGTCTGGCGCTAGAAGTTATGGATTCACTTCGGTGGGGAGTTCCATATCTATTGTTAAACAATGCCTCAATGATCTATTAGGTCTGGCGCTAGAAGTTATGGATTCACTTCGGTGGGGAGTTCCATATCTATTGTTAAACAATGCCTCAATGATCTTCTGTTAGGTCTGGCGCTAGAAGTTATGGATTCACTTCGGTGGGGAGTTCCATATCTATTGTTAAACAATGCCTCAATGATCTTCTGTTAGGTCTGGCGCTAGAAGTTATGGATTCACTTCGGTGGGGAGTTCCATATCTATTGTTAAACAATGCCTCAATGATCTTCTGTTAGGTCTAGCGCTAGAAGTTATGGATTCACTTCGGTGGGGAGTTCCATATCTATTGTTAAACAATGCCTCTGAACGAAATCTTACATGACAAATTAATGTTTCTGAAAAATATGTACAAACATGACAAAGGAGAAAATTGCTGTGAAAAAAAGGCTAATTTGGACTTCGTTTCATCATTTCTCTCCAAATTTGACCCCATATTTTTTTCTTTCTAACTTTTTTTCAAGTAATTTGTTTACTGGTGTATTTATCAATAACTAACTAAAGTTTTATTATTTTAATAAATAACACAAGTACGCATTATGGGGGACCCATCTAGCATACATCATGTACATGTTACGTCCTCTGCTGGTCACTGGTGGAGTACTGTAGTTAATCTTGGATATCTCTGGCTTCGAGTCCCCTGGGCCTCCCAAAGTAAATAACCCATGTTAATCCCTGGTATAGTGACAAGGCCTGTTGTTACTGGCCCTAAACATGCTAGGCTGATTGGAATTAGCGTGACCTGCCTCCTTAAACATTGATCAAGTGTGAGCCACGCCCTCACTGGCTTCAACAGGACTGCTATCAGTTACTCACATGCCTGAGATAGGGGTTCAGAGAAGGTAATCTCATACGTTCCTTGTTCCTTATGTTGACCACGCCAGACACTAAGCTTGGTGTTACTTCGAGATTGTCCTACTTCCCGGTGGCTACTGACACAGCTTTATCTTGCAACCACCCACTCTACCTCTCTACAGCAGGCTCACCTACGTTACACCTCACTTTCATCTTTACATCACACAGTTTCACCTACATAACATCACAGTTTATATGTACATAAGTTCCACCAATCTAACATCACAATTTCACCTTTATAACATAATTTTCACCCATATAACATCACAGTTTCACCTACAAAACATCATTTTCACCTATACAACATCACAGTTTTGCCTACATAACATTACAGTTTCACCTACATAACATCATTTTCACCTACATAACATCAGTTTCACTTACATAACATCACAGTTTCACTTACATAACATCACAGTTTCACCTCCATAACATCAGTTTCACTTATAAAACATCATAGATTCACCTATATAACATCAGTTTCACCTATATAACATTAGTTTCACCTATATATACATAACATCACAATTTCACCAATATAACATCAGTTTCACCTACCGTTTCATAAGCATATCTGATACAGCATCAGTTTCACCTACTATACGGGGCGGTCATGTACCCTAGTGGTTAAAACGTTAGCTCGTCACGCCGAAGACTCGGGTTCGATTCCTGACATGGGTACAATATGTGAAGTCCATTCTGTTGTCCCCCGCCGTGTTATTGCTGTAATATTGCTAAAAGCAGCGTAAAACCATACTCACTCACCTACTATACAGCATCAGTTTCTTGTGAGGGAGGGAGTGAGTTGGGTTTAACGCCGCTTTTAACAGTATTCCAGTTATATCGTGGCATGTCAGCTTAATGTGGGAGGAAAGCCCAAAGTGATGCAGGTCTCAGACGTTTACCACTTCGGTGAAACCCATGAACACTGGTATTGTGCTGACATACCTAGAAACATAATCAGGGCGAACCGTGATTCGAACCCACAATCATAGGTTTCTGGCGTGCCCAAGGGACATAATTCTGCACAGCGAATCGCGGCGCCTTAGACAACCAGTCTCTAGTAGTCATTATTGTAAGGTTTTCATGAAAATACATCGCCTGCTGCATTTTATTACAAAGAAAATGAAATCGGTAAACCTTCCCATCGCAAGCAAAAAAAAGCACTAACAAGGCGAATAGTGAGCAGGGCTTGACTTCAATTCCAACATATTTAAAAAACATAAAAAAATATATATATATTTTTTCAGAAAATACACACACTAAAATACCACTCTGCACGGCATCTCTCCTATTAGTACAGAAAGTGTCCCTTAGGTTTGAAAATCTGAATCCATGATGTAGACCTCAAGTTATAGGTCACACAAACGTTGCAGTAAAACGAACATTGTAAGCATGGTAAGTTCAAAACATGTAAATTTCATATTTTCTAACACAAAATCCACATATCAAAATCAAACTTTGCACTACACCTCTTCTGTTAGTATGGAAAATGTTCTCTAACTTTGAAAAGAATCCATGTAATAGTTTTTAAGTTACAGGTCACACTAATCTTTAAGTAAATAGATTCTATTGCGAAATAAAAAAATGATAAAAAGCTGTATTTTTTCTGAAAAATTCAAATATTAAAATCAAACTTTGCACTGCACCTCTCCTATTGTTATAAAAAGTGTTCAACAAGTTTGAAAAGAATCTACGCAGTTTTCAAGTGATAGGTCGCACACAAAAAATGTTCTCAGAAGGACAGTTGGTATATATTCCATGGTATAAGTATATATCCCCGGCCTATAATTGCCGTAATCTGACAGTCAGCTTTATCTGACAATAACGATGGGAACCAATTAAATCAGTGCTATTTAGACCCGTTAATCCAGCCAAAATTACTCATTAATCAGTCTCATTTATCCGACACAGTGATCAGCTTATTCCGTGGTCATCTTCTCGCAAGTACACAGCCCCGTTTTGATGCGAGACGAGTAGGCAAGTGGCTGCATATTGCAATGGCTGCAGAGATAAACTTGCTTTACAATAAACACTGTGCTTGCTACCGCTACACAAAGATCTGAGGTCATCCCAAAATAGGTCATGTCAGAATGACCTTTCGCAAACTCTGTTCGACCGATGAAATGACTAACATGACTAACAGGAAGTCGACATTAGCCAATAAGAAAACAGCTTTCTCAAGCTTCATGGCACTATTTTGAAACTGACGACTCCCGACTACGCTTTGAAAAGTATTTTTAATCGTACAACCCCAAAATGTTGTACGGAATATCCTGTGTTAACTTTTTTGAGCTCACATGATTAGAAAACACATTCCGCTAACAATATAATATGAACATTTTCATTCTAATTCCTTTATAACCACATACATATATAGTTGTTAAATATCGTGCAGTTGTGTCATTTTTTATCACAAATGTTTATAATACTAATTTGTTTATCCGACATACTCGTTAATTGACATAATCTTATCCAACCAACCAAGGAAATCAGCAAGCATTTGGAGTGAGTGAGTTTAATCTAATACAGATTTGAACAGTATTTGAGTCATATCGCGGCGTGTCCACTTGATGTGGGAGAAAGCCTGAAGTGATGCAGGTCTCAGACCTTTACCACTTTGATGAAAACCTGAGGATGGGTCTGGCCCTGACAAACTTAGAAACATAATCAGTGACAATGTTTTTTGTTTAACACCGCACTCAGCAATATTCCAGCTATATGACGGCGGTCTGTAAATAATCAATCTGGACCACAATCCAATGATTGACATCATGAGCATTGATCTATGCAATTGAGATATGATGACATGCATCAACCAAGTCAGCGAGCCTGACCACCCGATCCTGTTAGTCGCCTCTTACAACAAGCTTAGTCGCCTTTTACAGCAAGCATGGGTTGCTGAAGACCTATTCTAACATTGTCACACCATGCCCACTAGAGATGAACATCATCATCAATCTTGCGATACGATATGTGTCACGATAAAGACTGATGATACCACTGGTATCGAGATACACCACAACAAATAGTAAGAAATGATGAAATCGCTGAAATCATACTTCATAACCTCTGGCTTCTACATAACTGCTCGACACAATCTGTATACAACCTTCTTCTGAGGAGTTTTCCACCATGTTTACAGGAGGCGATGCTAATGTCGCTGTAAGGGCGGTAACTCCCATCAGTTCCTGTGCTATATATGGCACATCGCGATCTCACAAACTGATGATTCAAGTATTATCTGTACCTAAGTATCGATGGCATCATAGGTATCAGTGAATCATTACAGCCCTGATGCCCACTGTTAACAATGGTAAACATCTGGATACAATCGGCATGAACAAGGCACAGGAAACGGCAGCCGGTACTTAAACAATGTTAAAGACTGGTGACCTTGGACAGTGAGCTAATAATTTACATTTATGATAAAACATAATAAAACTGAAACAAACTAAACATATTTGGCTGCATGATTTGTTTCTGAAGAAATGTTTTATTTTACTTAAATTGTCTGAGTCACTTACATGCCAGTCCATTCCAAAGATACAGTCCTGCTGGGCCGGTGATGGTCTCGATGGGTTTGCCGACAACGTTGAAAGCGGTGAAGCCGAGGGATACCAAACCCCAGACTATGCCCAAGGCAAGCATAACGATGGTGGACACCCACAGACCAAAGTTAAATAAACCATATTCGATGAGATCCTTCACTGAAACCAAGAGAACCAGGTGAGCTACAAACATTGTGGAAGGTGAGCTTCAGATGATCACAATCTTACTGGCATCACAAACATCTTAAACATCTTCAGTCAGTCATTGCTAATTCTCAGAAGCCAAACAACTATTTTGATAAGCAGGGGCTTTTTAGAACCACATTTCTTTGAACATATTAACACAACAGATGCCAATTCAATCTTATACATTATACATATATATAATAATTTATACATACATATGTTAAAAGTTAATGAATCCGAACACAGCTTGTGGTCATTAATTAAGAAATTATGCAAGAGTCTTATGTCATGAATTTGGGGGGGACGGGACTGAATACACATTTGTGTTACAGGGAGAGGGGTGGGGGAGGGGGGGAAGAGATGGAGTGGGGAGGTTCCTCAAGCCCCATCGTAGATTGCTTTGGTATACAAATTTACAGTAGCGTCATCTCCATCAGAGCATAAATGTAAAGTTTTATTTACCACCAGTAATGCTTTCACAATCAATAATCTTGCCAAGTTTACATTCTTTGCTCTTAAAATGAGGAGCAAGCAGTTGTCCATTATATAAACTACTAATTCTACCATCATATGTATATGGTCTCAGATACCCTTGTACTGATTAGTATCGATATTACTACATGCACTTGTGGTGCAACATGTTTGAATGCTTGAATATATATTGTAAAATGGGCCTGTGGCCTGATTGACTGAAATAAACCACTACTACTACTACTAGTAGCGTCAATGACATGTTAATGTTATGTACAAATTATGTAGAAATTTCTATCTATTGCATTCCTGAAATAGAAAGAGGTACTTGGTCAGTTGTAGACAAGCCATGTCCTTGAGAAATAATCCTGCAGCTGCTACAGCAAGTCAAAGAGTCTCTGGTGTGTGCTATGCAGGAAATATGCTGCAGCATAGTCTGATATTGACATGACCTCTCTGTCTGTGGCACGGTCTCCTGATTGTTGACTGTGTATATTTGCTCAGAGGCTTTCATATGGTGATATCTCAAATAATATTTAATCAATCCCTAACATATTAAATCCTGAAACGACATTTTTCCTCACACCATTTAATCCAAACATTAATCGGAAAAGATTTAGATCAAGTCAGGTTCTTATTGTTTAACTGACATCAGAGTTGTGGCAACAATTGAATTTTCCCCTGTATACAGGCTGTTGTCTGTGGTCAGGTGGTATGTCGACTCACCCTGTTGTCTGTGGTCAGGTGGTATGTCGACTCACCCTGTTGTCTGTGGTCAGGTGGTATGTCGACTCACCCTGTTGTCTGTAGTCAGGTGGTATATCGACTCACCCTGTTGTCTGTGGTCAGGTGGTATGTCGACTCACCCTGTTGTCTGTAGTCAGGTGGTATGTCCACTCACCCTGTTGTCTGTGGTCAGGTGGTATGTCGACTCACCATGTTGTCTGTGGTCAGGTGGTATGTCGACTCACCATGTTGTCTGTGGTCAGGTGGTATGTCGACTCACCATGTTGTCTGTGGTCAGGTGGTATGTCGACTCACCATGTTGTCTGTGGTCAGGTGGTATGTCGACTCACCATGTTGTCTGTGGTCAGGTGGTATGTCGACTCACCATGTTGTCTGTGGTCAGGTGGTATGTCGACTCACCATGTTGTCTGTGGTCAGGTGGTATGTCGACTCACCCTGTTGTCTGTGGTCAGGTGGTGTGTCAACTCACCCTGTTGTCTGTGGTCAGGTGGTATATCAACTCACCCTTGTTGACTGTAGTCAGGTGGTATGTCGACTCACCATGTTGTCTGTAGTCAGGTAGTATGTCAACTCACCCTGTTGTCTGTAGTCAGGTGGTATGTCAACTCACCCTGTTGTCTGTAGTCAGGTGGTATGTCAACTCACCCTGTTGTCTGTAGTCAGGTGGTGTGTCAACTCACCATGTTGTCTGTAGTCAGGTGGTATATCGACTCACCATGTTGTCTGTAGTCAGGTGGTATATTGACTCACCCTGCTGACTGTAGTCAGGTGGTATGTCAACTCACCCTGCTGACTGTAGTCAGATGGTCAAGTCAAGTATATTCATTAGAGACAGTTAAATCAGGTACGGCCGTTACAGGTGGGTATGTCAAGTAGGGCTGTCATGAAAAGGTATGTCAGGTAGGGTCATTATATTTATAGGTAGGAATGTCAGGTAGATTCATTATATTAATAGGTATTGTCAGGCAGGGTAATCATATTCATAGGTAGGAATGTCAGGCAGGGTAATCATATTCATAGGTAGGAATGTCAGGCAGGGTAATCATATTCATAGGTAGGAATGTCAGGCAGGGTAATCATATTCATAGGTAGGAATGTCAGGCAGGGTAATCATATTCATAGGTAGGAATGTCAGGCAGGGTAATCATATTCATAGGTAGGAATGTCAGGCAGGGTAATCATATTCATAGGTAGGAATGTCAGGCAGGGTAATTATATTCATAGGTAGGAATGTCAGGCAGGGTAATCATATTCATAGGTAGGAATGTCAGGCAGGGTAATTATATTCATAGGTAGGAATGTCAGGCAGGGTTATCATATTCATAGGTAGGAATGTCAGGCAGGGTAATCATATTCATAGGTAGGAATGTCAGGCAGGGTAATCATATTCATAGGTAGGAATGTCAGGCAGGGTAATCATACTTATAGGTAGGAATGTCAGGCAGGGTCATTATATTAATAGTAGGAATGTCAGGCAGGGTAATCATATTCATAGGTAGGAATGTCAGGTAGATTCATTATATTAATAGGTAGGAATGTCAGGCAGGGTAATCATATTCATAGGTAGGAATGTCAGGCAGGGTAACCATATTCATAGGTAGGAATGTCAGGCAGGGTAATCATATTCATAGGTAGGAATGTCAGGCAGGGTAATCATATTCATAGGTAGGAATGTCAGGCAGGGTAATCATATTCATAGGTAGGAATGTCAGGCAGGGTAATCATATTCATAGGTAGGAATGTCAGGCAGGGTTGTTAAAGTTGATATGTAAGGAGAAGGTGTTGCAGGTAGGTATATTGGGTAGTAGGTATTTGGAGTGGGTTGAGAAAATATTACCAGTGCCATTAGTCTTGTTGATGTTGACAAATTTGACAACACGCTTGATATAATCTGCTCGCTTCGCTGAGTCAGAACTGTTTGACCAGGCGCACACCCCATCTGACCCACTACACACAACTGAGAAAAACAAACAACATGCAGACACAATGCTATCTTCTCCTGTCTCGGGATCAACTGAACATGCCCAACACTGGCATCACTCCCCTCCATCCTACTCTACCTTACCACCACACTCCTACCATATCAGCACCCCTTCCTACTCTACCTTACCACCACACTCCTACCATATCAGCACCCCTTCCTACTCTACCTTACCACCACACTCCTACCATATCAGCACCCCTTCCTACTCTACCTTACCACCACACTCCTACCATATCAGCACCTCTTCCTACTCTACCTTACCACCACACTCCTACCATATCAGCACCCCTTCCTACTCTACCACCATATCTCCCCACCCCCTCCCACCATATCACAACCCCCTCTTACTCTACCATATCACCAGCACTCTTACTCTACCATATGGCCACCCCTCTTACTCTACCACCCTAGGACCCTACAATAGATGTCGATAATTGAAGTAAAACATCTGATTCATTGAAATAGGAGAAAACAGCATTGTGTTGAAAAATCACACAGAAGAGAGTTGATACTGTAGTCAAGAAAAGGCAAAGACTCATGAAGATTTTTGTACAGCTGCATAAGCCACTGTTACACTGAATGTGTTGGATGAACACAGTATCATTGAGGATCGTACTTTGACAGTGAGCATGATCTACCACACTGGATGTGCACCAAACCCATGAAACAGTGTTGACTCAGGATGGAATTGATCTTCAGCAACCCATGCTTGCCGTAAAAGGCAACTGTGCTTATGCTAAAAGGTGACTAATGGGATCGGCTGGTCAGGCTCGCTGACTTGGTTGATGCATGTCATCATATCCCATTTGCATGGATCGATGCTCATGCTGTCAATCACTGGACTACCTGGTCCAGATTTGATTATTTACAGACCGCTGTCATATAGCTGGAATATTGCTGAGTGTGGCGCCAAATGCCAAACAAAAGTGGATGTGTACAAATTGTTGCACTGCTGCAGTATGCTTGTTCTACCACACTGGAATGTACTGTGTTGAACAGTGTCATATACAGTGATGCAGAGTGTCGCATACAGTGATGCACAGTGTTGCATATAGTGTTGAACAGTGTCACGTATAGTGTTGAACAGTGTTGCATACAGTGTTGCACAGTGTCGCGTACAGTGCTGAACAGTGTTGTATACAGTGTTGCACAGTGTCGCGTACAGTGTTGAACAGTGTTGCATACAGTGTTGCACAGTGTCGCGTACAGTGCTGAACAGTGTTGTATACAGTGTTGAACAGTGTCACGTATAGTGTTGAACAGTGTTGCATATGGTGTTGATCAGTGTTGTATACAGTGTTGAAAAGTGTCACATATAGTGTTGAACAGTGTCGCATATAGTGTTGAACAGTGTTGCATATAGAGTTGATCAGTGTTGTATACAGTGTTGAAAAGTGTCACATATAGTGTTGAACAGTGTCGCATACAGTGCTGAACAGTGTTGTATACAGTGTTGAACAGTGTCGCATATAGTGTTGATCAGTGTTGTATACAGTGTTGAAAAGTGTCACATATAGTGTTGAACAGTGTCGCATATAGTGTTGAACAGTGTCACATATAGTGTTGAACAGTATTGTATACAGTGTTGCACAGTGTCGCATACAGTGCTGAACAGTGTTGTATACAGTGTTGAACAGTGTTGTATATAGTGTTGAACAGTGTCGCAAATAGTGTTGAACAGTGTCACATATAGTGTTGAACAGTATTGTATACAGTGTTGAACAGTGTCGCATATAGTGTTGAACAGTGTCGCATATAGAGTTGAACAGTGTCACGTATAGTGTTGAACAGTGTCACGTATAGTGTTGAACAGTGTCGCATATAGTGTTGAACAGTATTGTATACAGTGTTGAACAGTGTCGCATATAGTGTTGAACAGTGTCGCATATAGTGTTAAACAGTGTCACGCATAGTGTTGAACAGTGTCGCATATAGTGTTGAACAGTGTCGTATACAGTGATGCACAGTGTCGTACACAGTGTTGAACAGTATTGTATACAGTGTTGAACAGTGTCGCATATAGTCTTGAACAGTGTCGCATATAGTGTTGAACAGTGTCGCATAGTGTTGAACAGTGTCACGTATAGTGTTGAACAGTGTCGCATATTGTGTTGAACAGTGTCGCATATTGTTGAACAGTGTCGCATATAGTGTTGAACAGTGTCACGTATAGTGTTGAACAGTGTTGCATATAGTGTTGAACAGTGTCACGTATAGTGTTGTACAGTGTCGCATATAGTGTTGAACAGTGTTGTATACAGTGTTGAACAGTTGCGTAAGAGCTGTCAACCTCTTCGTATGTGATTTTTCCAGTATTAAACAAAACAAATATCATAGAGAATGAAATCAATACACACACAAATACTATCAACATAAACAAACAAAATATATAGAAGCAAGTTGAGAGCAAGAATTTACAAGAAAGAAAGTTTAGATCAAATGCACCATATAGACATTATAGTAGTAGCATACACAACATGCAAAGAGCCTAAATACTAAAGATACTATAAACAGACAGTAAGAAATCAAAGATGCTGATTAGTATTATTTAGTGTTATTGACCATGCTTTTGTAGCATGGAGGGGTTAATAACAGAGAAAGCTATCAAGACTAAAATTATATATATATATATATATATATATATATATATATATATATATATGAGGCTTAAGAGGCTTAATTAGACGTCAATTATGGGCTCATTAAGACATCTAGCAAGTCAACCTGTGTCTGTCACAGGCTTAGACATTGAAGGTCATATATATAAGTAGGTGCTTTCATTACCATCGAGGTATGTCACCTCCTATATGTGCCTTTTGTTCACGTTCTAAGAGACGACAGTGTATATAGTTGCCCGCACGTACCTCCTCCCCTTTTCAAACCTCCGATTCCACTAAGACTTAAAATTACCCTTATTCACTACAAGAAACATTCTCTATGGTGCTTTTGACATGTTGAATATCTGCAAGACGAAATCTGGAACTATGATCACACAAAACCAGGTGTTGCCTCGAATGAAATTACCATTTATATCCTGAGGCCTCGGGCCAATTCCGTAATCCAGGACACGGTGTCCACGAAAAAGTCCGAATGTGATATTGCCTGTGTACTTTGTAGCACTTCCATCAGTATCATTTCCAGGAGTTTGAGTGGATCGCTTAAGTACCGGTGACGATGTCACCCAGTTGTCGGTCGCAAATGAAGCGATGAGAAGGGAAACACCCAAAATTCCTAAAACCAAAGTCACAGCCATCGCGTTTTTCTTTTTCGGCTCCATTCTCGTATCAATTCCGCCAACACGTATATTCCAACGACTAGAAATATTTCACAAAAGTATTATCTCGTAATCCTTTCAAGGAAGAAGTTGTTATCTTTGGCGATATTCACCTGGATGAACAGGTGCATGAACTCAGTTTGAACCAATCACGCAAATCGACACAGAAATATGTCCGTTAAAATGGTCATGATTGGCTGTCAGGAAAAGTGTCAACAAACTCAGGTATTGTGCTATTTTCCAACCGACAACTTTCGGAGATTGTGTTTACAGAAAGCAGTCGAGGAATAGTGTATGTAATTATTAAATGTAAATAATGCCACAATGGTGAAATGATGCTAAGCCATGGTATCCACACCTCGGTACAGGCCAAGGAATGATATTATAATACCCTCTTTGGACACCAGAATCTACACAATTTGCAAATTTGTTAGCAATTGTTATGAAAGTTGTCCGCATTGTTTACAAGCATGAAAACTGTGGACATTGTCCATTTCAACATTTGCATTTTATTATTTAAAACATCTAACATTACAAAAGGTATGGTTAAAAAGAAGACTAATAAATTAGTGTACGCAGGATGAATTTGTAGGTTTTCGGGAAGAATTTAATTCCTACTCTTGTAAATCTCCCTCGATCATGTATGTAATTGTTGTTACTGTTAATCCTCCACCTACTATATATATTCTGTGTCATGTTCATCATTCAGTCTTGCTTGACAACGTATAAGGATCTTTACCAAAATGCGACTTTTACGTAATTAAAGAAGTTGTTTTCCTTAAAATGTGTCTACTTTGTCATCCGTCAACCTTTAAGTAATGCCTATCAAACAATTCAACAATTTAATTATTATTTGAATATGAGCAATTTGTGTCCAAAGCTATTTTAATTAGAAGGATATAGAAAAATATATATATCCAATTCATCTTGGGTGACGGACATGTTTGCATTACGACTACGAGTGTGATAGAAGTAGAAGATTATGTATTTGTAACTACGACACTCTGTATCTTAAACATTCACAAAATATCATAGTTAATTAGGCCATTTTAAGAAAATCGTCAAATATTTCTGATATGTTACAAACATTGTTCATATACATCAGAAACATGATACGAATGTGTTTGTTAAGAAGACTGAAGATGAGGCCAGTAGGCCGAGGAGATGACAAATCCAGTTTACGCAGACACTGGGCTAGGATCCTGAGTAAACCTCTCTTGCGTTAACAGATAAATAAACCCACAGATTATGGGTTCACCTAATAATCCGATTAACTCATAATCTGAGACAGGTTTTTTTATTAGCGTTTCACGTCACAAAATAATAAAATGATGTAAAATGTTGTTGATTGTTGTTTAACGCCGCACCCAGCAATATTCAGCTGTATGACGGTGGTCTGCAAATATTCGAGTCTGGACCAGACAATCATGTGATTGACATCATGAGCATCGATCTACGCAATTGGGAAACGATGACATGCATCAATCAAGTCAGCGAGCCTGACCACCCGATCCCGTTAGTCGCCTCTTATGACAATCATAGTATCCTTTTACAGCAAGCATGGTAAGCATTATAACCCGGATCTTCACAGGTCTGTAAAATGTACATACACGCCATCCGTTTACGTGTGGCAAAGTGGTTAACGCCTCCTTCAAGATTATTGCATTTATATAGGGACGTGAATGTACATGTTGGTGTCTCTGTGTGGCTGCTTGTTCTCAATTCAATTCAATTCTTTATTTGCTGTACTTGAGGCCAGTGGCCTATATGATATAATATAATGAGAGACTATAGCTGCTTGTATCGGTCAGGGCCAATTATAGTGACAGCCCATTGAGATACCTTTACCCAGTAAATGTATACTGACTCCGAGCCGGACCCGTGAAGATCCGGGGTAGAATAGTGAGTGAGTTGGGTTTAACGCCGCTTTTAACAGTATTCCATTTATATGCGGCGTGACAGCTTAATGTGGGAGGAAAGCCCGAAGCGATGCAGGTCTCAGACGTTTACCACTTCGGTGAAACCGACGAGCACGGGTATGGTGCTGACAAACCTAGAAACATAATCGAGGCGAACCGGGATTCGAACCCACGCGGCACCTTAGACGAATGGGTCACCCCGCCCAACAACCAAACCCAAACCCCCGAACAATAAGATCACATCAATGGATATTTCTGTAGTGTTTGAGGACACTGTTGGCCCAGTCGTCTAAGGCGCCGCGATTCGCTGTGCAGAGTTGCGTCCCTTGGACACGCCAGAAACCAATGATCGTGGGTTCGAATCCCGGTTCGCCCCGATTATGTTTCTAGGTTTGTCAGCACCATACCCGTGCTCTTGGATTTCACCGAAGTGGTATACCCAAGCGGTGTTAAACCCCACCCACTCACTCACTCACAACACGTCTTCCGTTCTTAACTTTCTCTCTTTAAATGACAAAGATATCAATAGAATAACCTACTCGAAACAGATTAGGGTTGACACTATTCATTCATTCTCGACAGATTATCCGTCATTCCGCGTACATAGTTTGTTAATTCTTTAATCCCACTAAGACATTTCTGTCTGTTTACAATTCGTAATACGTTCTTCAAAGGTTCAAAGAAGAAGTTTATTCACCTGAAATTTGTTATTTTATCAACACATGAGATAATAAGAACGAAAACAATGCTATAGACAACGAATCTAGTCATCATTTAAAGATGCCAATACAACAATATTTATGCACGTGTCTGGTACTTAAACGACAAAACAAACGACAACACAAGTCCCCGGGCCTCAGTGAAGGGGAGGGGAGGAGAGGGGGGGGGGGGGGGGGGGGGGTGCCACTAACCATGCTAACTATAGCATTTCCTAATATACTATCATCTGGAGGTGAGGCGAGGTGAAATGGTTATTGCACTTATGTAGCAACGTGCATGCTTGCATGGTGTGTGTGTGCGTGCGTGCGTGCGTGCGTGCGTGCGTGCGTGTGTGTGTGCGTGGCTGCTTGTACTAGTCCAGATTAATGCCGATCTTTCAGTTCAAGCCACTGAGATCCCATGCCGGAGTTTAACATGAATACCCCACTCAGACACAGTGTACTGACTCCGAGCAGACAAGTTCTTGTCTTAGCCTCATAATGCCGAGCGCCAGGCAGGGTAACAACAAGCATCATCTTTTAACATCTTTTGGTATGACGCAGCGGGGAATCAAACCCCGAGACCTTCCGCTCTCCGGGCACTATCACAAGGCGGTCACTATCATCTCGATACTATATTAAAGCATACATAGTTCATCCACCTGTTCCTGAGTAATTGATGTGTCTAAATATTTTTGCTGAATATATACAAATTAGTGAAGAAAGTTGTTTTACTGATAGTATTTCCCCTCCATATGGCTACGTTTATCTGTTTGAATTTATACATTTATCATATCGGGTCGTTTTTCACCAACCCTTGCGGCCGTCTTCGTAAATCTTAATTTTAGGGCCGTTCTCTGCTATATCTTTGGACTGCTTTCGACATTTCGCGGGACAAACGTGACTAAAACTGAGGCAGTTTTATATCACCATAAGTATGTTTTTACGCCCCTTTAGCAATATTCCAGCAATATCACGTCGGGGAACACCAGAAATGATCTTCACACATTGTCCCCATGTGGAAAATCGAACCCGGGTCTTCATCTTGACGAGCGATCGCTTAACCACTTGGCTACCCCACGCCCCCTGACAAGATGAGCAATAGGGGACAGTACCAGATAGCAGGACAAAAGCCGGGTCTAACAATGCTCCTTTTACAGGTTTAATGGCAAACAAGTTCCGAAATGGAAACAGTGTCTTTTCAATGTTATTCATATACAACAATAATATATGGTCTCTGGTTGACTAATATCGTGATATGTTGGCGTATTGCTAAATCAGAATAATCATTGTTTTGATAAACTGTTTGTTCTTATTTCGTGAGATATATAACCTACAAACTGTTAAATACAACGTGGCTGTGTTTAACCATGTGCCATTCTGATAAACACTTACAGATTCTATTTTAAGACATGTTTCACGCGACATTGATTTTGAAGGAATATGTCATTTTTGAAAACTTTATAAAATAAATATACAATAAAACAAAGTTTGTATGTTTAGGACGTAGTCTTGTTAATAGACTCTTCCCTGATTATCATACAATGATGCCTTTTTAAGTTTGAAATTAAAAATAGATTGTATGGTTTCCCATTTAAATGACTGGACTTAAAAATTGCTTGAATATTTTTCTATTCTGTTAAATATTTTCTTTGCCCTTCATTAAAATGCTACTATGCTCTACATTCTGGAGTCTAACTAAGTACCATTGATGCCTGCATTACTTGACCTGTGTTTACTGAAAAATGGCGGTATATAAAAGAGGGAATATATGGATGTCAGCTTCTTTATTATGAGCAACACAACTTTTCGGAGTATATGCTTACTCCTTCATCATAAGCATATACTCCGAAACGTTGTGTTCCTCATAATAAATTTTCTCTCTTAGGCTATGTGTATCACTTCTAAATGAATCCAAATACTTATAACGGAATGTGTTTCAAATGTGCACCACATTCGCCACACACAAAACAAATGTTTTTCAGAAATTGTAATTTGTAAGATCTCAATAAGCTCAATACATTTGCAAAGAATCTGTGGAATTTAGCCATACTTGTATGCACGAAGATGTCTACATTTCATTTCAATTCATTTGTTTGACTTAGGTCATCAGTCAGCACATTTACTACAATTAGTTGTGTTGAAACTAGTAGCAGTGAGTTCTCAATGGAAAGTAGCGAACATGGCATTGTACGACATGCGGTTGTTTAGAACAAATTCTGTACAAATATTAATTCATAGTATTTCATTATTTGGTAATTGCCGTGGTCTCTCTTCATATATATTTAGTAAATTCTAGAGTGACAATTTCTGCGACGCTACATTTCAGTATTCTGCGCAACTATCGTAAGAAACTCAATGCAGCGCTGTGATAATCTACTGTAACGTTTAAGCGATCCCTACAACAATGAGTAGAAAATGTAACAATGGCGGCAAGCTTGACGTGCTTTTGTAGAGAGCATCATCTATTGCTTTGCTTTGCGTTTTAATTGAAGATTGAAATGTACATGGAAGACTTGCCACGCCCATTTACCTTTTAGGATACCTTCTCAACACATCTGAATGTTGGAACTTTTTGCCTTCTCATACGCTGGGAATCCGCGGAGAATCAACATTTCAGCCATTTGATCGAATTTTGCTGGACACTTTCGAAGTGACAACAAACACAAGGTAAATGTGTGCGCAGGTGGGATGTGTGTGTGTGTGTGTGTGTGTGTGTGTGTGTGTGTGTGTGTGTGTGTTTTGCGTGAATGGTATTCTTGTTGTGGTCCATTGATAATGCGGCTTCAATCGAAAATCAACCTGTCAGCTTACTGTCAGTGCAAACACCGCATTTCAGTTCATTTGAGCTCGGATTTTGTGCCTGGGTTAATATGAAATAGGTGAAGTCTAAACATGCTAAAGAGAGCGCAGTATGCTGTGGCTAAAGAGAGAGCGCAGTATGCTGTGGCTAAAGAGAGAGCGCAGTATGCTGTGGCTAAAGAGAGAGCGCAGTATGCTGTGGCAAATTGGTCATGTCACTTGTGTATCGAACTTGCCTGTTATCATGGTTATGGCCGTCATAACATTGGTCTGAATTTACTTTCAAACAATGAACATATTATCAGCTTTACCCTGGTTGACAACACAAGCATGTGTGTGGATTTTCCAATCCCCGGGATGCTCTATTGATATTAACCATTAATACAAATATGATAAAATCGTACTTTCTTATCCCAAAAGAACTTTGATTGTGTCAGTTTCAGTTTTGATAACAAGTGGTTCTCCGATGCCACTCCCACACACTGTCCCCAGCTTCACTAGCCGGCAATCTGTATTCAGAGGAATATCTTGCTTCTTCTCTGAGGAATATTATTTTGATAGAAATTAGTAACTATATACAACAATGTCATTATGAAAAGACACAACAGAGAGATATAAACAACATCTACATTGGGATACACTAGAGTCATCATTAATAAAACAGTCTACATGATCTATAATATCCTAACACCATAATATTAAGGTTCAAATGACACTTGACAGGCATATTTGGTGGTCATTTCCTTGGGGTGTGAACAGTGCTTGCTTCTGAATATCACCTTGTCTGGCCAAGTGCTTAATCTGTGGAAAATCTTGTCTTATTTTATTTGTCGCTATTGAATAACAGTTACGGTTGGAGTGAAGGGGAACTAATAGGAACTATTTTAAATAATAATTTCTTAAGAGACTTGCAGTGTCCAAAAGACCTGCCCATGGCATGTAGATCTACTTACGTATTCACTTTTATTATCTGATCTGTTGGTGATTTTTAAATATTTATTATGACTGAATGGGGGAAGGTAACTTTGAAGATGGGCAGGCAACACTTATGGGTCACCTGCCTGACAGTTTTGTTGGACAAGGTAGACACAATTTTATGGATAACAACTTCTTTAATACTGTAAAAAGCAACATTTTGGTATAGATCCTTATAGCGTTGTCAAGCAAGACTGAATGAGGGACATAGTTCAGAATATATATAGTAGGTGGAGGATTAACAGTATAGGGTTAACACGATTAACAGTAACAACAATTGCATACATGAGTAGGATGACTGCTACTGTGGACAATCTTACGTAGGGGGGGGGGGGGGGATTTATGAGGTATTATATTACGGTTCATTGTAATCAGCTTGGTAATGTGAAGAGGCGGCACATGGAATTTAGAAAACTTGTTTTAGACTGTCCCACCTGTTGGAAGCTTTAGAGTAACTGTTCCATACGTAAAATATATCCGTGAGCGTGGTTAAATACATTTTGCAAAAGCTGCAACTAATACAACCTGATATTGGAACATCTTTTTTCTGTAGAATAATAGTTTCAGATACAATGTCTTCCTGATCATTGCAATAGAATACTTTTATGTTATATAAGTGGGTGTTTTTTTACTACATTACCAATTACCAGTAGATCTGTGAGAGAATGTATGGCCAGTCAGCTGATTGCTATTTTCGGCTCAGTTTATGAGACAGTCATCTTTACTGCTTAATCTCTGAATATAAAACAATACCTAGCCGAACATCAAATACAAATGGACCGCCTCCGTGGTCTAGTGGTAGAGCGTCCGCCCGGAGAGCGGAAGGTCCGGGGTTCGATCCCGGGCCGCGTCATACAAAAAGACGTTAAAAGATTGTACTTGTTATTACCCTGTCTGGCGCTCGGCATTAAGGGGCTAAAACAAGGACTGGTCGGCTCGGAGTCAGTATACTGTGTCTGAGTGGGGTATTCATGTTAAACTGCGGTATGGTATCTCAGTGAGCTAGCACTATAAATCGGCATCAGTCCGGACTAGTACAAGCAGCCACACACACACATACACGTGCATGCGCGTCGCTATATAAGTGCAATAATCTTGGACGCGAGGTTAAAGGGGCACTGATCTAACGCAATTCCCCGGACTGGTTGTTGCCTTTGTTATTGTTTTTTCCCCCGTGAGTACCCGGATGATACGCAACGCAACTGAGCGTGACCAGAGACTGGGCTACCGTCTGCAAGGACAGCTAAATAAACTTGGAGGCTGGAGGCAATATTTGTTTTACGCATTTTTGCATAAACACTGATTGGTTAACCGTGATCTAAAAAGATTTGGACAAAGGGCGCACGTTAATTAATTTCTTCAGCCTAAACTAACAGACAAAAAGAACGGCGGAGCTCATCGGATGTCGTCATTTGGAAATACCCCAGATGGTTATAGTTAACACTAAAAAAAGTATTCATGCAGTGAAAGCATTTTCGGTTTTCGGATTCCGTCGATAATACGATAACTACTTCCTTGTTGTCATCCAGGTTTTCTCGCATAACCCTACACTTGTGTATTTGTCGTCATTCACTTGATGCTCAGTTAATGAATTTATTACAGGTACAATTAGTGGTAGCACCACATAGATTACCTGACAAAGGTTCCCATTTGGCATTTATTGTGTCTGGGGTAATTATTCAATCTAAATCCAGGGTTGAAGTGAGGTGAAATGTGTGTTATGTAATATGCACGTGGCAGACCAGCAAGAGGTGAATGATCAGTTGATTTACTTTTTTTTGTAAATCAACAGATCGTTCCTGGTCATCAAAGGATTAACAGAAAATACGTTGATTGATTAATCACTGTTATCTTGCACAGTGGATATGTCAAAAGTGAGTGTTTACATGTCTAGGTTTACTAAAACAAAGGGAATACACACATATCCTTGCGTGAAGTGCCGATGTAAAAACAACATACTTTGTTCAAAGGGTTAACTGATAATACGTTGATTGATTGATCATTGTTATCTATCACTCAATGGATTTTTTAGGAACCGTGGACGTTATGAAAATAGTTGTCACGTGGGCTTTCTCAGCTGACCCTTGAGACTTGACACCTATGTAAAACACCTGAAACAATCCAAGTGATCAGTTGAGAAACGAACACGGGTTATAATATCCCGAAACGATATATATCTTTTAAAATATGTGATTGTTACCATGGTTACAGAGACACGTGACATCGAATAGGTTTCTTTGTACAGCTGCAGACGAGTGGGATATTGTTCCTTTGTGTGGATATTCACAGATACATTCCTCGAAAAAGGAAGCTGCCTAAAATTTATACACATAAATTTGGTAGGTTGTAATTATGGTATTTGCATTTTGTTTTCCTTCATTTGCTGTAGCATTTAACCGATTCGTCCTTGTTTCTCTACGTCTTGGTTGGGAAATTCTTCAATGCGCGATAGACATTGTTTTCACAGGCCTTTTCCCTTGTAAGCGTGTATATAAAATGTAATTCCCTCAGGCAATTTATAAAATGTGTAAATATTTCAGTCATTTTGACTAAAAAATCTGTCCAGATTGATTAAGGCTATCAAAAGGGCCTACAAACAGCTAAACAGATTATTATGTAGGATTAGAAGCCAAACAACATAGAAATGTACTTTTCAACGTAACATTTTCAGTCTCTTGGTGATGACATTAAACATCAAAATGTTTGGAATTCGTTATCATAATAATACAGATGGAAATGTTTTTCAGTCACTTTGTTAAATAACTGAATATTTAGGCGTTGAATATATTTGAAAATGTTACACATTTTGACAGTAAAAAATATACACACTATCAAAAAGCAATGCTCAGGTGAAATATTTACTTTGTGTTGCAAGTCAAAATAGTGTAAACGAGAATCACAAAATTACCAAGCAAGTGACTTATCAAAACTTCGTCACCATTACCGATGCTAACCACAAAGATACCTACATTTCCTTTTTATCTCCAAAACTGTATTTCATTTTGTTGATCAATGTGACCATACGCCCTCTATATTACTACCCATACAAGTGACTAATGCGCTTACGAATGGCGCAGCAGAGGTCGCGAACTAGTCTAGATTTTCTGCTATACATCCGGGTACTCACTTGGAAAAAACAATAACAAAGGCAACAACCAGTCCCGGGGAATTGCGTTAGATCAGTGCCCCTTTAAACCCAATTTCACCTCACCTCAAATACAAATGAAACAAGATGTTTCAATTGGTGATGAATTAAGCGTGACAAAGACTCCAAATAAATTGGGCATAGGCAGGGATTTTCGAGAAAGTCGGTCGGAGATGATGTAATAAAATCTGGTATTAATTTATTCTAAATGGAGAATTATTTACATCTGACTTTGACTTCATAATCATATTTGCATACATACTCACAAATATAAATATATGAAGAGGTCACAAGCATAATACAGTGATAAACCTTGGATTTTTTAACATGATTAGAACCTTTTGTTGTCTAGAGATGAAGCTGCACCAGGGACCGGTGGACACGTGGTCGACGAGGGAGAAGCTGGCTCTGGCCTGCTCTGTCATGAAGAGTGGGGACCAGAACTGGTAAGAGCTTGGATCCCTCTTCACTTCTCTCTATTGTCTGTGTATTGTAACAGTTGTCTGGAAACCATGACATTTTTTCACCTGTCTCCCGGTAATGATTATGCTCCCGTATTCCTGATGCCTACAATGTGTGTAATGTATGTAGTAAGCAGTGCTCCCGTTTACCTGTAATTACCATTTTTTACCGGTACAATTAGACTTGGACTGGTAATTCATGTGACTGCCAGTCCCTGTGGACCGACAAATAATGTAAATGTTAAATCTTTGTTGTTGAACAAAACATCTACAATGTTCATATACATGATATAAGTATATTTGCCAACAAATCAGCTTGTCTGTTACCATCAGGGTTTCCCCTTGTCTATTTTTAGTGCAAGGAAAAAAGATATTGCTTTGCTTCAAGGTTAAATATATGTTTGTTGGGAACTAGTCTCGAAATATTTAAAAAGCCCAGAGACAATTGTGACTGAACTTTGTGTGAATGACATGTAGATCTAGCTACGTTACTTCAGAGATGACGTCATTGCATTGAACATGATGTTTAAAGAATTAAAACCAGGTTATTTTCATATGTTTTTATATTTGTTGAAAGTTGGGACTGACAAGAATTAGGTGAACTGGTCATTTTTAGAGTTGCCAGTCCACAAGAACTGGCAGTTTCAAAATCCAGTCGGAACACTGTAGTTAGACTATCCACTTTATTCTGCAGGGTGTCATTAAGCAGGGATATCGAGCCGTATGTGGAAAGCCAGTCGGAACACTGTAGTTAGACTATCCACTTTATTCTGCAGGGTGTCATTAAGCAGGGCTATCAAGCCGTATGTTGAAAGCCAGTCGGAACACTGTAGTTAGACTATCCACTTAATTCTGCAGGGTGTCAGTAAGCAGGGCTATCAAGCCATATGTGGAAACCCAGCGACCAGCAAACTGGTTCTCCCAGAAGGTAAGGAAATATCACTCCTTTAAAAAGTTCACGGCATCGTCAAAGTGAGCCCATGTCATGGACCTTTGTCTTTCAATCCATCAGTCCATCTTCGATTCTGTTTTCATAAATGCCATAAAGCTAAGAATAGCTGACCAATCAAATAACTTAAATGAGCTCTAATATCTCCAATGATAGACACTAACGTGATTAAGATATTGACGTCACTTCCGCTATGTAGAAAGTGACCAGGGTACTTATCAGGATAGAAATAAGACATACAGGTGCATGTTGACATGAAAACTTAGTTGCCCCAGACAAAACCAGGTGGGACCCCAATCTCATTAAAATCAGGTCTTAGTTCTCGCTATCGCTAAACAAAGATCTGAGGACATCCCATTACGGGTCACGTCAGAACGACCTTTCATCCGACCAATCAAAGCGTCACTTACCAGATCATGAAAGTGACAGTCGGAATGTGTTTTCTAATCATGCAACCTCGAAAACGTTAACACGTGGTATTCCGAACGACAGTTACGGCCTGTACGACTGATTCCGTCAAAATTATCGTCTATGACTTGCTTCTGTGGGATAAACATTTGAAAGGAGGAGGTGTTGAACAGTATGTGGGAAGAGCTGCCATACAATCTCAACCATATATTAGACATTCCGGAATGTTCGTTTGTTCGGTTTTCAAAATTTTAATCGAGAACTGTGTCAACATATTTTTCAAGCTTAGTCTGAAATGGAATTCGCCAGGTTGAAACGTGTGCCGTAAAGCTCGGGAAAGCTGCTTTCTAAGTAGCTGATGTCGACTTCTTGTTGGTAATTTCAGTGGTCGGTCAAAGTTCGCGAAAGGTCGTTCTGACGTGACCTGTAATGGGATGTCCTCAGATCTTTGTTTAGCGGCAGCGAGAACTTAGATCTTATTTTAATGAGATTGGGTGGGACCCTGGTCCCAAAATTTTATTAAAGTTAAAACATAGATGCAAAAACTAGTCTAAAAATATGTACAATCTCAGAACTCGGATGATTGTGCCATGTGTCATGAATTACATATAACATTTTTTTTTTTTTTTTTCTTGTTTAACGCCGCACTCAGCAATATTCGAGCTATATGACAGCGGTCTGTAAATAATCGAGGCTGGACTAGAAAATCCTGTGATTGACATTATGAGCATTGATCCACGCAATTGGATTGCATCAACCAAGTCAGCGAGCCTGACCACCCAATCCCGTTTGTCGCCTCTTACCACAAGCATAGTCACCTCTTACCACAAGCATAGTCTCTTTTTACAGCAAACACATGCTGAAGACTTCATAGAACAAAGGGATTAGTGATATAGTAGGTACATAAAGGTTACAGGTACTGAGTGTGTTAGAACATCGGACAAGTTAGGGTTGGTCAGACAAAAATGTGAATTTTTTCCATGCAATTGGTGCTTAGAAGATAAATTTAAATAATTCGAGTTATTGAGGTCCGACACAACAGAAAATGATGAATAAAGAAGGAATATGCAATTGTTTTCGCAATGAGGGGAGGGTGCAAATACGTGGGTATCTTTGCTCAACCAGCCAAAATATGAGTACCTGAATATAAGCATGTGACTGTTGCCCTACAGTAACTGTATCCTCTGTCTTCAGAACTGTGCCTTGCAGTACTCCGATCTCCTGGAGAAGGTGGAGACACCCAAGTGAGTCAGTTACATTTGTAGACACATGTGATGGTGCCTGGGATAATATTTTGCGACTTCTAGCCCGACCTCTGCCTGGATATCATTTTCAGTACATCTTATTTTTAGTGTTAATGTATGGATTTTTATTTGCATAGCTTACTAGACGGACCAAATTTTTACTAAACTTGGATTTGACTAGTGGCTGAAGTCACGGACTGTGTTTGTAGTTGACAGAGAAACTTGCATCACATTACCAGGAATTTGTCTAGGATTTCAAACTATGTTAAGTGCCTTTGGCAGGCAAATTTGGATTTTTTTTGGATTTTATTCAAAATTGGAATCGTTTTTGAACTTTCAGCATTACATTCAATGTAATAATGTAAAACTGAACATTGGAGACTTGTTTTTATTAGTAGACCTGTTTTCAATTTTATCATGAATTGGAACAATTATATTTCCAATTTAGGAAATTTTCTTGAAATTTTCTGAAAATCATGGGAAAAATCTGTTTGTTTTCAAATTAGGATAAATGATTAAGATGGAGGTACAATAAATGTTTTGTAGGCTTATCCAATGAGGAATACTGCTTGATGTACCTTCTCATCGGGGTACACAGGGTACACAGAGGGTACATCAAACCATATTCTCCTCATGAGAATGGCATTATCATGTGTTTGATTCCCTCAGACGGAAGCGGGGCGATGGAGGAGAGACTGACACACCTGCAGACCAAATCTTCCGTAAGCTGATGACAGAGAGAATTGAGGAACTTCGTAAGATCGCCTTGGGGGAACAGCAGAGATACAAGTAGGTTGGGCTAGCTGCAGTGCATGAAACTGCTTGTTGTGATGCTGCCTAAATTTCTGTTTACTACCTGAATTTTCTGATCACAAGAAACAAATATGGTATCCTTTTGTGATTTGTCCAATCTGAAAATTAGAATGGAGGAGCTTAAAGTATATCATCATCATCATCATCATCATCCACAGCAGCAGCAGCATCTGACATTTCTTGGATTATTTTGCTCAAATTACTGGTTTTTATCTAATTGTAAAACTCATGCCCATTTAAAATAAAGAATTGTATTCTATTAAACATAGTTTGCATGGAAATGAAAATACTACTGGAAAAGTCAATGGTAGCCAAGTTGTTAGCCTTTGAACATGTTTGTATAAGTGAATTTCTGTGAGTTGTGTAGTTGAGAAAAGTGTGTGCATAAAGTGTAAATGTTCATGCACATTAATAACATGCTATGGAAATATGTCAGTTTATGCAGGAATTTATGCATGTTCTGTTTATTTCAGAAAATTGAAGAAAGATGTGGAGTGTATCAAGTCCGGACAATATGATGACCGCCTGACGGAGATGTGGGAACAGATGCAGGTGTACGTACTTGTAGCTGGGATCAGGACTGTATGTGTGATGTGTGCTGAGTGCCTTATGGAGGTGTGATGTGTAGGATGTTGTCTTGTGTGTGATTGGGAAGCAATGTTGTCAGCTGGTAGATGTTCATGATGTCAGAGAGCCGCCTCCGTGGTCTTGTGGTAGAGCGTCCACCCGGAGAGCGGAAGGTCCGGGGTTCGATCCCCGGCCGCGTCATACCAAAAGACGTTAAAAGATGGTACTTGTTGTTATCCTGTCTGGCACTCGGCATTAAGGGGCTTAAACAAGGACTGGTTGGCTCGGAGTCAGTATACTGTGTCTGAGTGGGATATTCATGTTAAACTGCGACATGGTATCTCAGTGAGCTAGCACTATAAATTGGCATCAGTCCTGACTAGTACAAGCAGCCACACACACACACACATGCACGCATGTGGCTATATAAGTGCAATAATCTTGGACGCGACGTTAAACCTAATTTCACCTCACTTCATGATGTTGTCAGGTGTGTGACTGGGAAGTGATGTTATTGTCAGCTGGTTGACGTTCATGATGTCTTGTGTGTGACTGGGAAGCGATGTTGTTGTCAGCTGGTTGACGTTCATGATGTCTTGTGTGTGATTGGGAAGCGATGTTGTTGTCAGCTGGTTGACGTTCATGATGTCAGGTGTGTGATTGGGAAGCGATGTTGTTGTCAGCTGGTTGATGTTCATGATGTCTTGTGTGTGATTGGGAAGTGATGTTGTTGTCAGCTGGTTGATGTTCATGATGTCTTGTGTGTGATTGGGAAGCGATGTTGTTATCAGCTGATTGATGTTCATGATGTCTTGTGTGTGATTGGGAAGCGATGTTGTTGTCAGCTGGTTGACGTTCATGATGTTGTCAGGTGTGTGACTGGGAAGTGATGTTGTTGTCAGCTGGTTGATGTTCATGATGTCTTGTGTGTGATTGGGAAGTGATGTTGTTGTCAGCTGGTTGATGTTCATGATGTCTTGTGTGTGATTGGGAAGCGATGTTGTTGTCAGCTGGTTGATGTTCATGATGTCTTGTGTGTGATTGGGAAGCGATGTTGTTGTCAGCTGGTTGACGTTCATGATGTTGTCAGGTGTGTGACTGGGAAGTGATGTTGTTGTCAGCTAGTTGATGTTCATGATGTTGTCTCGCCAAGGACTGGGAAGCGAAGTTATCAGGTTTTTAACTTTTGGAAGTGATGTAGCGATGTTGTTGTCAGCTGGTTGATGTTGATGGTGTTGCAGAGAGAAGGCCGCAGAGGATGCCACAAAGGAGGCAGAGAAGAAAGCAATGGAGGATGCCCGGGCTCAGGCCCAAGGTAAGGGGGACAGAATGTGTTGTTACCAACGAGGACTAAATATGTTTTTACTACTAACCGTGACAGAATATGTTGTTACTACCCAGGACAGGATATGTTGTTACTACCCAGGACAGAATATGTTACCAACCAGGACAGAATATGTTTTTACTACCCAGGACTGAATGTGTTGTTATCAACCAGGACAGAATATGTTGTTACTACCCAGGACAGAATATGTTATTCCCAACCAGGACAGAATGTGTTGTTACTACCCAGGACAGAATATGTTGTTACTACCCAGGACAGAATATGTTGTTACTACCCAGGACAGAATATGTTACTACCCAGGACATAATATGTTACCAACCAGGACAGAATATGTTTTTACTACCCAGGACTGAATGTGTTGTTATCAACCAGGACAGAATATGTTGTTACTACCCAGGACAGAATATGTTATTCCCAACCAGGACAGAATATGTTGTTACTACCCAGGACAGAATATGTTATTCCCAACCAGGACAGAATATGTTGTTACTACCCAGGACAGAATATGTTATTCCCAACCAGGACAGAATGTGTTGTTACTACCCAGGACAGAATATGTTATTCCCAACAAGGACAGAATATGTTGTTACTACCCAGGACAGAATATGTTATTCCCAACCAAGGACAGAATGTGTTGTTACTACCCAGGACAGAAGATGTTGTTACTACCCAGGACAGAATATGTTGTTACTACCCAGGACAGAATATGTTACTACCCAGGACATAATATGTTACCAACCAGGACAGAATATGTTTTAACTACCCAGGACTGAATGTGTTGTTATCAACCAGGACAGAATATGTTGTTACTACCCAGGACAGAATATGTTATTCCCAACCAGGACAGAATATGTTGTTACTACCCAGGACAGAATATGTTATTCCCAACCAGGACAGAATATGTTGTTACTACCCAGGACAGAATATGTTATTCCCAACCAGGACAGAATGTGTTGTTACTACCCAGGACAGAATATGTTATTCCCAACAAGGACAGAATATGTTGTTACTACCCAGGACAGAATATGTTATTCCCAACCAAGGACAGAATGTGTTGTTACTACCCAGGACAGAAGATGTTGTTACTACCCAGGACAGAATATGTTGTTACTACCCAGGACAGAATATGTTACTACCCAGGACAGAATATTTTACCAACCAGGACAGAATATGTTGTTACTACCCAGGACAGAATATGTTATTCCCAACCAGGACAGAATGTGTTGTTACTACCCAGGACAGAATATGTTGTTACTACCCAGGACAGAATGTGTTGTTACTAACCAGGACAGAATATGTTGTTACCACCAAGGACAGAATATGTTGTTACTACCAAGGACAGAATATGTTGTTACTACCCAGGACAGAATATGTTATAGCCAACCAGGACAGAATGTGTTGTTACTACCCAGGACAGAATATGTTGTTACCACCAAGGACAGAATATGTTGTTACTACCAAGGACAGAATATGTTGTTACTACCCAGGACAGAATATGTTGTTACTACCCAGGACAGAATGTGTTGTTACCAACCAGGACAGAATGTGTTGTTACCAACCAGGACAGAATCTGTTGTTACTACCCAGGACAGAATATGTTGTTACCAACCAGGACAGAATATGTTGTTACCACCCAGGACAGAATATGTTGTTACTACCCAGGACAGAATGTGTTGTTATCAACCAGGACAGAATATGTTGTTAGACCCCAGGACAGAAGATGTTTTTTTCCTTTTCTCATGTTGACTAGATTTGGAAATTGATCATAAAGTCATGATTGAAGATTGGATCATCGAAATTACTGTTTACTGTTTTAGTGGTCAGTCAAACTAGATCACGTTTAACCACAAAAATCAGAAATTCTTTTGAAGTTTAGTTTTGTTATCAGAAGGCACTGGCATACTTTTTCTAAAAGTGCCAAGTAGTAAGAAGTGAATTAACCTTTTCAGGAAAAAATACCGTCTTGGTTCTGTTTGAAATTAAACTAAAAATATATAACCTTTCCTCTGGCACTTTGACCCATAACAAGACAGGGGTGACATTGTTTGTGTTCGATTATGGAAATGGCCTTGCTTGCCTGGTCATGTAGTTATGTATATACATCTTTGTCAGTCTATATCATACCCGTGAAGATCCAGGGTAGAATAGGTCTTCAGCAACTGATGCTTGCCGTAAAAGGCGACTTTGCATGTCGTAAAAGGCGACTAACGGGATCGGTTGGTCAGGCTCACTGACTTGGTTGATGCATGTCATTGTATCCCAATTGCGTGGATCGATGCGCATGACGTCAATCACTGGATTGTCTGGTCCAGACTCAATTATATACAGACCACCGTCACATAGCTGGAATATTGCTGAGTGCGGCGTTAAACAACAAATCAACCAAAACCAACCATCAGTCTATATCAAGGTGCATGAGCTGATGTTCATGTCTGTGTTGTTCACAGCCCAGCAGTGCAAGCGTGTGTTGGGCCCCAAGCGTCCATCTGTCACGTCACAGAGCAGTATGTCAGAACAGGAAGACACGCAGGAGTCTTACCCAGAATTCCCTCTGCTTGAGGTTCCAAAGGTAAGAGGTCACGGATGTGTTTCAACTGGATTATTTTAAAAGTGATGATTTTTTTAATATTATTTGGAATGTAACCATGGTAAAATTATTGTCGGTATGTTGATTCCAAGTTTGATGGTGTGTTTCAGATGAGTGATGACGACCCACCTCTACATCTGTCCACAACACCGTTGGGGGTGTCAGCACAACAGCCTGAACCTCGTACTAAGGCTGTTCCTCCAACCTCCCCACTTCTGTCATCTCTATTACAGAGTAAACTGAAGTCTGCCAACAGCCTGCAACAGCTGAAGAATGTGAGATGTCACATTTGTTTCTTTAACACATTCTTTCATCACACATGTTAATCTGTAGCATGGTATCATAGAGTGCTAGTACTACAGGTCCGGTAATAGAACTTTCAGCCACACATACACATGCATTCACCTCGTTGAGCTTCCGGCCAATCGAAATGCTTTCTTTCTTGTGATAATATGCTATAAACATGGCTGTCTAAGAAAGTTCTTTTCTTCATTTTATCCAAGGCATTTCAAAATGTTTTGAAATTCCAGTCTGCCTTTCTAAGTGAGTGAGTGAGTAAGGTTTTACGCCACTTTTAGCAATATTCCAGCAATATCATGGCAGGGGACATCTGAAATGGGCTTCACACATTGTACCCATGTCGGGAATCGAACCCGGGTCTTCGGCGTGATGAGCGAACGCTTTAACCACTAGGCTACCCGACCGCCCCCTTTCGAAATAAGAAAATGTCTTTCCGACCAACCACGGAAACCATATACCCCTGTAAATCAGTGGCAAGATTGTTGAGAGTGTTTGGAGGGGGAGAGGGTTCTGTCAGCCCTTCATATTTCTTAAGGGGCGGTCAGGTAGCCTAGTGGTTAAAGCATTCGCTCGTCACGCCGAAGACCCGGGTTCGATTCCCGACATGGGTACAATGTGTGAAGCCAATTTCTGGTGTCCCCCGCCGTGATATTGATGGAATATTGCTAAAAGCGGCGTAAAACCACACTCACTCACTCACTAACTAATATTTCTTAAATATAACAAACAAACCGATACTCAGTTTGTTCGGCACTGACTTGGTCCAGTTGGGGAATTGGCCACTTTCCTCCTTACTCACCTTCTCAATACCAGGCATTGCACTTTTCACTATGTTTCTGTGTCCTGTCAGTCAGTGCTGTTAGAAACAATGGTGCACACACTCATTCACTCACTCTCTGCTTGTCGTAAGAGGTGACTAATGGGATCGGGTGGTCAGGCTTGCTGACTTGGTTAATACATGTCATTGTATCCCAGTTGCGTGGATTGATGCTCATGATGTCAATCACTGGATTGTCTGGTATCATATAGCTGGAATATTGCTGATTGTGGCGTTAACCAACAAGCAAACACTCAAACTGTTTCAGGAGGCTGAGCAGGCCGAGGCTCTCACACAGGCCCAGCAGGTCCAGCAGCTGGCACTACAGCTGCAGCAGTCGGCTGAATCAGCTGTGAGCCAGGCGAGGGAGGCAGCTGTCAATCAAGCCAGGGAAGCACAGCAGCAACTCCAGCAACAACAGCAACTCCAGCAACAACTGAAAATCGCAGCTAGTGTTGTGCAGAATATCCCCCTCACAGAATCCCTGCCAACGTCCCCATCATGTGGTCAGTGGTCAAGCAACTCCCTCACCTGTAAATTCATGCTTAAGGTTGAAGAAATTTCTAAAATGGTGGAAATGTGTGCTGCAATTTTATAGGCTTAAGCTCAGGGTTCTAAATAATATTTCACTTCCACCGATCTGAAAACATGTAATCTTTGTCTCAGTATTGTGAAATACATTACACTGCAGACATATAGCTGTGTGGTACACACTCCCCTTCATTCATTCTTCAGCTGCCCCGACACTGTCCAAGCTGTTGTTCACAAGGGCACAGCCAAAGCTAGTGTCTGACACCACCCTGTCGTCCCACACCGTCCCCAGCGCCCCCCTCATCACCGTGACCGAAGTACCATCGCCCCTTGATATCCTAGAGTCTGGTGAACCCAAGTCCACGGAACCCCTGGATCAAGGTGGGTAGCATCAAATGGCACCTTATTTCCCCTAACAGGAACCTTGTCTCTATCTAGACACATACTCTATAAAGTGAGTGAGTGAGTGAGTTGGGTTTAACGCCGCTTTTAACAGTATTCCAGTTATATCACGGCGTGCCAGCTTAATGTGGGAGGAAAGCCCAAAGTGATGCAGGTCTCAGACGTTTACCACTTCGGTGAAACCCACGAGCACGGGTATGGTGCTGACAAACCTAGAAACATAATCGGGGCGAACCGGGATTCGAACCCACAATCATAGGTTTCAGGCGTGTCCAAGGGACGCAACTCTGCACAGCGAATCGCAGCGCCTTAGACGACTGGGCCACCCGTGCCCCCTACTCTATAAAGGGCTAGGTTTCAGAGTAAGATTTTCAAAGCATTTGAATACCATAATAAGGCTGCAGATTGACCCCAAAATTGTATTGCAATATATTGGGTACAGAGATCCGTATTGCAATACATATTGCCACATATTGGAACCTGAGGGGTTTGACAGTGATTGACACTGATTGTACATGCAGATCCTATTTACAACATGCTATTGGGGGCACAGGTGGCCCAGTCATCTAAGGCCCTGCGATTCGCTGTGCAGAGTTGCGTCCCTTGGGCACGCCAGAAACCTATGATTGTGGGTTCGAATCCCGGTTCGCCCCGATTATGTTTCTAGGTTTGTCAGCACCATACCTGTGCTCGTGGGTTTCACCGAAGTGGTAAACGTCAGAGACCTGCATCCCTTCGGGCTTTCCTCCCACATTATGCTGACATGCCGTGATATAACTGGAATACTGTTAAAAGCGGCGTTAAACCCAACTCACTCACTCACTCACTCACTACAACATGCTATTAAAAGTAAATATTAAGATGACAAAGTCAGCATGGTCAGTTGCCGCCATTTTGTTGTCATGGATACAGGAGATAACACTGTGAGAGAAAAATCAATTCCATGTTTCCGCTTTATGGCAATTAATTTTGTAGGGCAATCATTTGTAAATTAATTTGGTGTAGATTTCAGGTTTTAAAGTGCAAATACTATCAAAACTTTATTTTTTTACCCATTATACAAGGGGACATGGATGGCCCAGTAGTCTAATGTGCCGCAATTCGCTGTGCAGAGTTGCGTCCTATGGGCACGCCTGAAACCTATGATCATGGGTTCGAATCCCGGGTTCACCCCGATTATGTTTCTAGGTTTGTCAGCACCATACCCGTGCTCGTGGGTTTCACTGAAGTGGTAAATGTCAGAGACCTGAATCACTTCGGGCTTTCCTCCCACATTAAGCTGACACGCCGTGATATAACTGGAATACCGTTAAAAGTGGCGTTAAACCCAACTCACTCACTCACTCACCCATTATACAAGGACGAGGAAAAACATATTTCAATACATAACGTTCAAAAAGCATATTGAGGTATACCAGTATCCCATTAATACTGTGCAGTTCTAACCATAAAGTCGTCTAAGCCAACCCTTCACAGATACAACAGCAATAATGGCTGCACTTATGACAAATGCCGGCCTCTTATATGGGTCAGGTAAGTACACTGAAATTAATAATGGCTTAGTCTTGGGCTATTATCTAGGAAATACGGAATACCGTATTTTCTTGAGTATAGTGCGCACTTTTTTTCGAAAAAACACAGCTGTGTAGAAGGGGATGCGCATTATACACGAATTATGAGTTTGGATGTTTTTTCCCCCATGGAAAGACATTACCGTGAGCACGAAACACCGGAAATACCATGTCAACAAATCCATACTGAAGTACGCAAAATAATCATGTAATTACACTGTCTGGCTATAAAAAGTGTTCTTTGTATATCTGGACTTATATTTGTAACTTATTTCGTTGATTTTATTCAAAATTCCTTATAATATTGTTTTTATTAATTTCGGCGAAATCGTGTGTGAAGCGATCGGAAGATCGCACAACTCACCGTTATTAACAGCAACCACGGTCAGAATACCGCTATTGACGCCTTTGAACAAACTTTAGTTGACAGAGAATTGATACATATATCATAAATGACATACTTTGACTCGTTAAAAGTCATATTTGTTTTTGTTTGACGATTCTATGTCAACATGAAATTCTCGCGATCACGTGATCACGTGCGCGTGAGCCTTGACGGTGACTGGTCAGACATGTTCCATGTAAAAAATAATACCCGGGAATAGCGGTCAGCTGCTTCGCTTAGGGTTATTATTATTTTAAATATGTTTAGTAAAGGTTGCATATAATTAAGAAAATAATGGAATATATTATTCCTGATAAATAAAATAGTTTCAGATACAATTGTTGCCGATCCTTGCATTAAAAATCTTATAAAGTTATATCATTGGGTGTGTCTTGACCGAATCACCGGTCGATTCCAAGAAAACGTGTGTACAGCTGATTGCTGTTTCCAACTTAGTTTACAAGAAAATACGCAAGGTAATCTTAATCCCTAAATATAAACCAATGCCTAGCAGAACAATAAATACTATTTAAACGGTAAATAAACATGTCTGGTGATTTTTTATCTCAAATTTCGAATTTGTACTGACGAAGTTTCTCAGCACCCGTTCGTTTGCCGGACTTCGCTGAAAGGGTACGGTGTAAAAAAATTCTGCGCATAATATTCAAATTTCTTTTTTTCCAAAATATTGAACCCGCTAGAGGGGGGTGCGCATTATACATGGGTGCGCACTATACTCAAGAAAATACGGTATATGTATAGTGTGTAGACTGGCACAAAATTGCTGGACACCTTTGATCAGTAAAGTAAAGTGAGAGGATGAAATATAGGGATTGTTGATGTTTTTTCTTTAGACTCGGCTGATGAGAGTGTCAATGTGGATGTGACGGCAGTCGAGGTCAGCTCCAATGATGGTGATCCACAAGAAGGGTCAGCTGACCAGTCATGTGACCCCTCATGTGACGGTGGAGATGGGAAGGATGATGTGGCAGAGGATGATGGGACGGCTGATGAGATGGCCCAGGCGGACTATACTCCACAACACCGACCTGAGCATAAGGGTGGTGGCAAGCAGGTGACCGCAAGTCAGGTGTGTGTGACACAGGGATGAGATGACTGCTGGTCAGGTGTGTGTGAAACCGGGGTGAGGACCGCTGGTCAGGTGTGTGTGACACAGGGATGAGATGACTGCTGGTCAGGTGTGTGTGAAACCGGGGTGAGATGGCCGCTGGTCAGGTGTGTGTGATCCCGTGGTGAGATGGCCGCTGGTCAGGTGTGTGTGACACAGGGGTGAGATGACCGCTGGTCAGGTGTGTGTGACACAGGGATGAGATGGCTGCTGGTCAGGTGTGTGTGATCCCGGGGTGAGATGACCGCTGGTCAGGTGTGTGTGATCCCGGGGTAAGATGACCGCTGGTCAGGTGTGCGTGACAACGGGATGAGATGACTGCTGGTCAGGTGTTTGTGACACAGGGATGAGATGGCCGCTGGTCAGGTGTGTGTGACACAGGGATGAGATGACTGCTTGTCAGGTGTGTGTGACACAGGGATGAGATGGCCGCTGGTCAGGTGTGTGTGACACAGGGATGAGATGGCCGCTGGTCAGGTGTGTGTGACACAGGGATGAGATGACTGCTGGTCAGGTGTGTGTGACACAGGGATGAGATGACTGCTGGTCAGGTGTGTGTGACACAGGGATGAGATGACCGCTGGTCAGGTGTGTGTGATCCGGGGGTAAGATGACCGCTGGTCAGGTGTGTGTGATCCCGGGGTAAGATGACCGCTGGTCAGGTGTGCGTGACAACGGGATGAGATGACTGCTGGTCAGGTGTGTGTGACACAGGGATGAGATTGCCACTGGTCAGGTTTGACACAGGGAGTAGGGATGAGATGACTGCTGGTCAGGTGCGTGTCACAAGATCTTCATGTGTTTTGATAGGCATGTGTTTGTAGCTTATTTCATGTCTAGCTTTTGACATGTTATAGTTGCAAGAAGACGATGACTCCAGCGAGATTGCAAGCAGCAGTTTTGTGTGTGTGGATGAGGAGGTTTCAATCAAGGAAGACCCAGCATCACCAGCCAGCTCTGTGTCCTCCAAGGTCAGCGAGAGTGGCGGCAAGTCATTCAAACCCCGCAGGAGGAAAGGTGAGATGTGGTCCACCTGTATTCTTCTCCCTCATTTAACCCATCATATATTTTCTCCTGTTTCTCAGGCAATGACCTTTAAAAATATAGTGTTTTCTTTTTTTTGCTTGTTCAAACTAGTATGCAGCCAAATAAACAGTTAGGGAAAGGGCTTCCCTACATAAACAAGCATACAAACTCTTGTTGCCTCTATGACCATAAGACGAGATGCAACGTAAAGCAGTGCGCATGTAAAGAGAAATAACTGTGCTATATTGGATCACTTCTTTTTATTTAGTGTTTTTGGAAAATGGAAATAAAAAATGTAACGTGAGACATACTTTACGATGATGCGGGCTGTGCCTGAGAACCAAGACTATTAATTTTTTTAGCCTTAGATTATTATCACTTGATACCTGAGCAAGCTGAAGTACAGCACAGAATACCACATCACCACAATTTTGCTGGCCAAAGCATAAGATTTGCCGACTCTAACACCATGGATAGAAGTTCTGTAGAGATCCAGGGGATACGGGTGTCCCAGTCATCTAAGACCGCCTCTGTGGTGTAGTGGATGGAGCGTCTGCCCGAAGAGCGGAAGGTCGTGGGTTTGATCCCCAGCCGCGACAGGTCATGATATCTGTCACTGGATTGTCTGGTCCAGACTCGATTATTTACAGACTGCCATCATATAGCTGGAATATTGCTGATTGCTGCGTTAAACGACGAACAAACAAACCTACCAATAGATGCTAAAAGATGGTACTTGTTCCTACCCTGCCTGACACTCGGCTTTCATGGGTTAAACAAGGAATGGTCGGCTTGAAGTTGGTATACAGTTTGCCTTGATTATGTTTCTAGGATTTTCAGCAGCATAGATGTGCTTGTTATTTTTTGCCAAAGTGGTCAGGTTTTCCTCCCACGTCTAGCTGAGATACTGTATACCACTGAAATACTTTTCATAGCAACGTTAACCCGAACTCACAAAGTCAGGAGTGGTCTGCCATCTAACCTATCAAATATCTGACCTTCTAATATCTGTATCTGTGATTTTGGCAGGTCGCGGAAGTCGAGGGGGTCATCGAGGGAGGCCTTCACGACGATCTGTGCAGGTTTGTCATCATCTTGCAGCTGTAACTTGATAATGTTAACATATCATTCTTTGATCTAGAACTTGATAACATTAATATCACATCTAGAACTTGATAACATAAATATCTCACATCGAGAACTTGATAACATAAATATCTCACATCGAGAACTTGATAACATAAATATCTCATATTGAGAACTTGATAACATAAATGTGATCACGTATAAATCTCACATCTAGAACGTGATTGTGTATACATCTCACACCTCAAATGTGATCAGGTATACATCTCACATCTAGAACATAATCACGTATACATCTCACATCTAGAACGTGATTGTGTATACATCCCACACCTGGAATGTGATCACGTATACATCTCACATCTAGAACCTGACGGTGCCAATATGTCATAGTTTGGTCAAGCTTGATGATCTGGTGATCACTGTGTGGAGACTGATGACGTGATGTGTATTCTGTAGGAAGACGACAGGAAGGATGACACCAGCTCCAAGCACAGTGATGTTGATCTGTCTGATGACGAGATGCGAGAGAGTGACGACCCTGTGCCTACCAGCGGCTCCATCTTCTCCGAATCCATTCCAAATAGTCCTGCCTCCTTGTCCATGTGGTATGTATATAGAATATTCATGATACATGTTGGTGTTCTTTTAGATATAAATGATATATGGTTCATATTTTGGATATTCATGGTATTTGTAGGAGTAATATGGATCTACACAATATATGGTGGTCATATTGGAGAGTCATGACACATGTAGGTGTTACATTGGATATTCATGAATAATGTAGGTGTTATATTAATATTTATAAAAATAAAAGTTGTCAGATTGATTGTGCACATTATGTGAAGTTGTTGTGTAGGATATGCATGAAATGTGTACACGGTTGATCATTATGCCTTCCCTATGTTTCCAGCAGTGACACAGAGGACGAGAAGGCCTTCAAGACATGGAAGAAATCCATTATGTTGGTGTGGCGATCGGCGGCCAACCACAAGTAAGTCAGCTGTTGTTTGACAGAAAAATCAAGTCAAATGTTGTTTGAGAGAACCACAAGTAAGTCAGCTGTTGTTTGGGAAAACAAGTAAGTCAGCTGTTGTTTGGGAGAACAAGTAAGTCAGCTGTTGTTTGAGAGAACAAGTAAGTCAGCTGTTGTTTGGGAGAACAAGTAAGTCAGCTGTTGTTTGGGAGAACAAGTAAGTCAGCTGTTGTTTGAGAGAACAAGTAAGTCAGCTGTTGTTTGGGAGAACTAGTAAGTCAGCTGTTGTTTGGGAGAACAAGTAAGTCAGCTGTTGTTTGGGAGAACAAGTAAGTCAGCTGTTGTTTGAGAGAACAAGTAAGTCAGCTGTTGTTTGAGAGAACAAGTAAGTCAGCTGTTGTTTGAGAGAACCACCAGTAAGTCAGCTGTTGTTTGGGAGAACCACACGTAAGTCAGCTTTTGTTTGACACAACTACAAGTAAGTCAGCTGTTGCTTGAGATATCAAGCACTATGTCAACTCTTGTTGTCATAAGGTGAAACTTTGCAGGCTTCAACAATATTTGTAGGAGTTGATCCATTGAGGTTGAGTTACTAGTCGGTTGGTAAAGTGTTGTGTCCATGTGTGTAATGTTTGGAAATGGTCTGTTTCAGATATGCCAATGTATTCCTTCACCCTGTCACCAATGAAATAGCCCCAGGCTACAAGGGAATAGTGCACAGGTGAGTAACGTCATGTCGAAAGTGAGACAAACAGCACACTAGTGCATGTGAACATTGACATAGCTGATGGCACGGATGGCCTTCACAGATACTGCACTTGAGAATTGATAAATAATATGATCAGATTGGGTGTTGTTCCTTGCCTTGGTTGTATAACATCATGTTGTTCCTGGCCTTGATAGTAGAATGTCCTGTTGTTCCTGGCCTTGGTTGTATAATGTCCTGTTGTTCCTGACCTTGGTTGTAGAATGTCCTGTTGTACCTGGCCTTGGTTGTAGAATGTCCTGTTGTTCCCGGCCTTGGTTATAGAATGTCCTGTTGTTCCTGTCCTTGGTTGTAGAATGTCCTGTTGTTCCTGGCCTTGATAGTAGAATGTCCTGCTTTTCCTGGCCTTGATAGTAGAATGTCCTGTTGTATCTGGCCTTGGTTGTAGAATGTCCTGTTGTTCCTGGCCTTGGTTGTAGAATGTCCTGTTGTTCCTGGCCTTGATAGTAGAATGTCCTGCTGTTCCTGGCATTGATAGTAGAATGTCCTGTTGTATCTGGCCTTGGTTGTAGAATGTCCTGCTGTTCCTGGCCTTGATAGTAGAATGTCCTGTTGTATCTGGCCTTGGTTGTAGAATGTCCTGTTGTTCCTGGCCTTGGTCGTAGAATGTCCTGTTGTTCCTGGCCTTGGTTGTAGAATGTCCTGTTGTTCCTGGCCTTGATAGTAGAATGTCCTGCTGTTCCTGGCCTTGATAGTAAAATGTCCTGTTGTTCCTGGCCTTGATAGTAGAATGTCCTGTTGTTCCTGGCCTTGGTTGTATAACATCCTGTTGTTCCTGGCCTTGATAGTAGAATGTTCTGCTTTTCCTGGCCTTGATAGGAGAATGTCCTGTTGTTCCTGTCAATGGTTGTAGAATGTCCTGTTGTTCCTGTCCTTGGTTGTATAATGTCCTGTTGTTCCTGGCCTTCATTGTATAACATCCTGTTGTTCCTGGTTTGGGTTGTATAACATCCTGTTGTTCCTGGTTTGGGTTGTATAACATCCTGCTGTTCCTTTCCGTGGTTGTAGAATGTCCTGTAGGTCCTGTCCATGGTTGTAGAATGTCCTGCTGTTCCTGGCCTTGGTTGTAGAACGTCCTGCTGTTCCAGTGATGTTTCTGTGTGAAACTTGTTAATGTACCCTGGATTATGTTTAGGCCAATGGACCTTGGAACCATCAAGAAGAATATTGAAACAGGAGTGCTGAGGACCACACCAGAGTTCCAGCGAGATATGATGTTGATGTTTACAAACGCCATCATGTACAACAGCACGGACCAGCCTGTTTTCAAGATGGCCACGGAGATGTACAATGATGTCATGCAACACATTGAGGTAACCATGACAACATCTTTTAGCCTGCGAGGGTCTTGTCTTGTGAGGGTCTTAGATATGCATTATGACTTGGGAATCAAGCTTGGCTTAAACATCAGTCATTAGTTATTGGTTTTCTTTTGTTTTTTCAAATCAACCAAGAAACAATTTATACACAAATGCTGCCAAGTCAGCCATGTTGAAAATTTAGCCATTTCTTGACTTCCACTTACAAGTTGTATTAGTGGGAATGTAAAAGAATATGACATTTTTTCTGTTTTGTTTTCATTTTTCATCTTGTTTTTTAATTGAATTTAATTAAATAACAGATATTTCTTCTCGGAACTCACAAGGCCTATGAAGCTGAATCTTAAGTCTTTGCAATCCCATCAAATGTCTTTATACTAAAATTTGCTCAAAGAATCCTGATACAATTTCCAGTATGGCCACACAGCCATATTTAAGATCCTATTTCAGACCCTAACTCTACATGCATCTGTGTTAGATCAGCATTAGAAATTGGCACTAGTCCTGTAGTCCTTAACTAACTGCCCAATGATAAAGGTATCCTAAGGACTAGTAGAAATTGGCCAATTTTAAGGGTTTTGCTATATGTTATCATTATAAGGACTAGTGGACAAAAACTGTTAGTTTCTAACCCTGTAGATGTGATGAGCTTACAGTGATTTTGTGTTGTCTTCCAGCAATATGTCAGTACCCAGTTGATGGTACAGAGCAATGAGACGAAGATGCTGCGCCAGTCTCGCCGGGGAGAACTCCAGGAGAAGGTATGTGTGTGCAGGGGTATGGTTGCCAGGGGCTACACTGGTCAAAGTAAGGCAAGATTCTTCTTAAAACTTGGTTTATGAATCTGCCGACTCCAAAAATTGAAATGTGGAAAAACAGAAATGAAAAGCAGCGTTGTTTTATTCCACTGATCAAATGTAAGTAAAATGTAATAAACCCGACTCATTTACTGTCGCTGTTAGTTTAAATTAATTACTTAAAATACTACAATCATGATGAAATAAGTAAAACTTACCACAAATTATCTTAAAATCTTCAAAACACAACAAATCATGACGACTCCCTTTTCCTCCCACCCCAACTTTTCTTTTTCCAACCTAATTAACATTTAGACGAATTTAAACATTTATATTTGAGATTGCAATTTAAAAGAAATGAAATTGGCAAAGGTGTTATTAGACAATGTGTTTATTGAGTAAGACGTAAATGATCAAGGTATATCAGTGTAAAGTGTACATTAGTCAAAGTGTGTTTTGGCTGAGGTGAAGACAGCTTTTGGACCCGTGAACATCCGAGTTAGAATTGGTCTTCAGCAACCCATGCTTGCCGTATTATGGCGACTATGCTTGTCGTAAGAGGCAATTAACGGGATCGGGTGGTCAGGCTCGCTGACTTGGTTGATGCATGTCATCGTATCCCAATTGCATGGATCAATGCTCATGATATCAATCACTGGATTGTCTGGTCCAGACTCGATTATTTACAGACCAACATCATATAGCTGGAATATTGCTGAGTGCAGTGTTAAACAAACAATGAAACAGTGAAGACAACTTTTTATCTCAAAGTGTATGCTATTGTAATTTATTTTCATTGTCAAAGAATCAAAACATCTTGAGTTGTCAAACTCAAATTTGTCCCTATCAAAGATGATTTCGAGAACACTCCAAATCCCCAATGTTTATAGCAGTTAATGGTTATGTTGTTTTTTACAGGAGGAGGAGGGAAAGAAAAGGAGAACATCCTCCGAGCAGCCTCCAGAGGGTGGCAAGACAAAGAAGCGCAAAACTCGGGCAGACGACACCTGACTATAAGGACACAACTTTGTACTTGATCTGTTGTACATGTTGCTGGTTAGCACGGAGTTATCTCCCTTCAACACAGATTCAAACTAGCCTTCACATTGTCTATGCTGCTTATGTTGGAACAATCAGCCATTTCCACTTCTGTCAGTGAGGTGTGTAAGAAGTCGTCTTATACACTACAGTATGCTGCCTAAGCATTCACCAGATACATGGGTGGAGCATCATGTGCTGCCTGTATTGGAACGTTTGTGTCCCTCTGACCACCTGGCAGTGTTGCAAACATGGTGTTGGTATGTACATGTATGAATGTAGATGTCCTGTTGTCAGTATCAAGCTTCTTGTAGAATAAATGTCCATCAAATGTATTGACTTCTGTGATTGCCTACCATAACAAAATAACCAGTGAGTGAGTAAGGTTTTACGCCGCTTTTAGCAATATTCTAGCAATATCACGGGAGGGGAGACCAGAAATGGGCTTCACACATTGTACCCATGTCGGGAATCGAACCCAGGTCTTCGGCTTGACGAGCGAGGCTTTAACCACTAGGCTAGCGGACTGCCCCAAATAACCACTGAGGAACTGCCTCGGTGGTGTAGTGGATAGAGTGTCTGCCAAGAGGTTTGTTTGTTTGTTGTTTAAATCGGCATTCAGCAATATTCCAGCTATATGACGGCGGTCTGTAAATAATCGAGTCTGGACCAGATAATCCAGTGACTGACGTCATGAGCATCGATCCATGCAATTGGGATACGATGACATGCATCAACTGAGTCAGTGAGCCCAATCCCGTAAGTCGCCTCTTACGACAAGCATAGTCCATCTTCCCAAGGCAAGAGTGTTAACTGACTTTACAAGTCAAGTTTCCACCCTTGCCGAACTAGGCTTCAATTCCTGGGCTCGATCGTAGTGCCATCGTAGGCTATTACGAGTCATGTACATTCCATGCCTCTCCCATATGGACCAATCCGATTCCACCTCTCGTATCAAATGCATTTGCTTCAAACAAAATGGTGGCGCTCAGTCAAGACGATCTGATTGACCATCAAGATCTATTTTGTGATAAAACGGTTCTTACATCGCAAAGTACATCAAATCATGTGAGCACCTTGATTAAAAACATGAAAAGATTTGAAAATATCTGTTGACAACGAGTTGGCGGTGCACATGCTTTGCAAATCCTGCAATTGACAGAACTCTGCATGACAGTTTACAAACTGGATTTCGATTTCGGTGCGCGATTTTGATTGGGCTATGCATAGACTCGTTACTCCAGCCAAAATGTAACTCCATAATCCCAGCCTAGTTCGGCAAGGGTGGAAACTGGACTTTTCTAGTCAGTTAACTCACTTGCCTCGGGAAGATGAGCATAGTCACCTTTTAGTCTTTTACGGCACTGCATCATATCCAAAGACATTAAAAGATGGTATTTGTTGTTACCCTGCCTGGCACTAGGCATTTTGTGGAGAGAACGGATACTAACGGGCTTGGGAGTCAGTATACTGTGTCTAGGTGGGATATCCTTGTTAAACTGTGCCATGGTGTCTCAGTGAGCTACCATTATAAAACCAGCGTAAGACCGGACTGTTACAAGCAGACACACACACAAGTGCATGCATGTCACCACTGTTGCCCCTGCCTCACAGACAACACATGCAGCAGACGTCAAGGTGGGTGACCAGTTACCCCTGCCTAACATGGTGTTTAAATCCCACACAACACTGTCAAGACATGGTCTATATATTACTTCATCTGAGATGATGATGTGCATAAATTCAGTCAAAGCCAATGAAATGTACATGTTTATTAGTGTTCAATGTTTTCAGTAATGCAACAACCATATCCAGTAGGAATACCAATCTTCACAGCTTGTCAATCTCATTAAAATCAGATCTTAGTTTTCGCTACCGCTAAACAAAGATCTGAGGACATCCCATTACTCGTCACGTCAGAACGACCTTTCGCGAATTTTGACCGACCAATGAAATGACTGACAAGAAATCGACATTAGCCAATCAGAAGGCAGCTTTCTCGGGCTTTACGACACAAGTTTCAAACTGGTGACTACGTTTCGAAACATATTTTGACATATTCTCGATTTAAAAAAAATTAAAACTGATAAAAAGAATATTCTGGAATGGCTTATAGATGGCCTAGATTGTATGGATATAATCATAAAACCCGTAACTGTCGTTCGGAATACTCCGTGTTAAATATTTCGCAGTTGCATGATTAGAAAACACATTCCGACTGTCACTTTCATGATCTGGTAAGCGACGCTCTGATTGGTCGGATGAAAGGTCGTTCTGACATGACCCTTAATGGGATGTCCTCAGATCTTTGTTTAGCGATAGCAAGAACTAAGGTCTGATTTTAATGAGATTGCACAGCTTGTATACATTCCTGCATAGAACAATATTCTCAGTTGACAAAGGTTTTCATATTGAAGCATTTCCTTCAGACAACTGACCTTTTCTCGAATGATCCTACATCTTCTTTGAAGACACTTCAAGCACTAAGATCAGTCAAAAGGTTTTCATGACTTTTAACATTGTTCTGGTGGCTTCACCAATGAACGGTAACCGTGGGAATTCCAGGGTGGAATTGGTTCCAGGCAACACCTGGATTGCTGTCCATAATTACACTTGACAGACAGACAGACAGACACACGCGCACACGCCCACACACTCACCTTCCTTCATAAACATTTACATTAGACGCTAAGATTAAACATCCGGTCACCTTCCTGAGGCAAGGGAGTTAGCTGACTGTAAAAGTCCAGTTGCCATTGCTGGAATTTCTGGGCTTGATTCTGGGAGGTACACATGCTTTGCAAATCCTGCAATCGACCAAAACCTGCATGGCTGTTTACGAATTGGATGTCGACTTCATTATACGATTTTGATTGAACTATGCATAGACTCGTTAGTCTAGCCTCCATAATTCCAGCCTAGTTCGGCAAGGATGGAAACTGGACTGTTATAGTCAGTTAACTCCCTTGCCTCAGGAAGATGACATCTGGTTAGACTAAGAGACAAAGGTTGGACATATTTACATTATAATAATAATAATAATTGATTTGTAAAGCGCCTAATATCCATCGACAGTTGCTCACTGGCGCTGTGACAAGGTTAAAAAGTAATATCTATGTACATATGCCAACAATAAGGAGATCTATTGAAAAGCTGGGGGTGAAGAAGTGGGTTTTGAGGAGAGACTTAAATGTTTCCTTAGAAGCAGAGTTTCTCAGATTCAAAGGCAAAGCGTTCCATAACTGTGGACTGCAAAAGGAGAAGGCACGGTCAGACATAGCAGAAGTAGACAGAGGCTGATACAGTAGAGTTCTACCAGAGGATCGGAGAGCACGCTCTGGAGTGTACAGAGATATAAGATCTTTGAGATAGACTGGATAGGCGCTATTGTTGAGGCAGTCGTGAGTGATGATACATATCTTATAGTGTATACGAAAGGAGACTGGAAGCCAGTGTAGTGCTTTGAGGACAGGACTGATGTGATTGGATCTTGGAACTTTAGAACCGCAGAGTTCTGAATGCATTGTAGCTTTGATATGGCTTTCATGGGAAGATTAGCATACAATGCATTGCAGTAATCCAGTTTGGAGGTCACAAGACATTGCATCAACAATTTAACTGTTGCAGTATCAAGTAGTTGACACACATGAACATCGGGTCACAGTTACATTTATGTACAACAGGGGTTGGGTGGCGAGTCAGTCCTGGTTTGTGTTCAATGATGAATTGTCCACATGGATGTATATCTACACTGAGGTATATTGGGAAGCAGTGACCAGACCTCCTGGTCAGAACTTGACGAGTCCTTCACACGCTGCCAGGCTGAACAGGAAGTTCTCAGTAGCTGGTGGCATCTTTCGTTGTTTCAGGTTGTCCAAAGTCAGTGTCAGTCGCCCGTCTCCCTCGTCAGAGGCTAGAGACCGGAGGTTGCTCAACAACTCCTTGGTTTTCCCAGCCAACTCCTGCAAATCATTTTGATTGCTGCTAATCTGCGTCATATTTGTTTCAGCATTTGAGGAGGTATTTCTCACTGGGTAAATTGTCAACAGAGGAATGAGTGAGTGAGTGAGTGAGTGAGTGAGAGTGGTTTAACGCCGCTTTTAACAGTATTTCAGTCATATCACGGCGTGTCAGCTTAATGTAGGAGGAAAGCCCGAATTGATGCTGGTCTCCGACGTTTACCACTTTGGCGAAACCCACGAGCACGGGTATGGTGCTGACAAACCTATAAACATAATCGGGGTGAACCGGGATTCAAACCCACAATCATAGGTTTCTGTCGTGCCCAAGAGAGGCAACTCTGCACAGCAAATCGCGGCGCCTTAGACGACTGGGCCACCCGTGCCCCCAAACAGAGGAATGAATACACTTCTGCTATACATAAACAAAAGTATCACAGGCATACTCTTGTTTCTGGTGCCTCACCTTTATCCCCCCATGAATATCCAGGTAAGATAGGTCTTCAGCAACCCACGCTTGCCTGAAGAGGCAACTGTGCTTGTCGTAAGAAGCGACTAACAGGATTGGGTGGTCAGGCTCACTGACTTGATTGATGCATGATCGTATCCCAACCGCGTGGATCGATGCTTATGACATCAATCACTGGATTGTCTGGTCCAGACTCGATAATTTATAGACTGCCGTTATATGGCTGGAATATTGCTGAGTGCGGCAATACACAAACAAACAAACAAACAAACAAACAAACAAACCTTTATCATGTCCTCATCCGTGGTGTCAGCTGATTCGGCTTTTTGAACCATCAGTAGTGCTATGTCCTTGTGGAGTTTCCCCATCGCCAGAGCATCTGTTAAGCCACAACAAACTGATCAGCAACGTCCTGGGGATTCTAACAGCTGGGGGCAGCCGGTAGCCTAGTGGTTAAAGCGTTCGCTCATCACGCCGAAGACCCGGGTTCGATTCCCGACATGGGTACAGTGTGTGAAGCCCATTTCTGGTGTCCCCCGCCATGATATTGCTGGAATATTGCTAAAAGTGGCGTAAAACCATACTCACTCACTTACTCACTCTAACAGCGGGAGGTGTTGCTTCTTGACTTTGCTTCAACTATGTCAATGCAGTGTGAGCAAGTGCTTCATAAAACTATCGTGTTCACGTACATCCTGTTCGTCAAGTTCCCCAAGGCAACAAGGTTTTATTTGGGATGCTCATTTCCTAATAATATTCACCTGTCACATGCAAGACCACTTGTAGCCTGAGTTGGAACGGTCGGGAAGCCTAGTGGTAGCCTAGTGGTCAAAGCATTTGCTTGTCACTGAGGACCCGGGTTCGAATCCCGACATAGGTACAATGTGTGAAGCCCATTTCTGGTGTCCCCCGCCGTGATATTGCTGGAATATTGCTAAAAGCAGCGTATAACCAAACTCAGTCACACACTCTAGCCTTAGTTATGTAATGTGTTAGAAATATGAAGTCTCAATACCATATGGCCAATACTTTCAGAGTTAAACTATGTGACTGAATGACCTTCAGTAAACTTAAAGTGATCTTGACCTTTGACACATCCATGACAAATGACTTGTTGATTTAATAGTTTGTCTTCACTGACTAATAAATTATTTTTTTCAGATTTGAACTTCGGTTTGATCCAGAGGTCACTGTAAATGCAACTGCGACCTCTATCTAGTGATCATGGATATTATTATTCCATCAATTCAAATCATGAACATTCAAGATATAATGTACTCAAACCATTTGGACTACCAGTTCACACTTAATACCTTGAACTTCAATGTCAACGAATACTGTCAGAAAAAGTCCCAATATGAATATTTTCAAACTTAATGAGCTGGGCCCACTTGCACAAAGCAATCTTAGCCCTACGATGATCGTAACTCCCATACTCTAACATAGATTTAAGATAGTCATTGCGCTGAGATTGCTATGTGCAGGTGGGCCCAGCCTAGGTCAGAATTAACAGTTAGGATGAATGAAGTCTTGAAGCATTTGACAGCAGAACTGGTACATATATCTGTAATATGTGGAGTCACAGCATACAGTCCTATATATGCTGAGAGAGATAACATTCTTACCTTTAGCATGAGACGCTACAGTTATCTGTCCAGAAGGGCCGTTCACAAACACATCATATAGATCTGGTCTGAAAGGAGATGTGTTCAGGTTAGTAGGGAAACCATGGTTACACAGAAGCGTCTTTTGTCTGCGTCTACAACTGTCTCCATCTGTCCATGGACCGCCTCCGTGGTTTAGTGGTTAAGTGTCCGCAGGAGAGGGAAAGATCCGGGGTTCGATTCCCGACGCGTCATACCAAAAGACGTTAAAAGATGGTAGTTGTTGTTACCCTGGCTGGCGCTCTGCAATAAGGGGTTAAAACAAGGACTGGTCGGCTCGGAGTCCGTATACTGTGTCTGAGTGGGGTATTCATGTTAAACTGCGTCATGATATCTCAGTTGGATAGCACTATAAAATCGGCATCAGTCCGGACACGCACGCACGCACGCACAGATGCACGTTGCTTTATAAGTGCAATAATCTTGGACGCAATAATCTTGGACCTCATTTCACCTCACCCATCAGTCCATGTGTATCACACCAACCTACCTCCCCTCTACGTCAGCCTCAGTGAACTCTGCCACAACTGTCTCCATCAGTCCATGTGTATCACACCAACCTACCTCCCCTCTACTTCAGCCTCAGTGAACTCTGCCACAACTGTCTCCATCAGTCCATGTGTATCACACCAACCTACCTCCCCTCTACTTCAGCCTCAGTGAACTCTGCCACAACTGTCTCCATCAGTCCATGTGTATCACACCAACCTACCTCCCCTCTACTTCAGCCTCAGTGAACTCTGCCACAACTGTCTCCATCAGTCCATGTGTATCACACCAACCTACCTCCCCTCTACTTCAGCCTCAGTGAACTCTGCCACAACTGTCTCCATCAGTCCATATGTATCACACCAACCTACCTCCCCTCTACTTCAGCCTCAGTGAATCCTGCCACAACTGTCTCCATCAGTCTACACATCTCACACCAACCTACCTCCCCTCTACTTCCGCCTCAGTGAACTCTGCCACAACTGTCTCTATCAGTCTACACATCTCACACCAGCCTACCTCCCCTCTACTTCCGCCTCAGTGAACTCTGCCACAACTGTCTCCATCAGTCCATATGTATCACACCAACCTACCTCCCCTCTACTTCAGCCTCAGTGAACTCTGCCACAACTGTCTCCATCAGTCTACACATCTCACACCAACCTACCTCCCCTCTACTTCAGCCTCAGTGAATCCTGCCACAACTGTCTCTATCAGTCTACACATCTCACACCAACTTACCTCCCCTCTACTTCAGCCTCAGCGAATCCTGCCACAACTGTCTCTATCAGTCTACACATCTCACACCAACCTACCTCCCCTCTACTTCAGCCTCAGTGAATCCTGCCACAACTGTCTCTATCAGTCTACACATCTCACACCAACCTACCTCCCCTCTACTTCAGCCTCAGTGAATCCTGCCACAACTGTCTCCATCAGTCTACACATCTCACACCAACCTACCTCCCCTCTACTTCAGCCTCAGTGAACTCTGCCACAACTGTCTCCATCAGTCTACACATCTCACACCAACCTACCTCCCCTCTACGTCAGCCTCAGTGAACTCTGCCACAACTGTCTCCATCAGTCCATGTGTATCACACCAACCTACCTCCCCTCTACATCAGCCTCAGTGAATCCTGCCACAACTGTCTCCATCTGTCTACACATCTCACACCAACCTACCTCCCCTCTATTTCAGCGTCAGTGAATCCTGCCACAACTGTCTCCATCAGTCTACACATCTCACACCAACCTACCTCCCCTCTACTTCAGCCTCAGTGAACTGTGCCAGAACTGTATCCATCAGTCCATGTGTATCACACCAACCTACCTCCCCTCTACTTCAGCCTCAGTGAACTCTGCCACAACTGTCTCCATCAGTCTACACATCTCACACCAGCCTACCTCCCCTCTACTTCAGCCTCAGTGAACTGTGCCACAACTGTATCCATCAGTCCATGTGTATCACACCAACCTACCTCCCCTCTACTTCAGCCTCAGTGAACTCTGCCACAACTGTCTCTATCAGTCTACACATCTCACACCAACCTACCTCCCCTCTACTTCAGCGTCAGTGAACTGTGCCACAACTGTATCCATCAGTCTACACATCTCACACCAACCTACCTCCCCTCTACTTCAGCCTCAGTGAATCCTGCCACATAATGGCTGACAGATTTCAGCCCCTCCAGCTCGCTGCTGGTGAGTGAGACGTAGGGATATACGATGCTCCAGTTCTGTCGATGCCAAACCAAGGCAGGCAGGGATCTGCAACAACAAGGACATACACCACTTGTGTACAGTGACAGCCCTGCAGTTATATCAACATGTCAATCTCATTCAAATCATATCTTGGTTCTCGCTACCGCTAAACAAATGTCTGAGGACATCCCATTATTGGTCACGTCAGAACTACCTATCATCCAACCAATCAGAGTGTCGCCTATCAGATCATGAAAGTGACGGTCGGAATGTGACCTCGAAAACTTTAACTTGGGGTATTCCGAACGATAGTTACGGGCTTAACGACTGAATCCATACAATCTGGACCATTTAATAGCCATTCTAGAATGTTCGGGCGAGCGAGTGAGTAAGTGAGTGAGTTATTAGTTGGAATAAATACAGAGCACGATGGTTAGTATTTTTACAGTAACACATAGAGTTGTTTATATGTCTACTTCTGAGATGGTTTTGCTCTACATAGATATATGTGAGAAGGAGGTACCTTGTGAACACCGGTAGGTCTGCCAGAATATGTGGATGTATGTGAGAAGGAGGTACATTGTGAACACCGGTAGGTCTGCCAGAATATGAGGGTGTATGTGAGAAGGAGGTACCTTGTGAACACCGGTAGGTCTGCCAGAATATGAGGGTGTATGTGAGAAGGAGGTACATTGTGAACACCAGTAGGTCTGCCAGAATATGTGGGTGGATGTGAGAAGGAGGTACCTTGTGAACACCTGTAGGTCTGCCAGAATATGTTGGTGGATGTGAGAAGGAGGTACCTTGTGAACACCTGTAGGTCTGCCAGAATATGTGGGTGTATGTGAGAAGGAGGTACATTGTGAACACCAGTAGGTCTGCCAGAATATGTGGGTGTATGTGAGAAGGAGGTACATTGTGAACACCAGTAGGTCTGCCAGAATATGAGGGTGTATGTGAGAAGGAGGTACATTGTGAACACCAGTAGGTCTGCCAGAATATGTGGGTGGATGTGAGAAGGAGGTACCTTGTGAACACCAGTAGGTCTGCCAGAATATGTTGGTGGATGTGAGAAGGAGGTACCTTGTGAACACCAGTAGGTCTGCCTGAATATGTGGGTGTATGTGAGAAGGAGGTACATTGTGAACACCAGTAGGTCTGCCAGAATATGTGGGTGTATGTGAGAAGGCGGTACCTTGTGAACACCAGTAGGTCTGCCAGAATATGTTGGTGGATGTGAGAAGGCGGTACCTTGTGAACACCAGTAGGTCTGCCAGAATATGTGGGTGGGTGTATGTGAGAAGGAGGTACCTTGTGAACACCTGTAGGTCGGCCAGAATATGAGGGTGTATGTGAGAAGGAGGTACATTGTGAACACCAGTAGGTCTGCCAGAATATGTGGGTGGATGTGAGAAGGAGGTACCTTGTGAACACCAGTAGGTCTGCCTGAATATGTTGGTGGATGTGAGAAGGAGGTACCTTGTGAACACCAGTAGGTCTGCCAGAATATGTGGGTGTATGTGAGAAGGAGGTACCTTGTGAACACCAGTAGGTCTGCCAGAATATGTTGGTGGATGTGAGAAGGCGGTACATTGTGAACACCAGTAGGTCTGCCAGAATATGTGGGTGGGTGTATGTGAGAAGGAGGTACATTGTGAACACCAGTAGGTCTGCCAGAATATGTGGGTGGATGTGAGAAGGAGGTACCTTGTGAACACCAGTAGGTCTGCCAGAATATGTGGGTGGATGTGAGAAGGAGGTACCTTGTGAACACCAGTAGGTCGGCCAGAATATGTGGGTGGATGTGAGAAGGAGGTACCTTGTGAACACCAGTAGGTCTGCCAGAATATGTTGGTGGATGTGAGAAGGAGGTACCTTGTGAACACCAGTAGGTCTGCCAGAATATGTGGGTGTATGTGAGAAGGAGGTACCTTGTGAACACCAGTAGGTCTGCCAGAATATGTTGGTGGATGTAAGGAGGTACCTTGTGAACACCTGTAGGTCTGCCAGAATATGTGGGTGGGTGGATGTGAGAAGGAGGTACATTGTGAACACCAGTAGGTCTGCCAGAATATGTTGGTGGATGTGAGAAGGAGGTACCTTGTGAACACCAGTAGGTTGGCCAGAATATGTGGGTGGATGTGAGAAGGAGGTACCTTGTGAACACCAGTAGGTCTGCCAGAATATGTTGGTGGATGTGAGAAGGAGGTACCTTGTGAACACCAGTAGGTCTGCCAGAATATGTGGGTGTATGTGAGAAGGAGGTACATTGTGAACACCAGTAGGTCTGCCAGAATATGTTGGTGGATGTAAGGAGGTACCTTGTGAACACCAGTAGGTCTGCCTGAATATGTGGGTGGATGTGAGAAGGAGGTATACCTTGTGAATACCAGTAGGTCTGGTAGAATATGTGGGTGGATGTGAGAAGGAGGTATACCTTGTGAACACCAGTAGGTCTGCCAGAATATGTGGGTGTATGTGAGAAGGAGGTACCTTGTGAACACCAGTAGGTCTGCCTGAATATGTGGGTGTATGTGAGACGGAGGTACCTTGTGAACACTAGTAGGTCTGCCAGAATATGTGGGTGTATGTGAGAAGGAGGTACCTTGTGAACACCTGTAGGTCTGCCAGAATATGTGGGTGGATGTGAGAAGGAGGTATACCTTGTGAACACCAGTAGGTCTGCCAGAATATGTTGGTGTATGTGAGAAGGAGGTACCTTGTGAACACCTGTAGGTCTGCCTGAATATGTGGGTGTATGTGAGACGGAGGTACCTTGTGAACACTAGTAGGTCTGCCAGAATATGTGGGTGTATGTGAGAAGGAGGTAGCTTGTAAACACCAGTAGGTCTGCCTGAATATGTTGGTGGATGTGAGAAGAAGGTACCTTGTGAACACCAGTAGGTCTGCCTGAATATGTGGGTGTATGTGAGAAGGAGGTACATTGTGAACACCTGTAGGTCTGCCAGAATATGTGGGTGGGTGTATGTGAGAAGGAGGTACCTTGTGAACACCTGTAGGTCTGCCAGAATATGTGGGTGTATGTGAGAAGGAGGTACCTTGTGAACACCAGTAGGTCTGCCAGAATATGTGGGTGTATGTGAGAAGGAGGTACCTTGTGAACACCTGTAGGTCGGCCAGAATATGTGGGTGGGTGTATGTGAGAAGGAGGTACCTTGTGAACACCTGTAGGTCTGCCAGAATATGTGGGTGGGTGTATGTGAGAAGGAGGTACCTTGTGAACACCTGTAGGTCTGCCAGAATATGTGGGTGTATGTGAGAAGGAGGTACCTTGTGAACACCAGTAGGTCGGCCAGAATATGTTGGTGGATGTGAGAAGGAGGTACCTTGTGAACACCTGTAGGTCTGCCAGAATATGTGGGTGTATGTGAGAAGGAGGTACCTTGTGAACACCAGTAGGTCGGCCAGAATATGTGGGTGTATGTGAGAAGGAGGTACCTTGTGAACACCAGTAGGTCGGCCTGAATATGTGGGTGTATGTGAGAAGGAGGTACCTTGTGAACACCTGTAGATCAGCCAGGGAATGTGGAGGAAAGTAGATGGCTATTCGTTTCTTTAACATGAGAGCTGTGTACAACAGTATCGTCTCCAGGCCCAACGTCTGGACAACATCTGCAATACACAATGACAGAACAATGATAAATATGTCCGACACATATACGGCCAAACAAATCTGCAACTTAAATTATAAACATGATCATTAATCAACTACCATCCTCTTTTTCAGATATGTGCTGCACTACATAATATTAGTTATGGTGTTTTTAGTTGCAGTATATGCCGTCATATTAGGTGAGCAGAAAAATATTGGGAGAGGCGTGAGCTGAGGCCGATATTTTTCTGCTAACCTAATATGACACCGTATACGGCAACTAAAGACACCATAACAAATTTATTATGCCGAATAGTTTACACTTTCTGGTATCCATATCGCATGTCATGTCAAAATGAAAACTTGACACTTACAACCGTACATTGACGTTAAGGGTCAAAGGGAGACTACTAGTCAAACCTAGGAGGCCAAACCTTGTTGAAAATTTTAACTGTAATCTTTATCAATAAAGTCACGAACGTGATCTAAAAAACAGATTAATGACCTTTGACATCACAATTAATGATAGTAAAACACAAAACAGTGTCAAATATCGAATTTCAGTACCAGAATTCCCATGTGAAATATGTGAGGTGGGTGTTGGAAAGTCCAAAATGGCTGTTACTGACAGTATACAGCCTCATATTAGGTCAGTATCAACCATCTTGGATTTTTACTGACGGTATACGGCCTCATGTGGCAGAGTAGTTCTGCTCTCTGATTGGTCAATCTCACTTTGAGGCATAATAATGACTGGTATGATACATTGTTGAAAACAGGACGCAAGAGAAATAAACTGACAAACAACACCTGGCACTACCATCACACAAATAAAGAAGCCGGCATTTGAAATCAGTAGCGACTTTATGGCGTTGTGCAAAGAGGTATCCTCACTCAGCCCCCACCACAAATTGGACTGAGTGAGTGAGTGAGTGAGTGAGTGAGTGAGTGAGTGAGTGAGTGAGTGAGTGAGTGAGTGAGTGAGTGAGTGAGTGAGTGAGTGAGTGAGTGAGTGAGTTGGGTTTAACGCCCTTTTTACAGTATACCAGTTATATCAGGGTGTTTCAGCTTAATGTGGGAGGAAAGCCCGAAGTGATGCAGGTCTCAGACGTTTACCACTTTGGTCAAACCCACGAGCACAGGTATGATGCTGACAAACCTAGAAACATAATCGGGGAGAACCAGGATTCGAACCCACAATCATAGGTTTCTGACATGCCTATGATTCGCAACTCTGCACAGCAAATCGCGGCGTCTTAGATGACTGGGCCACCCTTGCTCCCTGAATCAGTATCTGAGCATCCACCTCTCTCACAGATGACATTCGCAAGGCGTCGCCTCATGCTGCTGATCAGACATTGGAACTGGAAGGTCTCACTTGGCAGCCGACCCGTGAAGTTCCGGGGTAGAATAGGTCTTCAGCAACCCATACTTGCCGTAAAAGGTGACTATGCTTGTCCTAAAAGGTGACATACAGGATCGGGGGGCCAGGCTCGCTGACTTGCTTGATGCATGTCATCGTATCCCAATTGCAAGGATCGATGCTCATGACACCAATCACTGGATTGTCTGGTCCAGACTCGATTATTTACAGACCGCCGTCATATAGCTGGAATATTGCTGAGTGCGGCGTTAAAAGACAAACCAACCAGCCAACCACTTGGCAGCAATTTCCAAAGGTGTTCAGTTGGGTTTAGATCCCAGTTTGTCATTATTTTTCAGATTTTGAATCAGGTTGCTTATATGTAAATGTTTGAAAACTGCAACTAAAGTATGTTTGACACTAGGGCTGGGATGGGTAATTCGGGTACTTGGGTCGGGTGGGTACTGTTTAGGATCAGGGTACCTACAGGACTACCAATACCCGTGGTTCGTCACGTGATATATTGTTTAGTGAGAATAATTCATGTTTACCTCCCAGTTGCTAATGTTCGCATATCTTTCAAACAATATGCGCATTCTTTCTGACTGTTTTATGTTTGAGTAAAGCTACAGTTTCAGTCAACATCAATGTAAGCATGTGCAGATTGTTTTAAACATGTTGTATTAGCAAAACCCTAAGTGGGCCCCATCCTTAAATGGGCCTCAGCCAAAGACAGGAGGGGAGATAACTCTCAAGAGTATGCTGCTGGCTGCAAGCACATGGCTTCAGCCACACTCTTGTACACAGCTACACTTACAGTGATTAAACACAGTTAACAAACGAAGACATCTTTGTCATATCGCCACACATGTATCTACATATTTTATAAACAATTCCAAATCGGACATTTTGTGCCAAACTCTCTGGGTAGGGTTGGGTAATAGGGGGTCGGGTTCCCGGGTAGTAAATTTTAGACTCATCCCAGCCCTATTTGACACATAATGTTGACATGCTTGCGACACACAAAACTGATACAAAAGCAGGAACTCACTTTTGACATTGCTTTTGGCATAGGCTTTTCTGTTACCAAAGTCTTTGACTGAGAACTTCCCATTATCATCGGTGGCACAGACTCCTCTCGTCACCACGCCCATGTACGCCTCCAGCATGGTGGACGGACTGCCCTTCTCACGGTACAGCTTGCTCAGGATCTCGCACAAACGCTCATACTTCTCAGGGTTGAAGTCCCTCGTCACCAACACCAGTGAAACATTGGTCACCTTTAAGAAACCAGACATACAGGTAGAGATGTATCATTGGCATTTGGCAGCAGTGTTTGAAATAATTCTAAAACCCAACAAGTCAGTTGGGCAGGTGACCCATCAGTGTTGCCTGCCTATCTTCAAAGTTACCTGCCCACATTCCAATCTCATTTAAATCTGATCTTAGTTTTCGCTACCGCTAAACAAAGATCTAAGGACATCCCATTACGGATCACGTCAGAACGACCTTTCGTTAATTTTGACCGACCAATGAAATGACTGACAAGAAATCGACATTAGCCAATCAGAAGGCAGCTTTCTTGAGCTTTACGACACTGGTTTCAAACTGGCGACTACTTTCGAAAGATATTTCGATGTATTCTCAATTAAAAATGTTAAAACTGATAAGAAGAACATTCTGGAATGGCTTATAGATGGCATAGATTGTATGGATATAATCATAAAACCCCTAACTGTCAATCGGAATACCCCGTGTTAAATATTTCGTGGTTGCATGATCAGAAAACACATTCTGACTGTCACTTTCATGATCTGGTAAGAGACGCTCTGATTGGTTGGATGAAAGGTCGTTCTGACGTGACCCGTAATGGGATGTCCTCAGAAATTTGTTTAGCGATAGCAAGAACTAAGGTCTGACTTTAATGAGATTGCCCGAATTCAGACATAATAAACATTGAAAAATCACAAAATCGCATCTTGATTCAGTTGAAATAATACAAACAACTACGTGCTCAAACAAAAGTCATCAGAAGATGACAAATCCCTGGTCCCCCAATACCAAAGGCACCACTTCACCCCTGGTTAATACACGTACCAAGTTTAATGAAAAATCTTTCACGGTTTTCAAATACGGATGGATGGACAGACAGACCAGATGATGACCATAATAAATCTGAATAACTCTGAATACGTAAGTAGTCTTAAGATTATCTGCTAGACAGTTGGCCACTGGTGGTGCCATAATCGAGCTACGAAATTCCAGCCTTGTTCGGCAAGGGTGGAAACTGGACTTTAATAGTCAGTTAGCTCCCTTGCCCTGGTAAGATGAACAAGTAAGACTTTGTATTTTTGCACTTTTTTATCAGATTTATCACAACAATGTAAATAATCTTAAGAAATAAAATAATATTAGCTCTGATGACATCAAAAGGAGGTAATACTGTGAAGAATTTGTCTTACTTTAGGCAAGGCAGGTTCCTCACTGATGTCGGTGTGCAGCAGGTAATACCACCGCTGTTGCCACTGGTAGAAGATGAAGCGCAGAGGTTGCAGCAGCCCTGCGCTGAGTCCGCACTTGTGGAGGAGCATCTCCCTCTGGTCTGGGGATGCAGACGGGTAGGACCAGGTCCACAACACGTCCCCATTCCTGTCCTTCTCTGCAAAAACATGTTCAGGCCTCAAAGTTTCAATTTTTACCAAGTAGCCATATGGCTACAAGTATTTTTTTCAGGTAGCCAGTGATAAAATCAAGAAGTCAAGCCAATATTGAAGGTAGCCAAAAGCATTTGAAATGATCTTTTATCAAGTAACTATTATAATATGTACAAGTCATAGCACCAGTCTTGAAATTGTATATTAGTGGAAACTGTGCTTGATTTTTGTTACTTGTGGCTCGAACAAAGATGCAATTTAGGTTACTAGATTATGTATGTATATCCTTGTTTATCAAATAAGCATTGTCTACTGAAATAAAATACTACTGACATTAATATTTATGTATTTCTGTGCATTGTCGACGTTAGGAGGTATCATATGCAAGTACAATTATTAGTAGATATGTTTTCCACAATCAACTGTTATATATATTTGTGTCTTCAAATGTGAAGCAATAGAATTTAGTTGCCACAAGACATTTTGCAAGGAAGTCATTTGGCTACCTCTGAATTTTAGGACATACCACATGGCAGTCTGTAGTGTCAAAGGAGAATACAGGATTAGACAGCATGGCTACAGACAGTGATATATGACATCACAACATTGTATAGGTGAAAACAACATGGGGATCTTTTCGATTTGCTTTATGTTTTTAACTGTTTGTTCATGTGAAAAAAAAATTCATGTGATCAGGTTGGTTGGTTGGTTGGTTGGTTGGTTCGTTGTTTAACGCCGCACTCAGTAATATTCCAGCTATATGACGGCGGTCTGTAAATAATTGAGTCTGGACCAGACAATCCAGTGATTGACATCATGAGCATTGATCCACGCATCAACCAAGTCAGCGAGCCTGACCACCAGATCCTGTTAGTCGCCTTTTACGACAAGCATAGTCGCCTTTTACGGCAAGCATGGGTTGCTGAATCTTCACGGGTCTCATGTGATCAGGGCGATTTTAGTGCTAAGATTATCATACCTCTCAGGCTTTAAAAAAGACTTATGACAGTCGTAGCACTAAGATCGATTTGTTGAACAAGGACCATTACAGCTCTGGTTTTACTGCTATAAGGGACTCTATCTAAACGGCCAGTACGTCGACTGTTCCTGGTGTTTTTGAATCCTGAAACCCACAACCCAAGCACTGCGCAGAGTAACTGAGTTACTAAATACTAAATGCCAGCTTGATTGGATTAGAAGCTGGTGATTCTCAAAGCCTAGATTACAATAAAATGCTTCAGCTGTATGAAGATAATCCCTTTCCTACCCAGCGTAGAACCTCTGTCACATCATCACATCTTACACAGTCCACTCAAGATATTGCATCTGTTGATGTTTCCTTTTTGACGAGTCTACACATTTAGAAAAACATATTTTATGAAATGTGTAACTTCCATTGACAACATATCCTAAAACTTGAAAAACTATTTCCATTTGCGTATTGATTCTCCACATGCTGTCACCTGAGCCCTGAAGGTGAGGTAGTGATAGTCACTTTGATGTCTACAGGTATATCGTCATACACCTCGCTGTCATAGTTGCGGTAATATATCAATATAATGATGCAAAACAATACGTAAAGCACACAGAAAGGCTTGCATCAGGCCCATCTGTTCTTATTTCAATTGGTTGGTTGGTTGGTTTGTTGTTTAACGCCGCACTCAGCAATATTCCAGCTATATGACAGCGGTCTGTAAATAATGGAGTCTGGGCCAGACAATCCATTGACTGATATCATGAGCATCAATCCACGCATTTGGGATCGATGACACGCATCAACCAAGTCAGCGAGCCTGACCACCCAATCCCGTTAGTCGCCTTTTACGACAAGCATAGTCACCTTTTACGGCAAGCATGGGTTGCCGAAGACCTATTCTATCCCCGGAATCTTCACAGGTCTCTTATTTCAGAATAAGTGTACCATATTTCAGAATAAGTGTACCATATTTCAGAATAAGTGTACCATATTTGTTAACAAACAAGAGAAAAGTCTGGTCACGTGATAAGCCTACACCCACAATGTGTTCACAGTAGCAGAAACTTCTCTCGCAGAATAAGGTAAGCAGAGCAGAGTAAGCTTGGATGGGGGATCTGTTATTGTTTACAAACAATGCTTCAGAACAGTCGACGTACTGGCCCTTTAGTTGGTGTTTGTTAAAAAAGTTCAATGGGCACAAGTTTATTTCCATCTCCAACCATTTTAATTAATTAGATGATATAACATGGCTGCCTGTCCATATATGCGCTGGAGTTTTTGCTCTGTCATAATGAATTACACCTACTTCATGACCAACACCAAGATCACAAGACTGCTCAATTAAATTTATGTTACATAAGAGGTTACTGCTGTTATTACTATAGAACAACTATGTCAGCTTTTGTTGTTCTTCCTGACTGGTGAACATACTTCTTATATAATTATGTCAAAGATTTCCATATTTCCATAAAATATCTAGCTTGGCACCAAAAGGGGGCGTGTCATACAATTCAGTGCCGGTTGTGTGTACACGACCAGAGTAAAATAGAATGACATCATTGCAAGTACGAATAAAAAAAACAGAGCGTCACGTATGATGAAGGAAAACCACTAACTCATAATTTTGTCATGTCTACATATCAGTTTGAAAATGTCCTCTAAAACTCACCAATAATCCCCGCAGATATGAGATCACAGAGCGCCGCCATATTGGACGACTGGGGTCAGACTAAAACAGCATGATATCAAAATGGCAGTAAGGAACGTGACCAAAACGGCAGCATGTATCACACATTCACACATATGAGCGTGTTGTTTGTTTTATGTTTACGACGCATTCTATATGACAGCGGCCTATAAATAATAGAAACTGGACAAGACAAACCAGTGATTGATATTGTGAGCAACGTACGACCAAGGCCTTCGGGATACGATGTACCGCAATGAACCAGGGGCCTGTTCCACAAAGCGATCGTAGCACTAAGACAATCGTAACTCCCATACTTTAACATAGACTTACGACAATCGTAGCGCTACAATCGCTTTGTGGAACGGGACCCTAGGTCACCAAATTAATCCATTACATATCCTGACCAGAGGGAATTCCCAGTAAGAATATTGAACGCCATCAAGAGGCGACGAAATGGATCCGGTGGTCAAGCTCGACGACTTGGTTTATGTATGTAATCCTAACCCAATTGCGTGGATCAATGCTCATGGTGTCAACCATTGATGGAGTGGATGGTTGTGCATTTAAACACGATATGGTCATATCAATAATGTTACCACGATTCGCATTTTCATGTTCTAGTTTTACTGTTTTAATGAAGAGCAAGGTCAGAATTGGTCTCCCGCAACTTATGCTTGTCGTAAGAGGTGACTAAGGAAATCGGGTGGTCAGGCTCGCTGACTTGGTTGGCACATGTCATCGTATACCATGGGCTTCACACATTGTACCCATGTCGGGAATCGAAACCCGGGTCTTCGGCGTGACGAGCTAACGCTTTAACCACTAGGCTACCTGGCCGCCCCGTGTGGGTTAGATGAGAAGTCAGTCACAGGATTGTTTGTTTGTTGGTTGTTTAACGCCGCACTCAGTAATATTCCGTTTTGATCATCAAAATTAATTAAATGATAACGCCTACCGGTGTTCCTCGTGTATATATTGTTTAATTGGTATCTAGACACTGTTCCGATACACTCAGCTGTTCCGAACCCGTGAAGATCCGGAATAGAATTGGTCTTCAGCAACCCATGCTTGTCGTAAAAGGCGACTGACGGGATCGGTGATCGCTGGCTTGGTTGATGCATGTCATCGTATCCCAATCGCGTGGATCGATGCTCATGATGTCAATCACTGGACTGTCTGGTCCAGGCTCGATTATTTACACACCGCCGTCATATAGCTGGAATATTGCTAAACAACAAAACAAACAAACAAAAACAGTTGTTCCGACACTGATTGATTGGTTAGTTGGTTGATTGCTGGAGAGTAACCATTCTGGCAGTGCTTAGAGTCGTGGGTTAGATGAGTGAGTGAGTGAGGTTTTACGCGGCTTTTAGCAATATTCCAACAATATCACGGCGGGGGACACCAGAAATGGGAATCGAACCCGGGTCTTCGGCGTGACGAGCTAACACTTTAACCACTAGGCTACCTGGCCGCCCCGTGTGGGTTAGATGAGAAGTAGAGAGCAGCGGTCAGGAAGACAGTGATCGTAGAAGTAGTTGGGCAAAGTTAATGATATTGCTGTAATATTGCTAAAAGCGGCGTAAAACCATACTCACTCACTCGTCGCGGGACCGTTTTATTGTAATTGTTTCGATGTAGTGCCGTTTTAGCTATACACCTTCTGACTTGGCTACTGTCTACTGACACATACAATTGCGCTTTACAAATAATGTACCAGTTATCTCACATATACAGAATACGTGGTTTGTTCTCAGTGTAGGTCGATCGAACTACTATTAAAATTGCGTGTTTCTTATTCATAACTTACTGATACGAGTGTTTTTTTCTCTCCCAATACGCACTCAATATTACGTAATGACAGCTGGAATACTGCTTCCCTAAAACTACCAACATCTACGAATGTTGAACTTCAGCCGAATGGTTCCTTTTTCGCGAAAACCAAGCTGGCATCATCACTATTTGATAGTGATTCATAAATACATGCTCATGATATAGTCGGAATTGTACAATCGACTCTACTTTTGAAAGAGATTTCTTGTATATATGGAAAGGGTTTTTGTCTCGTTTTATTTGGCGTGTGCTCTAACAGTGAGGTATATAATGCATATGCAGATTCAGGGAGAAGGTGGGGTAGGGGAGACATCCTGGGGTGCGTATCCCCCATCTTTTTAAACAATTAACTGACTCACTTTTAGCTATTAAACATAATAAATCTCGAGTTGCTTGCGTTAATTAAAAAAAAATAATTGAAGTGCACGTTCCTTTCCAAAAAGCCACGCCGTAATGTGTGGCTTGTCCCGGAAGGAGATTAGTTGGACACGAATGGGCGTGGGCAGTGATGGCCGTTCACAGGACCAAAAGTCGGATTTTAAACATTTCAAACCAACGCAGATACAGCGGGAAATGCACGCAATGGTCGGATTTGCATATGATTCAAGACAACTTTGGGCGTTGATTTCTTATAAGGCTACACCTTTGAAACATATGATCATCGTGTATTGCCGTTCCACAAGCATCACTGTCATGAGTACTACGAGCTGATTTGGGTAATTTCCTAGCATAAATTCCGAAGTTGATACCTTTTCATTGTGTGTTTCAAATGCATTTAATTTGATTGCTCGAGATTGTAAACTTTCTGACTATTATAAAATAAATTTGCAAGGGTTTGAACTATGAGCATTTCCTTGGGCGGGGAAACATTTGCAAATTTGTTAATTTGATTTGTTCATGATTTCTGTATTTCGAAATCGAACTAAAACGACAAGTTCCGAAAGAAGAAAAAAAGGCCGCGACATTATATTGTTGTGGAAATATAAATTAAATACATTCCGTTTCTGAGGGTCATGGCCTCTAAAGCAAAATCAGTGTATACCATTGAACGTGTATGTACTTTCTATGTGAGTTTTCATTTGTACAAATCGAAATTTCCAAATCAAGGCGGTATAAAACAAAGAAGCCGTACCAATTTAGAAAGCTATCTGTTGGTTGGCTCGAGAACACAGGTAACACTCATTAATTTGATTTTTGAATATTAAAAAATGGTTTGTATCGTAAATTGTGAATATGTGTTGGAACTTGCTGTTTGCAGTTCACGTGATTGACTCGTATCAGGGGTATATATGACCCATATATGGTCTCTTCTTTGATTTTCTCTAAGGTTTGGGGAAAAACGATTCTAATATAATCGGCAACGAATGTATTTTCATTTCATAGCTACGAATTGTTTCGCTTTCGTTAATTTATATTTTCAACCAAACAATTCTTAATTGTCATTTTTCATGATTAAATTTTGTTGCGGCTCAACACTCTATCACTATGTATTAATAATCATACGTGTGGAAAATATTATGTCGTGGAAGCTCACAACATTGTCGAAACACGGGCAGATAGATTTAGGCTTGTATAGCGATGCCTATGCGCTGCTCAGAGTTCTAAAAAGTACATGTGCGTGATTGCCGCCATTGTGGACGAGGATAATCGCAACGTATTTAGGCAAAAACGCTAAAGTTAGCGTTGAGAAATTCTAAAACAACGGCGTCCTTGATCCTAATGTCGTAAACATGCCGACTTACTTTCAAAGGCCAGAAAATGCCCTTAAACGGGCTAATGGTAAGCAATTGATTCCACGTTTATAAGACGATTGCTCCATATGTCTGCAATGACATGCGTTCAGCTGTAGTGTATAAAGTACATCTTTTTGGAATGTAATTGGAGATATTATATGCAACAATATGCAGTCTTTAGCCATCCAATCTGGCCAGTGACGGTTTGGGTAAATTTGGTTCTCAGACCTGTTTGGATATGACAACATATGTTTCATACCTTCAGTCCGTGTCCGGGGTTAAATTAGTCGGAAATCAGTCTGTAATTGCAGATTACTGCTATGACATTATGACAAGCAACTGTACTTTCTCATTGACTAATTTGAACAGTTTAGCCTATGCAGCTTGGCAAGGACAAATCGTGGATAATCACATATTGGGATATTGGTTCGATTGTAGTATCTGTCTGCCACTCAATAATAGATCATAAAAACTAGATAGACTCTCGGCCGATATCTAAAGAAAAAGTATCCGAAAATGCATGTTTACACATGATTCTTGGATCATAAGGGTTAGTTGTGTTCTGGTGAGGATAGGCTAATTACGAGCTGTTTGACCCTGATAAGAAAATAGAGACGAACATTTTCTATAGCGGCTCCAGGATATTAGGCCATATGTCAGTTGTGATACCTCTACAGTAGGTAGGCATGGTAGGTCTATTGATACCTGATAGATTTAGTCCAATATTGTATGTTTGCATGCTTCGTGAGATTTCATGTCTTCAGAGTCTCTTACCAGTAAAAAACGTAAACTTTTGAGTCAATAATATTGTTGCTTTATTTCCATTCTGGGGAAATATTGAGAAAATGGATGGAGTAACCTTGTCATGGATTTATCTAGATCTGCTCTGAGCCTGATATTCAGTGCCAAGTCTACATCAAGTAAAAGAAAAATTCTCAAAATGGCATAAAATTTCCCAGATCATATTAACCTGTTAATATGGCGTTAGCAAATTTTATGGCACTGTAAGCAATGGTAAACATGGTAATGGTGACTTGTTTTACTGATAACAGGACAAATAAACATGAAAAAGAGTCTTGAATGCTTAAAATGCTTTAATTTAAACCATTGCATCGAATGCAATGTTAAAATAAAGTGATAATTACACTTCTGAAATTAAGAAAATATTTTTATTTTTGTTCAAGATCTCAATAGTGAACAGAAGAGCAATGTTACTCTGATGTGCATGCCAAGGGCACTAAATTTGGAATCCTGAAGAGTTCCCTGTTTGTTTAACTTGGCAGCACTATTTCCAGCTATATCTATGGTCTGACAGTAACCTAGGCAGTCAAACAAGCGGTTCATGGCATGAGCAAATAATCAAAGTACTTGACAAATGCATCTCACGTTTGTTCCTGATTACTTAGCTTGTGTTTTCTCTTTTGCAGAGTTCATTGATGTGGGCAAGAAGCAGAGGGCATTGGATGCTCTGTACGATGTCATCAAGAGCAAGAAACATCGGACATGGCAGAAGATCCATGAGCCCATCATGGAGAAGTATCTGGAGCTGTGCGTGGAGCTCCGGAAGAGCCATGTGGCCAAGGAAGGCTTGTACCAGTACAAGAACATCTGCCAACAGGTGCTTATCCCCACAGCTTGTTGTGTTGAGACCATGTAGATAGACGCTCACTCAGTGATGTATACAGACCTGTTCAGAGGCCGATATTCAACCCAAGGTTGCAGCAAATTTCATTACAAATTACCAAATTGGAATTATTAATGAAGTAGCATAACTCATTTTATGGCTTTGTAGAGGTAACCTGTATTTCACTGATAACAGAACCAATAAAGAAGAAGTTTTAATTCATTGAACGCAATCTCAAAATATGATGTTCAAATACCTCTGAATGTAAGACAATAGACTTTAGAGAAGTCCGAAATAATGATGTTTTTCCCAAATGGCCTTTCAGGGGCGCTTAGTTTAACATCCTATATAAATACCTATACAGTAGTCTTGACAGGTGTATGCGTTCTATGTCAGGATTCTTGTATTCTCTAGAGGTTGCCATGCTTCCACGTGAACGTTTTGCATTCTTATCCAGCTCTTGGTTTTCAACCATGCTGACCGTGTAATCAATATAGGGTACATCATTTTGGATATAATCATTGTGTGATCCTTGTAATGAATTATGTTGCAACACCTGAAAGAAAGCCTTTTAGATATCCATCTTGAAAGAAACAGATTATTTTATCCAAAAATCATCAACGTGCAAGATGCAACCAATATGCTGTATTCCTGATATCATTTCTGTTTTCACGATCTGTGTATTGTTTATGATGCAAGGAGGAATCCTGTGTCAGAGTCTATTGACCATGGTTTCTAATCTGAGATTCTTCCTGATCATAACCACCTCCGTAGTCTAGTGGTAGAGCGTCCGCCCGGAGAGCGGAAGGTCTGGGGTTCGATCCCCGGCCGCATCATACCAAAAGATGTTAAAAGATGGTACTCGTTGTTACCCAGTCTGGCTAAAACAAGGAGTGGTCGGCTCGGAGTCCGTATACTGTGTCTGAGTGGGGTATTCATGTTAAACCGCGACATGGTATCTCAGTGAGCTAGGGGGGCGGTCGGGTAGCCTAGTGGTTAAAGTGTTCGCTCGTCAAGCCTAAGACCCGGGTTCGATTCCCGACATGGGTACAATGTGTGAAGCCCATTTCTGGTGTCCCCCGCCGTGATATTGCTGTGATATTGCTAAAAGCGGCGTAAAACCATACTCACTCACTCACTCAGTGAGCTAGCACTATAAATCGGCATCAGTCCGGACTAGTACAATCAGCCACACAAACACACATGTACATGCACGTCGCTATATAAGCATGATAAGTGCAACAATCTTGGACTTGACGTTAAACCCCATTTCACCTCACCTCTTCCTGGTCATTATCCCTGGTCTTGTGAGAACCATACATGATCATGTGGGTTGCACCTAAGTAGTAATCATGTGTGACCTTGTGTGACCTTGATCACTTTAGGCTTCTCCATTTAAGTTAAATCCCTTGAAGATTCCAGGTTAGGATTGGTCTTCAGCAACCCATGCTTGTTGTAAGAGGCAACTTACATGATCGGGTGGTAATGCAATTGCGTAGATCGGTGCTCATGATGTCAGTCACCGGATTGTCTGGTCCAGACTCGATTGTTTTAGACTGCCGTCATATAGCTGAAATATTGCTGAGTGCGACGTTAATCAACAAACATACATTAACAAAACTGACTTCTCTAAAACCTTAAACAATCTTCTTCTTTGCAGGTGAACATCCAGTCTCTTGTTGATGTGGTGAGGAAGTATATATCCCTGGCAGAGGAACAGACGGAGTTGGCTCGCAAGGAGTCCCACCAGACTGTACTTGACATTGACGACCTTGACCTCCCAGACTCCCCAGAAAGGTGAACCTTATCACTTTGTTGTAGAGTAATGCATCCAAATGTGCGACAATAGATGGTAAACAAAAGGCAGAACTGTGACAAATTGTAAATGCCATGTGACGTGTCGGATGCAGACATTGTTGTGATTTTATCAAAGTGGACTATTTACCCTGTTTACCTATCACCATTGCTCATAATATCCATCGTTGGATTGTCTGGTCCAGAGACTGTGCAGGGTTGCATACCTAGAAACTAACATTGGCAGATTTCACTTAATAATGGTGCAAATTAGCTGTCACGATTCGTATTGTATGGGGATACAGTGGTAGAAACTAACCTTTTTAGTCCACTGGTCCTTATAATGATAACATATAGGAAAACCCTTAAAAACAGTTAATTTATACTAGTCCATATGATACCTTAACTATCGGGCAGTTGCAGGACTAGTGCCGATTTCTAACGCTGGGGATATGTATTGTTACTCATATATCCTGATATGTATCGTGACTCAAGTTTATTGATATGTATCTATTTATAGTGCTATCGTCTCATTACACTTGTAGAGTAATAGGTTTCTGGGGGAATGTTATGCATCGTGTGGGTAGCTAGATTGGTTTCCTGCGAGTCTCTTTCGTTCTTCTTGCTGTTACGCCAGATCCCCAGCCGCCTCATACCCTGCCTGCCGTATTTGGGAGCAGTTGGCCGTGTCAGAATGGGTTATGTGTAGCAGATAGTTGTAGAACATGGCTGAACAGCTAGTGATCAGGTTTATCAGGTAGAGTTGGTTAGATGTAGCAGGTAGTGAAGGACTGTACCTAATGTATGGGGTAGTTTGCAAAATTCTAGCGTTGTGGTCAGGTGTGTTTGTAACTAATATGTGCTAAAAGCATGGTTTGAGAAATCCAATATTCATTCCCAGCAGTTAATAGACCCCCACGGTCATTGTTGATGAAAGTCAACTTGTATGAGGATCGAACTGTAATGTTGTGTTAACTGGCTGAATGTGAGGAAGCTAAGAATTGTAACAGTATTAGTGTCTGTCAATCATAGGCGTTGTCATGGTGACCCATGTTTCCATGATGTCAAGAGTGGACCAACATCTTTGACGTGAAACTATAGGTTTTCCAGGACAGATAGACTTCCTCATCTGCTGCTTTTCCTAATGATGGCCACCGTGGTCCAGAAGATAAACCTCTGCCTGAGAGGGGAAGGTCATGGTTTAATCGGCGCCCAGTCGTCCAAGGCACCGCGATTCGCTGTGCAGAGTTGCCTCCATTGGGCACGCCAGAAACCTATGATTGTGGGTTCGAATCCCGGTTCACCCCGATTATGTTTCTAGGTTTGTCAGCACCATACCTGTGCTCGTGGGTTTCACCTAAGTGGTTAACGTCTGAGACCTGCATCACTTCGGGCTTTCCTCCCACATTAAGCTGACACGCCGTGATATAACTGGAATAATGTTAAAAGCGGCGTTAAACCCAACTCACTCACTCACTCACTCATGGTTTAATCTCCGACCGTGTCGTAGCAAAAGACCTAAACAAACTGTACTTGTTGTTACCCTGTCTGGCGCTCCTCGGCATTAAGGGGCTGAAACATGGATCTTGATACTGTGTTTAGAGCGGGGTATTCATGTTAAACTCTAGCATGTTATCTCAGTGGACTAGCACCATAAAATGGACATTAGTACGGACCAGAGCATGCATGCATGCACGCACGCCCACACACGTCGCTATGTAATTACAATAATACGAACACAATGTTAAACCCTATTTCACCTACAATAGTATTGTTAATGTGGTTGCTGGACGAATGTTACACCTTGTGTAAGCAGTTAGGTTACGTTTCCTACGAGACGCTTTCTTCTGTTCCTCTTGCTGTTACGTTACGCCTTATGATGTGTTCACAGCTTGCTGTTGAAAGCAGTCAGTGGGGAAGATACACAGGACCGAACCGACCGTGCCATACTGACACCATGGGTGAAGTTTCTATGGGAGTCCTACAGACAATGCCTGGACCTGCTCAGGAACAACTGTCGAGTAGAGCGACTGTACCAGGACATTGCACAGCAGGGTACGTGATGCAGCAGGTTGTCGGGGGCACAACAGTTACGATTTTGAGCCTATGAGTACGCTTTGACATGTGTACCCCCTCATGTTATTGGCATATGTTAACAGTGTGTAACGACCTGCTCACTCTCATATTAGATTCTAGAAGCACGGGTTGCCCAGTCGTCTGAGGCACCGCGATTCACTGATCAGAGTTGCCTCCCTTGGGCACACCTGAAACCTATTTAGTGTGGGTTCGAATCCCGGTGGTGCGGTCATGATTCCCAACATGGGTACAATGTTTGAAGCCCATTTCTGGTGTCCCCCGCCGTGATATTGCTGGAATATTGCTAAAAGCGGCGTAAAACCATACTCACTCACTCGAATCGCGGTTCGCCCCGATCATGTTTCTAGGTTTGTCAGCACCATACCCATGCTCGTGTGTTTCACCGAAGTGGTAAACGCCTGAGACCTGCATCCCCTGGGCTTTCCTCCCACATTAAGCTGACATGCCGTGATATAACTGGAATACTTGTAAAAGCGGCGTTTAACCCAACTCACTCACTTATTAGGTATCTGTCTTATTTTCAGCTTTCAAGTTCTGTTTGAAGTATGCCCGGAAGACCGAGTTCAGAAAACTATGTGACAATGTGAGTAGAAATAATTACCCACCTTGTCATCTTGGAATCATTTGATTTTGTAAGATATTTATTAATTTACTCTGTACGATAATGCAAGAATCAACTTTCAAAATTAGCAGGGGTAATTTGAATGTGTGAACATCTCGTATGAAAGGTAATAGGTTTTCTTGTTGCCACCTACAGCTGCGTACCCATCTCGGCCACATCCACAAGCACCAGCACCAGCAGACGGCAATCAACCTCAACAACCCTGACTCCCAGGCCATGCACCTGGAAACCAGGCTGGAACAGCTCAACAGTGCCATCAACATGGAGCTGTGGCAGGTATGGAAACGCGAGTGTCATGTCTCCCCGGCATCAGTCTCCGTCTATGTAATACCAATAATAATAGGCCTGTTGTGTTGTGCATATTTCCCAACCACACAGGGTCATGCTGAAAGCGTTATTGATAACCGGCTCACTGGATCAGTTTGCACTCAACAATCATTCTCAGCTCCCTGGGGCGGTCGGGTAGCCCAGTGGTTAAAGCGTTCGCTCGTCACGCCGAAACCCGGGTTCGATTCCCGACATGGGTACAATGTGTGAAGCCCATTTCTGGTGTCCCCCGCCGTGATATTGCTGTAATATTGCTAATAGCGGCGTAAAACCATACTCACTCACTCAGCTCCCTAGGGAGTATCCAATTGTGCATAGGACCACGTGCCAACACCACTACATATTGGTCTAAGTGTACACCTGACTGCCGTTCTATGGCTTGAATATTGCTGAGTGTTGCATAAAACAACGAAGTGTACACGTTTTATTCACCATGTTTGCGTTCAAACATATTCCTCTTCTTGGTCTAAATGTACACCTGACCCGTGAAGATCCAGGGTAGATTAGGTCTTCAGCAACCCATGCTTGCCATAAAAGGTGACTATGCTTGTAAAAAGCGACTAATGGGATCGGGTGGTCAGACTCGATGACTTGGTTGATGCATGTCATTGTATCCCAATTGAGTGGATTAATCACTGGATTGTCTTGTCCAGACTCGATTATTTTTCAGACCGCCGTCATATAGCTGGAATATTGCTGAGTGTGGCGTTTAACAACAAACAATCAAACAAAATGTACACCTTGTCTCAGTTTCAGTGTAAACCAAGTCTTAGGCAAGTTTAGTGTATGTCAGCTCCAAGTGTGCACCATGTTTTAAGTCAAGGTTGTCATGCCTCCATCTATGTGTACACCACATCTTTATGTGTCAATCTAAGTGAATACAACTTCTTATGCTAATTGTACACCACATCGCAGTCTTATCTGACACCAAGTCTAAGCATATGCCATGTCTCGATCTAAGCATATGCCATGTCTCGTTCTAAGCATATGCCATGTCTCGTTCTAAGCATATGCCGTGTCTCGATCTAAGCATATGCCGTGTCTCGATCTAAGCATATGCCATGTCTCGTTCTAAGCATATGCCATTTCTCGTTCTACACATATGCCATGTCTCGATCTAAGCACATGCCATGTCTCGATCTAAGCACATGCGATAGCTCAATCTACAGTCGTCCAAGTGTCCAAGAGTAAACCATGTTGTTGCAGGAAGCGTTCAAGGCTGTGGAGGACATCCATGGACTCATCATTCTGTCCAAGAAGTCACCCAAACCTTCCCTGATGGCAAATTACCTGCAGAAGTTTGGCCTGGTGTTCTGGAAGTCTGGCAATCACCTGTTCCACGCCTGCACCCTGCACCGCATCTTCCACCTGTCTCGGGAGCAGAGGAAGAACCTCACCACAGAAGAGCTACAGAAGTAGGTAGAGAGCTATAAGGCTAATAAAAATAATAGTCTTGGTTCTCTGGCACCACCTGCATCATCATAAAGTCTGCTGCATGTTTGTTTGTTTTTTCCATTTTCCATTTTTTTTACCAAAACAATCGGAAATCGAAACAAAAACGAAATAGGCAAATAACTTTTTGATGATGTGGGCAGTGTCTGAGAACCAAGACTATTATTTGTTTCAGCCTAATGTGGGCAAGTGTAAAGATGTCTTCTGTCGGAGCTCTGTGAGTCTTCATCAATACCTCACAGATTTGTATATACCGTGAACTATGGTTCTATGAACTCAAAGGGATCATGAATTTAAGTTAGTTATAACCGTAGTCCATTCTAAGCAAATTTGCAGCATATATACAGCAAATGGTCAAAAAGCATGTTTGCTATAAACATAGTTTACTGTACTTTCATCTTTCAAGAAAATATATAGTCCAGGGTTTCATATCAGTGCATTTTTCCAGGACTATGACTGATAATTATCCAAAATGTCAAGAGGATATTGTTCATGTTTGGTGATGGCATATAACAATATCCTATCAGAATTTGCTAAAGTCCTGAAAATGTCCTGATATTTGTCTCGAGCAAAGTCACTTGCAATCCCATGATCCCTCATTCTAACCAGAAAATCAAACTGGCAGCTTGTTCCAACAAGACCAAACTCCGTGAGTGCACAGCAGACTGATGAGTTCTCCGCTTTAGTCACACTCAGAGCAAAGTTCCTTGTGCAACGTATGTACATGCAGTCTGTGTCCTAGCCTTGTGTGCAGCCTGTTCTACACATTGACTTAATGTCAAGCAGTAAATGTGAGGCACAAACTTCATGTAGGGCTCTTTTGACTTTCACGGGTAATTAGTCACACTTTAAGAAGTTTTACAACGCATGTACCTACAGGAGTAAGGCTGTTGCTAGGGGAAGAGTTGAGGGGGGCACGAGCAGCCCAGTTGTCTAAGGCGCCGCGATTTGCTGTGAAGAGTTGCATCCCTTGGGCACGCCAGAAACCTACGAGTGTGGGTTCGAAGCCCGGTTCTCCCCGATTATGTTTCTAGGTTTGTCAGCACCATACCCATGCTCGTGGGTTCCACTGAAGTGGTAAACGTCTGAGACCTGCTTCACTTCAAGTTTTGTCCTACATAAACATGACTAAACTGACACGCCGTGATATAACTGGAATACTGTTAAAAGTGGCGTTAAACCCAACTCACTCACTATACACACTGTTCGTCCACTGACCCAAGTTTATGGACCAGTAAAATGAAGGAAGAGAGTTATGAAGAGAGTTATTATGAAGAACACAACATGTTCAGAGTATATGCTTTTTCCTTCATCAGGTGAAACATTCAGGAAGGAGTAAGCTATCCTCACAAATGTTCCAAATAAGAACTTGACATCCAGAGGCTCTCTTCCTTATGTGTTTCATTTATGGATTGACTGTTTATTTTGTTCGGTTCATTGAGCATGTTGAGGTATGAGTCGAAAAACCAATGTGAAAACTGTATGAATCCGCATAGCAGATGCTTGCAAAAGTTTGCGCATCGGTTTTTCGATTCATACCTCAATGAACCGGACAAAATATGCAGTTAATCCATATAATTATACCCCCGTTTACGAAGTAAATCGGGGGGTACATAGCGTTCCGTTCGTCCGTCCTTCTGTCCGTCCGTCCGTCCGAGCTTTTGTACGGCCAATAACTTTTTAACCATGCACCCTAGCTTCACCAAACTTGCTACACAAATTTACCACAATGAGTACTTGTGCCTTTTGCTAGTTTGAAGATTCTGAACTTTTTAATTTTTGCTGTTTCCATGGAAACATTAAGAAACTTAAACTTTTAGGGTGGGTATTTTGTACGGCCCATAACTTTTTAACTATGCACCTTAGCTTCACCAAACTTTCTACACACATTAACCACAATGAGTACTTGTGCCTTTTGCTAGTTTGAAGATTTTGAATTTTTTTATTTTTGCCGTTTCCATGGAATCATGGTGAAACATGAATTTTGGATAGAGTTTTTGTAAGATCCATGTTTACAATATTATGTATCCTAGCTTCAGCAAACTTGCTACATTAACGGCTATGATTGTTTTTTATCTTTTATAAGATTCTGAAAGTTTTGTCTTTTGCTGTTTTTATGGAAACATGATGGAATTTAGAAATTTTGATGACTGGTTTTGTATAGCTAATATATTTTCAAAAATTGTTTCCACACATGTAGATCATCATAAGTATCTGTGCTTTGTGATAGTTTGAATTTATGAATTCTTTACCATATCTGTTAAGGCTAGATAGAAATTTTTAATTTTTTTATTTTCTTATATGACATTGTTCCATTTTTTATGTGTTTTTATATCAACAATTTTTGGTCCTTTTGATAATTCTTCTCATGTAACTCCTCAATCAAATTTTTATTCAAAGGTGTTCATGGTGATCTACTTCCTCGTAGTGAACACCGGTAACATGGGAAATTTGGTGTGTGGGGGGGTGTCAATTGTCACTGGAACTCAATCTTAGTTTTTAAAACATTGAAGTTAAAATCAGTTAGAAATATGTAATATTTCATTAATTAACAAACTATAAATTTACTATTTGTTGTTGACCAGCGGGGATAACGGGGGTATGTGAGCTTTGCTCACTTCTTTCTTGTTAAATTTGACTACGAAAACATGTGTTATGTACAAAAGTTCAATCAAAATAGGTGATATAAATCAAAGAAGACAAAAATGTTGAGATTGATAAACAATCCAGGCGTAGGAATACATACCGTGGCGTGACATGACTTATATAATTTATGCACAAAACTTGACACGCCCACAAATCAGTAGCCAATCAACGGAGAGAAGGATCAAAACTAACTTCATAGGACCTGTCAATCAAGGCAAGAGGCGAGAAGCACTGCAACAGTCAGACTGTATCGAAAACCGGAACAAATTTTTATTTTCAAATGACATGGTCAGTTACCGCCAGATCCAAGCATTAGTTCCCTGAGAATGGGAAGACAAAGTTGGAAATGTGCGGGTAAGAAATGAAAACCGGAGACATGAAATTTGTGGAACCCAAGCGAGCAGTTAAAACAGTTTCATTCCTTCTCGGCCTCTTGGTTTCAAAGGGTAGTGGGGGGCACGGGTGGCCCAGTCGTCTAAGGCGCCGCGATTCGCTGTGCAGAGTTGCGTCCATTGGGCACGCCAGAAACCTATGATTGTGGGTTTGAATCCCAGTTCGCCCCGATTATGTTTCTAGGTTTGTCAGCACCATACCTGTGCTCGTGGGTTTCACCGAAGTGGTAAACGTCTGAGACCTGCATCACTTCGGGCTTTCCTCCCACATTAAGCTGACACGCCGTGATATAACTGGAATACTGTTAAAAGCGGCGTTAAACCCAACTCACTCACTCACTCAAAGGGTCATTTGGGTTAATGAACATGCAAGAATTTTGCTTAATGTCCTGTGCATGACGATACACGTGAGCAGAAATGGAATTCACTCGTCTGTCATATTGGGAGTCCTGACATTCCGTTGCAATAAAAGTAGTCCGCTTCTGTGGGCGTGGCTTAATTTTTTACATTCATTGGGAAATGAATGCAATAACACGTGACCATTTCGGCTAATCAGAATGCAGGAATTACAATGAACACAACAAATATTTATTTATTTCTAAATGGCTTTCAAAGACTCAGTAAACTTAAACTAATGGTGGTCCAGTGGAAATTAACAAATTGATGATCTAACAGGAACGGTAGATATGTTTAAGTGGTGGTCCTTTGGACCATTGATAAATACCATTGAAGACTGACAATTAAAATATGAAATAAATTTTAGGATTGATAGTTTTGGATTTTATGTAAATTTATTGACGACCTTTTCCAGAATGGCTTCTCGTGTTGTGTGTGCAACATTGGCAATCCCTATCGCTACGTCACGCAACACCATGGGACAACTGCTTGAGATGGATGATTCTGTGATGGAGAAACAGCGACGACTTGCAACACTGCTCATGTTGCCTGCCCCGCCCACCCGTCAGGCCCTCATCAAGGATCTGGTAGGTAGTAGTCACATTTTTTAACTTATCCTGCATTACTCCGTATTGCATTTACTGCTATGTTTGACAGAGAGACGAACTGTGTGAGATCCAGCTGCTGAAGAAAGTTGTCCCAACCAGCCCAGGAGGCAGCGCCCTCTCACAGTCGGCACGTGACCCGGAAGTCATGACGTCACACAAAAAGACATAACTGCTTTGTCACCTCCACGGATGGACGTACTTTGTATCCCTTGTGGAAATTAAAGCTTATTATTTGTTTTTTATATTTTGCGTGTTTCTACATTCATTATATGCTGCTACATTGTTACCTGTTATGGGCCGTGACCTTAGGGTCTTCCCATTCGTAAATTGTAACGTTCATCGCTCGTCTGTGGCTCACGTCACAGTAATTTACGGGCGCAATGTTGTTCCCGCCATTTTGTTTTCTTTCCCGCCATTTTGGCCATTCACCACGTGGCCACGTAATGTCGTGATCTGCGTTTTGAATTCTCTCTTTGGCTTGGGTAATACATTACATTTATGTATGTTGTTTTGGTGTGCTTAAAGCCTTGCCTTTTCGCTACCTCTAAGCGTAATTGTTTCTTCTCATAAACTTCAATATAATACGAAGTTTATGAGTTACATTATGTCTCCCGTACTCTGTGGTTTTGCCACATGGTTACGTGTTTGGTTAAGGCATTGCCTTTTCGCTCCCTTTTAGCGTACTTGTTTATCTCATAAACTTTAATAAAATATACTGTTTTTGAGTTACTTTATGCTTCCCATACTTTGTGATTGGCCACACATTATGCTTCCCGCACTTTGTGGCTTTGCCACATAGTTATGTTTTGCTTAAATTCCAGATTTTCTGCCTCGCTGCACTTGTTGCCGCGGGAACAAATCTGGCCGGGGCCGCCCCTTTCTGCCGTGATTGTACGACGCCCTGTACTTTCACAAGGCAGTGCCGATGTTGCAGTCATTCGTCGCTGTGATCCTTCAGCTCATGCGAGTATCCAGGACACACCTCGCTCAACGTGCTCGTCGACCCCCACCTACGTTGACGGCAGCAGCGCTCAGCGGAGCTTCACGGCGGCTCCCAACGTAGAGTCTGCCTCCCATGGCACGACATACGACCGTTCACGGTCTCCTACTCCACTGGCGGCTCCAGCGCTCCCAACGTAGAGTCTGCCTCCCATGGCACGACATACGACCGTTCACGGTCTCCTACTCCACCGGCGGCTCCAGCGCTCCCAACGTAGAGTCTGCCTCCCCTGGCACGACATACGACCGTTCACGGTCTCCAACACCGTCAACGCTGATGTCTCCGGCGCCCCCGGCGCCTCCGATGTCTCGGCGCTCCCGGCGCCTCCGGCGCCTCTGATGACACGGCGCCTCCGGCGCCTCTGATGACACGGCGCTCCCGGCGCCTCCGGCGCTTCTGTGACGCGGCGCCTCTGATGACGCGGCGCCTCCGATGTCTCGGCGCCTCTGATGACACGGTGCCTCCGATGTCTCGGCGCCTCTGATGACTCGGCGCCTCTGATGACACGGCGCCTCCGGCGCCTCCGATGACTCGGCGCTCCCGGCGCCTCCGATGACTCGGCGCCTCTGATGACTCGGTGCCTCCGGCGCTTCCGATGACTCGGCGCCGCTGATGTCTCGGCGCTCAACAAGCTTCATGACTTGTTCATGACAAGCTGATGACTCGGCGCTCCCGGCGCCTCCGATGACTCGGTGCCACCGGCGCCTCTGATGTCTCCGCGCTCCGGCCCCTCCGCATCCTCTGATGTCTTCGGCGCTCAACAAGCTTCAGATCAACAAGCTTTATCAAGCTCAGATCAACGAGCCGACCATCCGATCTTCTACTGCGGCTTAAGGGGCACCATCGGCAATCGCCTCCCCGGCGCCACTGCCCTCTTCTCTTGCTGCCGTCTCATAACTCGTCACACGGAGAAGCATGGTGAAACAACTGTCGCCGCTCCTGTCGCTACTCTCCCGTCGGTCTTCGGGATCGTGACTATCGTACTACTTCCTGGGTGGAATCATTTCAACCAATAGACAGTTGGTCTGATTCAACTTGCCCACTGAGACGTTATCCATACTCCCGTCGTTTAAAGCGCTATGATTCCGGAGAGATGACCTGCGGGTTTCCATCGAAACAGAGCGTCATGTGAACAGCGTCTGTATCAGATTCGATGACGACATCCACTTACAAAGAGTTTACTTCGTCGACATCGCAGACATCAACGCTGTTCTACCCTACCCTAGCGCCAGCGTTCCTGAGAGAGACTCTTCCTCGGCGCTCCCCGGGTTTTACACGACGCCCATGGGGTTCCGTGTTTTATCGCAAAACTCGGGTACACCACTTGATCGTCTCTCACACAGTTCATTGAGGATTGTCTGTGTGTGGAGTTTGCACCTCAGTTCCGACTCCAAGGCGGTTTTCTCGGCCACTGCGCAGAGTGATTTACATGTCACTTGTCAAGTACTCGGACTGTCAACAACTCCGACCGGATTTAGGTCAACTTACCATAGCAAGGGGTGCCATGTATTTCTACAGATTGGTTTCCATGTCTACCTGTACGCTTGGTGATACCACTCAACCAGGCGCCTGTCGCAGTCCATCCATGCACGAATGTTGGAAACAATAGACCTCCTCTACCAACACGGCTGTCACGAGGAACCTTGTTTCATCAACCCTTCGCTATAAGAACGATAGCGCCTATAGGCGTTCAAGGGATGGAAAAGATCGCCTTCCTTCGTCCGGTTTGATCTTTTCGACTACGACACCTTCCTATCTTCCGCCTTGACTACCGGACACAGTGTCGATTTGATACTTAAAGTCCCTCGGCCGTCCCACTGACCCCTGTTGCATACCTGCCTCGTATCGTGTTGTCGTCCTCCATCGTCACCTCGATATAAGAACAGGAGTACTTATACGCCGCTTCAGGGATGAAAACGATCTCATTACTTCGTGCAATGGCCATATTGCCTCGACTTCCTACTACCCGGTTACGTCGATGCCCCGGCGGTCGATTGTGAAGCTAGTTTACTTCGTCTACTTGAGGTTGGCTCGCAGGCGATCACACCTTTTTCCGAATCGTACCGACGGTACGCAATCGCAGACCCCTGTTGCTGACTACCTCCCCTGCCACCTTGTCAGTGGCTAGTGGCCCACGCCAGCCCACATTGTGACCACCTGTGATCCAGAGATCAACACCATAGGCACAGCAACAGCCTCGAGATAAATGCTTATCCAGGACGGCACTTGCTGACAGTGCATTCTCGGTCACGCCCTGTTGATCGTGTCCACTGACGACGTCACCGTAGTGTGGTGTTTGCGGACCCAGAGTTCTCGCCCCTCTCCCGGCGCTACAAACTCGACCGGCGCCCCCGAGAATCACCATCTTAGGCGTTCCAGGCGCCTCAAGCTCTCCGACGCCTCACGCTCTCCGGCGCCTCGGGCCAGACTATGTGAAACAGTCGACACCCCAACCCTAGATCTGTTTGCCTCATATCTGAATGTGGCCAGCAGTCGTCTTCCATTCCACCTGTGCCGGATACGACCGCTGTGGCAGTCGAAGCCTTCCATCGTTCCTGAGAAGGATTACGCGCGTACGCTTTTCCGACTCCGGTTCTCCCTCCCACGGTTCTTCAGAGATCCAGGCCACTCGACCCCTGCCATTGACTTTGGTCTCGCCTTATTGGTCAGCCAGAAGTTGGGTTATCGACCTCCGAAACATAGCCAGAGACAACCCCTGGAACTTCCTGTGTGGTCCAACCACACGGTCTGTTGCCACACCCTCATACCCGCATGTTATCGTCTGCACGCCTGACACACATGCAGAAAGCCAAGGGCTATTTGGCTAGAGCGACCAAGGCTATTGCTTCAGCCCACCGTCCATCTACAGGGGGACTGTATGCTGATAAATGATGCTTGTTCCAGGCATTTTGTTCTGACAAACACCAGGATCCGATGACAGCGTCACCGCAGATTCTGGATCAGTTCCTTCTGTACTTGTGTAGCACCCGTCGGTTGAAGGGCTTACCACCCCCACATACCTGGTCGCCATCTACTCCGTTCTGGCCATCCCGGACGATCGGAGAAAGACGAAAATTCCCGACCTACGGGCCTGGCTGCGCTCGTTCAGTCTTGAAGACCTGAATACCAAGTTCGGACCGCCTGCGTTGGATCTGAATGCGGTCTTCAACGCCTTTCGAACCATTCCCCTCGTCTTCCTTCTACGACCTTAAGTAGAAGACGGGTGTTTCTACTGGTTTTGACTACTGCCGCTCGAGTCCATGTACAGCACGCCCTCGACGTCTCCCATGCCCGGTTCGAATGCGGTACCCAGGGCGCCGTTCATCATGGACCGTACTGGGACGTCAGCGTAAAGACTCAACTCCCAGGACAGCCTGATAGATCATTCCTTGTCCCCTCCCCCCTCGTCCAGTGTGGGTGCCGAGGATGAGGATGAGCGTCATTATGCCCAGTAAGGGCACTGAAGGTTATTCTACGATCTAAAGACTGCCGCAAGTCTAGGAAACACCTTTTTCTGCCGGTCTCCCTTTCATCGCTGTCGTTGGTCAGCCAGAATACTTTTCCCTGTGGCTCCGGGCGGTCATCCTTAAAGCGTATGAGCCGCCGGATTGGACCCTCCCCCCAAAGGCTATTACCTGAAATAAAATGAGATCAGGGCGATCGTATTTACACTGGTTCTTCACGGTATACTGTTCCATCCCGTCGTTCAGGGAAGCCTGTTCGTGGCGATCGGACACCGCCTTCACCAACCACTACTTCAGTGATGTAGCCTTGAAAGTTGTCGCCAGCGTTCACAGTTTTGGTCCCTGGTTGTAGCCCAACAGGTCATCTATCTCCGACGCCACTGATTCTCTGATACCCTGAGCGGGGCCCGTCGACCTCTCTGGTGTTTATCACCCCAGACGAGACGGCTCTCTTGCGTTCCGCATTCGCTCTTAGGTCAGTTTTAGTTTTGGGTTACCCGACTCATTCTATTGCTGTCACCTATCCGGGTTTTACTTTTTGCATCAACTCTCGTTTCCTGACGACAGGAATGGTAGTAGATGTGGACACCGGCGCCGACGCCAACGCCGCTGCTTCTCTGGTACCTGAGCGGTGCCCGTCGACCTCACCGGTGTTCCTTGCCTCCAGCCTAGAGGGCTCTCCTGCGTTTCGCATTCGCTCTTGGGATTGGTCGTAGATTTTGCCGCCGACGCTGCTGATTCTTCGATTCCCCGAGCGGGGCCCGTCGAACTCTCTGGTGTTTATCACCTCAGATTAGAGGGTTCTACTGCGTTTCGCTTTCGCTCTTCGGTAAGTTATATATTTTGGCTACACGCCTCATTGTATGTCGGTTACCTATTCGGGCGTTTCGTTTTTGCATCGACTCTTGTTTCCTGAAGACAGGAATGGTCGTAGATGTTCCGGTCATCACTTGTATGCGGTGCGGATTCATCGGACCTTGACGAGGGTTTAATATGGTTCACATCTGCAGGTATGCCCACCAGCCAAGCCGTCTGATAAAGATGCAATACGGAGTAATGCAGGATAAGTTAAAAAATTTAGTAAAATCTAAATATTTTTTACATTTGAATACTTATCCTGCATTACGAAGTCTAAGTGCCCTCCCTTTCGCTACGCTACCTCCCCACGAAGTTTCAGATGTTATGTTTAAAGCAGTTATGTCTTTTTGTGTGACGTCATGACTTCCGGGTCACGTGCCGACTGTGAGAGGGCGCTGCCTCCTGGGCTGGTTGGGACAACTTTCTTCAGCAGCTGGATCTCACACAGTTCGTCTCTCTGTCAAACATAGCAGTAAATGCAATACGGAGTAATGCAGGATAAGTATACAAATGTAAAAAATATTTAGATTTTACTAAACTGCTCAGGTTGCCCGTCCCACCCACTCATCAGGCCCTCCTCATCAAGGATCTGGTAGGTAGAAGTTACACTGTTCATGTTGCCTGCCCTGCCCTGCCCTGCCCTGCCCTGCCCTGCCCTGCCCTGCCCTGCCCACCCCACCCCACCCCCCACTCATCAGGCCAAGAGGATCTGGTTGGTAGAAGTCACACTGTTCATGTTGCCTGCCCTGCCCTGCCCTGCCCTGCCCTGCCCACCCCAGCCCTGCCCACCCCACCCCACCCCCCACTCATCAGGCCAAGAGGATCTGGTAGGTAGTAGTCACACTGCTCATGTTGCCTTTTCCCGCCTACCCGTCAGACCCTCAAGGATCTGGTAGGTAGTAGTCACACTGCTCATGCTGCCTGTCCCGCCCACCCGTCAGGCCCTCATCAAGGATCTGGTAGGTAGTAGTCACTGTGTCACAAGTGTCTGACTAAGCTCACATTGAGGGGACATTGACTCGTAATGATTATGTTTTGTCTTGCAGCTGAAGTACAATGTGACACAGTATGTGCACCCCGAGCTCCAGAACCTGTACCGCCACCTGGAGATAGACTTCCATCCACTGAGCCTGGTGCAGAGGGTCACACCAAGCCTGGAGTTCATCGGGAAAACAGAGGAGCTGAGCTGTTATAACCCAGCCCTTGAAGACATCGTCATCACTCGAGTACTCAAACAGGTATGTCGCCACCAGCAGAGATGCCACCGTTAGCTTTTTAACCTCAGATTACGCTTTTACTCTTGTCCTACCCAAATAACAATTTTTGAATTTTTTTCACAAAATATTTGCATGTATAACATTTATGGAACCAAAATTCTTTATGCACTGATCACATGAAACAGGAAACTTGTTCCGCTCAATCCATTGTAATCTTTCGAAAAGCCATAATCATCACATCTCTGATTTTGCCATCACATTTTGACCAAGGTTAAAATATAATTTCTTCGCAGGTGTCACAAGTGTACCAAACAGTCGAATTTTCTCGATTTGCTTCACTGGTCCCGTTCGCTACCAAGTTCCGTTTGGAGAGAATAATTGTGAATGCTGCCAAGAACCTAGAACTGCAGGTATGTGTGTCTTTCTGTCATGTATGTGTGACTTTCTGTCACATATGTGTCTCTGCCATGAACATGTCCCCACCATGAACTCATATCCTCCTGAACGTGTGTGTTGTGGATGGTGGTAACTATTACAGTTTTATCCAATTTTGTTCACATCAAGGGAAAAAAAAGGGCCATGAAATATGTTTTTCTTTTCTCGTTCATGATCTCGGTCGACTTTTTTCAGGTCTTAAGCAACCCATGCTTGCCGTAAAAGGCGACTATGCTTGTCGTAAGAGGTGGGATCGATGCTCATGATGTCAATCACTGGATTGTCTGGTCAAGACTCGATTATTTACAGAGCGCTGTCATATCACTGGATTAGTCAGCATTAAACAACAAACAAACAATTCTGTCCCTGTCCTGCAGGACACAATGTGTGAAGCCCATTTCTGGTGTCCCCCGCCGTGATATTGCTGGAATATTGCTAAAAGCGGCGTAAAACCATACTCACTCACTCACTCCTGCAGGACATGTTTATTATGACCTGGGATGTTTGTTGCAGGTGCGGATTTGTCACAGCACCCGATCGCTGAGTTTTGGAACCAACCTTGGTGTGTCACAGAAGGAAGATGTGCCTGAAGGTCCATTCATACAGAGCATGCCCAGTGAAAACATCCGCAACCAGCTGACATCACTGGCCGCTGCCCTGCAGAAAGCTATGAACAAGATCAAACCCGAGAATATTGATGTAAGCATCTTTGATAAACGTAAAGCCTTGACTGTAAAATTTCTAGGCTCTCATGGTCTGCTTACAGAAACAAGTCCATTATTTTACTATGATTTTATAAAATTGTTACACCTGGGTGTTAAACATTCCAAGACTAAAATACTGTTGCCCGAGAAGCAAGTGTTTTGAGTTTTTAGCCTAATACAAAGCCTGTGTCTTTAACCAGAGTCTGTAGCCTGCGTCTTTAACCAGACTCTGTAGCCTGTGTCTGTAGCCAGAGTCTCTAGCCTGTGTCTTTAACCAGAGTCTGTAGCCTGTGTCTTTAACCAGAGTCTGTAGCCTGTGTCTTTAGCCTGTGTCTGTAGCCTGTGTCTTTAACCAGAGTCCGTAGCCTGTGTCTTTAGCCTGTGTCTTTAGCCTGTGTCTGTAGCCTGTGTCTGTAGCCTGTGCTGTGTTGTGTTGCAGGAGACAAATGAGCTGCGGGCCCAGATAATCAACAACTACCGGATGACAGGACGCAAGGAGCACATGCGACTGCTGCAGCGACGCCAGATCATTGAGGACAGGAAGGAACAGCTGGAACACATGAATGATCAGAGGGTAACTTAAATACTGCTGTGGCTTCTGCATTAGTGTAGACTGCCACACCCAACCTCACAGAACAACCTCAACAACAAAACCCACACTCAACCACGCACTAGCAAACCCATCTGCCTCACCAACCACCTCCAACAACCACACCCAACCTCACAGAACAACCTCAACAACCACACCCATCAACATCACCCAACAACCTCACCTATTCACAAACAGCAACCAACAACCACACCACCGAACCACATGCATGCACATCCACATCCTCATCCAAACGCTTACAATAGCACCCTCGCCCACCATAAGACTTCCCCAACTGATATTCTCTTGCCTCCAAAAGTCTCAAATCAACAACACCAACATCCACACCCGTCATCACTCTTGTCCTTACCAAGTGAAGTTTCCGAAGAAGTGTTGGAGATAATTTGAAATGACGTTGGCAATGCACGAGGGTTTGGGTAGATGATCTGTGTAACATGGGCTTAAAATGACGGCAGTGATGCACCTGGGTTAGGGAAGATGATCTGTGTAACCTGAGTCTGAAACGATGGCAGTGATACTGCAGAATTAGGGTAGATGATCTGTGTAACGGGGGTCTGAAATGACTGGTGATGCACCTGGGTTAGGGTAGATGATCTGTGTAACGGGGTCTGAAATGACCGGTGATGCACCTGGGTTAGGGTAGATGATCTGTGTAACGGGGGTCTGAAATGACCGGTGATGCACCTGGGTTAGGGTAGATGATCTGTGTAACGGGGGTCTGAAATGACCGGTGATGCACCTGGGTTAGGGTAGATGATATGTGTAACGGGGGTCTGAAATGACCGGTGATGCACCTGGGTTAGGGTAGATGATATGTGTAACGGGGGTCTGAAATGACCGGTGATGCACCTGGGTTAGGGTAGATGATATGTGTAACGGGGGTCTGAAATAAGGTCGGTGATGTTGCAGGAGAAGGAGGAGATGGAGCAGGTGGAGTCCCAGCGCCGCAAGGCATATGAGGCGGAGATGGCTCGTCTGGAGCGTGAAGCAGAGGAGAGGAAGAAGCAGCGACAGCTGATGGAGCACCAGGAGATCAAACGTAAACACGTCAAGGAGAGGATTGAACAGCTGAGAAAGACGGATCTTGGGGCCAGGATCTTCAAGGATATAGACGAGGAGGTAGGTGCAGCACTAACTGGCACTTGGCTAATGTCTACATCTCACAACTTGATTCGTATTTGTTTATTGTGACCTAAAAAGTTTAGAAATGTTTTGATTAAATGCACATATGCTTCTATGGTTGTTCTCCTGTATTTGACAAATGGTGTGCGAGATGTGTTTTAATATTAAAGTTGCATGCCAGAACTTTGGGCTAACTACAGTATAAACATGCACAGTGGTCAGGCTCACTGACTTGGTTGATGCATGTCATCATATCCCAATTGCGTGGATCGATACTCATGATGTCAGTCACTGGATTGTCTAGTCCAGACTTGATTATTTACAGACCGCTGTCATATAGCTGGAATATTGCTAAACGCACAAACAGAAACAAAATAAAAAGATATGCACAGACAAGATAAAATAGTGCTTAAGATGGGTCACTCAACATGTAGAATTGTTTATCCACAAAAAGAGAATGTCACACAGTTGGGAATCCCACATAGAATTGGTCCAAAATATCCTTTGTTGCTGTGAAAAGGGACTTCGTGGTTTGGTGGTCAGTCTTGGGGAATAGGTTGACTCCATCTTATTGAACGCTGATCGTGTTGGTCGTTGCTTATGATATCAACCACTGGTTTGTCTGGTCCAAACTAGTATGTGATGTGATGTAGCAGGAGTATTGACCGACCTCGTGATTGCAGGAGTTTGCAGAGCTGGATGTGGACGAGATCATGGCCAAGCAGGTGGAGCAGCTGGAGAAGGAGAAGAAAGAGCTGCAGGAGCGCCTCAAGACTCAGGAGAAGAAGGTGAGGAGGGGCAGGAGGGAGGCTGAGGGCAGGAGGGAGGCTGAGGGCAGGAGACCATGGGGACATCTTACTTGGATTTACCTTGGTTACTTATTTTGGGGGTCCAAGGGACTCACAGCCTTTCATTATAGGGATCCCAGGTTAATACATGGAGGTACAAGGTTAATAAATAGGGGTCCAAGGTTAATAAATAGGGGTCCAGGGTTAATACATGGGGGTCCTAGGTTAACAAATAGGGGTCCAAGGTCAATAAATAGGTGTCCCAGGTTAATAAATAGGGGTGCAGGGTGAATACATGGGGGTCCCAGGTTAATAAATAGGGGTCCAGGGTTAATACATGAGGGTCCAAGGTTAATACATGAGGGTCCCAGGTTAATAAATAGGGGTCCAAGGTTATTAAATAGGGGTCCAGGGTTAATACATGGGGGTCCCAGGTTAATAAATAGTGGTCCAAGGTCAATAAATAGGGATTCCAGGGTTAATAAATAGGGGTCCAGGGTTAATACATGAGGGTCCAAGGTTAATACATGAGGGTCCAAGGTTAATAAATAGGGGTCCCAGGTTAATAAATAGGGGTCCTAGGTTAACAAATAGGGGTCCAAGGTCAATAAATAGGGGTCCAGGGTTAATACATGGGGGTCCCAGGTTAATAAATAGGGGTCCTAGGTTAACAAGTAGGGGTCCAAGGTTAATAAAGAGGGGTCCCAGGTTAATATATAGGGGTCCAGGGTTCATACATGAGGGTCCCAGGTTAATAAATAGGGGTCCTAGGTTAACAGATAGGGGTCCAAGGTTAATACATGAGGGTCCCGGGTTAATAAATAGGGGTCCTAGGTTAACAAATAGGGGTACAAGGTTAATACATGAGGGTCCCGGGTTAATAAATAGGGGTCCAAGGTTAATAAATAGGGGTCCAAGGTTAATAAATAGGGGTCCAAGGTTAATACATGAGGGTCCAAGGTTAATAAATAGGGGTCCCAGGTTAATACATGAGGGTCCCAGGTTAATAAATAGGGGTCCAGGGTTAATACATGGGGGTCAGAACTCCAATATTTGGATATATTTTCAGAAAAAATGCTGCTACTTACAGCTGTGTACATGTGTACTGTGTTTTGTAGGTCGACTTCCACCAGAGGGCCATGCGTCTGATTGAAATCCCACTCCTGCAGCAGCAGTACAACAATGAAAGCATCCAGGCCAAGGAGTTCTGGGAGAACCAGGAGCTGGAGCGGGTGAGTCAACACTGGCTTTTGTTGAAGAATTGACTCTTCACAGCCAAGACCTGGGTTTGATTCCCAACATTGGTACAGTATTGGTCATTTTGTTTCTCCAGCTCATGATGAGGCTGGAATAGTGTTAAGCGTGTGAAATCCTACTCGCTCTATCCGACTTATATCTGACTTCTTGGAAGAAGGGTGGCCGAGTCAAGACTTGATGTTTTCATGGAGGGAGGGTGTGTCAAGACTTGATACTGGACTTCTTTGAGGGAGGGTGTGTCAAGACTTGATACTGGACATCTTTGAGGGAGGGTGTGTCAAGACTTGATGTTTTCATGGAGGGAGGGTGTGTCAAGACTTGATACTGGACTTCTTTGAGGGAGGGTGTGTCAAGACTTGATGTTTTCATGGAGGGAGGGTGTGTCAAGACTTGATACTGGACTTCTTTGAGGGAGGGTGTGTCAAGACTTGATACTGGACTTCTTTGAGGGAGGGTGTGTCAAGACTTGATACTGGACTTCTTTGAGGGAGGGTGTGTCAAGACTTGATACTGGACTTCTTTGAGGGAGGGTGTGTCAAGACTTGATACTGGACTTCTTTGAGGGAGGGTGTGTCAAGACTTCATACTGGACTTCTTTGAGGGAGGGTGTGTCAAGACTTGATACTGGACATCTTTGAGGGAGGGTGTGTCAAGACTTGATACTGAACTTCTTTGAGGGAGGGTGTGTCAAGACTTGATACTGGACATCTTTGAGGGAGGGTGTGTCAAGACTTGTTACTGGACTTCTTTGAGGGAGGGTGTGTCAAGACTTGATACTGGACTTCTTTGAGGGAGGGTGTGTCAAGACTTGATACTGAACTTCTTTGAGGGAGGGTGTGTCAAGACTTGTTACTGGACTTCTTTGAGGGAGGGTGTGTCAAGACTTGATACTGGACTTCTTTGAGGGAGGGTGTGTCAAGACTTGATACTGGACTTCTTTGAGGGAGGGTGTGTCAAGACTTGATACTGAACTTCTTTGAGGGAGGGTGTGTCAAGACTTGTTACTGGACTTCTTTGAGGGAGGGTGTGTCAAGACTTGATACTGGACTTCTTTGAGGGAGGGTGTGTCAAGACTTGATACTGGACTTCTTTGAGGGAGGGTGTGTCAAGACTGGATACTGGACTTCTTTGAGGGAGGGTGTGTCAAGACTTGTTACTGGACTTCTTTGACTTGGTAATTACTTTGATTTGTACTGCCCTAAACAAGCCATGGGCTTTATGGACAAAAGCCTCTTTCATGTTTTGAGAGTTAAACTCTTTTTGCCCATCATAGGCGTTGTCATAGTGACTCATGTTTCTGTGATGTCAAGGTGTGGCATATATTAATTTGTTCATCATAGGCGTTGTCATGGAGACCGATGTTTCCATGATGTCAAGAATGGACAAACACCTTTCATGTAAATATGATATCCTGGTTATACTTTAGAGAGTTGATTTGCATAACAAAATGTGCTTGCCTCAGGTCTTCTCGTGTTTGAATTAGGTTCTGAAGTTTGTTTTAATTCAACTGGTGTGTCAAGACTTCATACTGGACTTCTTTGAGGGAGGGTGTGTCAAGACTTGATACTGGACTTCTTTGAGGGAGGGTGTGTCAAGACTTGATACTGGACTTCTTTGAGGGAGGGTGTGTCAAGACAATATGTTTCCTTTGAGGGAGGGTGTGTCAAGACTTGTTGTTTTCATGGAGGGAGGGTGTGTCAAGACTTGATACTGGACATCTTTGAGGGAGGGTGTGTCAAGACTTGATACTGGACTTCTTTGAGGGAGGGTGTGTCAAGACTATGTTTCCTTTGAGGGAGGGTGTGTCAAGACTATGTTTCCTTTGAGGGAGGGTGTGTCAAGACTTGATACTGGACTTCTTTGAGGGAGGGTGTGTCAAGACTTGATACTGGACTTCTTTGAGGGAGGGTGTGTCAAGACTTGATACTGGACTTCTTTGAGGGAGGGTGTGTCAAGACTATATGTTTCCTTTGAGGGAGGGTGTGTCAAGACTATGTTTCCTTTGAGGGAGGGTGTGTCAAGACTTCATACTGGACTTCTTTGAGGGAGGGTGTGTCAAGACTTGATACTGAACTTCTTTGAGGGAGGGTGTGTCAAGACTTGATACTGAACTTCTTTGAGGGAGGGTGTGTCAAGACTTGATGTTTTCTTTGAGACTAGATCTTTTCTATGAGGGAGGTAGTCAAAACTAGACGCTAGCCTTCCAGGTGGTAGGGGCTGGGGCAACTCTTGACTAAATTAAAATATGGAGGGAAGGTAGTGGTTGTGCAGACATCTACAAATCACAAATCTGAAACTACAAATCCTTATTGATTTTAGAATTTTAATTGATATTGATATTTGGTCCTTGTTCAGATTGAAGCTTTGAAGAATGAAAGACAACATGCCCTGGAGACGCAGAAGAGACTGAGCCGGGTTATTGAAGACAAGAATGAATTCATAGGACGTCTGCGGGAGGCCAGGAGATCCGACTATGAGGTAATTACTTTGATTTGTACTGCCCTAACCAAGCCATGGGCTTTATGGACAAAAGCCTGTTTCATGTTTTGAGAGTTGAACTCTTTTTGCCCATCATAGGCGTTGTCATAGTGACTCATGTTTCTGTGATGTCAAGGTGTGGCATATATCAATTTGTTCATCATAGGCGTTGTCATGGAGACCGATGTTTCCATGATGTCAAGAATGGACAAACACCTTTCATGTAAATATGATATCCTGGTTATACTTTAGAGAGTTGATTTGCATAAAAAAATGTGTGTGCCTCAGGTCTCCTCGTGTTTGAATTAGGTTCTGAAGTTTGTTGTAATTCAACTGGTGTTCATCTTAACAGATAGGGTCATAATAAGAATATGCTATATAACAGTTTTCAAAGTGTTTGAGTATAGTTGTAGCCACACAGCTGAAAAATGAGTGATCATGTGTGTCGAGTAGAGTTGTTTGTGTCAGAAGGGGCTAGGTGTAGCAGAACACAGCTGAATAGGTAGTGATCATGTGTGTCAGGTAGAGTTGTTTCTGTCAGAAGGAGTTAGGTGTAGCAGATAGTTGCAGAACACAGCTGAATAGGTAGTGATCAGGTGTGTCGGGTAGAGTTGTTTGTGTCAGAAGGAGTTAGGTGTAGCAGATAGTTGCAGAACACAGCTGAATAGGTAGTGATCAGGTGTGTCGGGTAGACATGGTAGAGTTGTTTGTGTCAGAAGGGGTTAGGTGTAGCAGATAGTTGCAGAACACAGCTGAATAGGTAGTGATCAGGTGTGTCGGGTAGACATGGTAGAGTTGTTTGTGTCAGAAGGGGTTAGGTGTAGCAGATAGTTGCAGAACACAGCTGAATAGGTAGTGATCGGGTGTGTTGGGTAGACTTGTTTCTGTCAGAAGGGTTTAGGTGTAGCAGATAGTTGCAGAACACAGCTGAATAGGTAGTGATCAGGTGTGTCGGGTAGACATGGTAGAGTTGTTTGTGTCAGAAGGGGTTAGGTGTAGCAGATAGTTGCAGAACACAGCTGAATAGGTAGTGATCGGGTGTGTTGGGTAGACTTGTTTCTGTCAGAAGGGGTTAGGTGTAGCAGATAGTTGCAGAACACAGCTGAATAGGTAGTGATCAGGTGTGTCGGGTAGACATGGTAGAGTTGTTTGTGTCAGAAGGAGTTAGGTGTAGCAGATAGTTGCAGAACACAGCTGAATAGGTAGTGATCGGGTGTGTTGGGTAGACTTGTTTCTGTCAGAAGGGGTTAGGTGTAGCAGATAGTTGTAGAACACAGCTGAATAGGTAGTGATCAGGTGTGTCGGATAGTATTCTTAAAGGGGCAATGGGGTAGCCTAGTGGTTAAAGCATTCGCTTGTCGCACTGTAGACTCGGGTTTGATTCCTATCATTGGTTGAATGTGAGAAGCCCTTTTCAGGGGTCCCCCACTGTGTTGCTGAAAGTAGTGCTAATTTGGTGCTCTGGTACTAAGCATGCTAAGAGTGTGAGGTATAAATTTTGGAGGTAAAATATGAGTGCCCTCTATGCAGCAGAGGTTTGAGATTACTGATGACATGGTTAGGTATCTTCATGTTATTCTGAACAACAGACAGTACTGCCCTAGCCAAGTCATTGTGTGTATGAACAAAGCTTGTTCCATGTTTTAAGAGTTGAAGTCTTTTTGCCCATCATAGGCGTTGTCATAGTGACTCATGTTTCTGTGATGTCAAGGTGTGGCATATAGTAAACTGTTCATCATAGGCGTTGTCATGGTAACTGATGTTTCCATGATGTCAAGAGTGGACAAACACCTTTCTAATACAGTAAACAATGTTTATAACGAACATGCTTATAACAAACTGACGGATATAATGAACTTATTTTTTAGTCCCGTCCATTTGTGTCCCGTCCATATGCTGTTTATATGCTTATAACGAACTACGGTTATTACAAACTAAAATTACTGGTCCCTTTGAGCTTGTTATAGAACGCAGCTGAATAGGTGGTGATCAGGTGTGTTCGGGTAGAGTTGTTAGTGTCAGAAGGGGTTAGGTGTAGCAGATAGTTGCAGAACACAGCTGAATAGGTAGTAATCAGGTGTGTCGAATAGTATTTATAAGAGGCAATGGGGTAGCCTAGTGGTTAAAGCGTTGCTCGTCGCACCATAGTTTGATTCCTATCATGGGTTGAATGTGAGAAGCCCTTTTCAGGGGTCCCCCACTGTGTTGCTGAAAGTAGTGCTAATTTGGTGCTCTGGTACTAAGAGTGTGAGGTATAAATATTGGAGGTAAAATATGAGTGCCCTCTATGCAGCAGAGGTTTGAGATTACTGATGACATTGTTAGGTATCTTCATGTTATTCTGAACAACAGACAGTACTGCCCTAGCCAAGTCATTGTGTGTATGAACAAAGCTTGTTCCATGTTTTAAGAGTTGAAGTCTTTTTGCCCATCATAGGCGTTGTCATAGTGACTCATGTTTCTGTGATGTCAAGGTGTGGCATATAGTAGACTGTTCTTCATAGGCGTTGTCATGGTAACTGATGTTTCCATGATGTCAAGAGTGGACAAACACCTTTCTATTACAGTAAACTATGTTTATAACGAACATGCTTATAACAAACTGACGGATATAACAAACTTATTTTTTAGTCCCGTCCATTTGATGTATATATGCTGATAACGAACTATGGTTATTACAAACTATAATTACTGGTCCCTTTGAGCTCGTTATAGAACGCAGCTGAATAGGTGGTGATCAGGTGTGTTGGGGAGCAGTTGTTTGTGTCAGGAGTTAGGTGTAGCAGATAGTTGCAGCAGATAGTTGCAGAAGACAGCTGAATAGGTAGTGATCACGTGTGTCGGGTAGAGTTGTTTGTGTCAGGAGTTAGGTGTAGCAGATAGTTGTAGAACACAGCTGAATAGGTAGTGATCGGGTGTGTCGGGTAGAGTTGTTTCTGTCAGAAGGAGTTAGGTGTAGCAGATAGTTGCAGAACACAGCTGAATAGGTAGTGTTCGGGTAGAGTTGTTTGTGTCAGAAAGAGTTAGGTGTAGCAGATAGTTGCAGAACACAGCTGAATAGGTAGTGATCGGGTGTGTCGGGTAGACTTGTTTCTGTCAGAAGGAGTTAGGTGTAGCAGATAGTTGCAGAACACAGCTGAATAGGTAGTGATCAGGTGTGTCGGGTAGACATGGTAGAGTTGTTTGTGTCAGAAGGAGTTAGGTGTAGCAGATAGTTGCAGAACACAGCTGAATAGGTAGTGATCAGGTGTGTCGGGTAGAGTTGTTTGTGTCAGAAGGGGTTAGGTGTAGCATATAGGTGCAGAACACAGCTGAATAGGTAGTGATCAGGTGTGTCGGATAGTATTCTTAAAGGGGCAATGGGGTAGCCTAGTGGTTAAAGCATTCACTTGTCGCACTGTAGACCCGGGTTTGATTCCTATCATGGGTTGAATTTGAGAAGCCCTTTTCAGGGGTCCCCCACTGTGTTGCTGAAAGTAGTGCTAATTTGGTGCTCTGGTACTAAGAGTGTGAGGTATAAATTTTGGAGGTAAAATATGAGTGCCCTCTATACAGCAGAGGTTTGAGATTACTGATGACATTGTTAGGTATCTTCATGTTATTCTGAACAACAGACAGTACTGCCCTAGCCAAGTCATTGTGTGTATGAACAAAGCTTGTTCCATGTTTTAAGAGTTGAAGTCTTTTTGCCCATCATAGGCGTTGTCATAGTGACTCATGTTTCTGTGATGTCAAGGTGTGGCATATAGTAGACTGTTCATCATAGGCGTTGTCATGGTAACTGATGTTTCCATGATGTCAAGAGTGGACAAACACCTTTCTAATACAGTAAACTATGTTTATAACGAACATGCTTATAACAAACTGACGGATATAACAAACTTATTTTTTAGTCCCGTCCATTTGATGTATATATGCTGTTTATATGCTTAAAACGATCTATGGTTATTACAAACTATAATTACTGGTCCCTTTGAGCTCGTTATAGAATGCAGCTGAATAGGTGGTGATCAGGCGTGTTCGGGTAGAGTTGTTAGTGTCAGAAGGGGTTAGGTGTAGCAGATAGTTGCAGAACAAAGCTGAATAGGTGGTGATCAGGTGTGTCGGGTAGAGTTGTTTGTGTCAGGAGTTAGGTGTAGCAGATAGTTGCAGCAGATAGTTGCAGCAGATAGTTGCAGAAGACAGCTTAATAGGTAGTGATCAGGTGTGTCGGGTAGAGTTGTTTGTGTCAGGAGTTAGGTGTAGCAGATAGTTGTAGCCACACAGCTGAATAATTAGTGCTCATGTGTGTCGGGTAGAGTTGTTTGTGTCAGAAGGGGTTAGGTGTAGCAGATAGTTGCAGAACACAGCTGAATAGGTAGTGATCAGGTGAGTCAGGTAGAGTTGTTTCTGTCAGAAGGAAGTAGGTGTAGCAGATAGTTGCAGCACACAGCTGAATAGGTAGTGATCAGGTGAGTCGGGTAGAGTTGTTTGTGTCAGAAGGGGTTAGGTGTAGCAGATAGTTGCAGAACACAGCTGAATAGGTAGTGATCAGGTGTGTCGAATAGTATTTATAAGAGGCAATGGGGTTGCCTAGTGGTTAAAGCGTTGCTCGTCGCACCGTAGACCTGGGTTTGTTTCCTATCATGGGTTGAATGTGAGATGCCCTTTTCAGGGGTCCCCCACTGTGTTGCTGAAAGTAGTGCTAATTTGGTGCTCTGGTACTAAGAGAGTGAGGTATAAATTTTGGAGGTAAAATATGAGTGCCCTCTATGCAGCAGAGGTTTGAGATTACTGATGACATGGTTAGGTATCTTCATGTTATTCTGAACAACAGACAGTACTGCCCTAGCCAAGTCATTGTGTGTATGAACAAAGCTTGTTCCATGTTTTAAGAGTTGAAGTCTTTTTGCCCATCATAGGCGTTGTCATAGTGACTCATGTTTCTGTGATGTCAAGGTGTGGCATATAGTAAACTGTTCATCATAGGCGTTGTCATGGTAACTGATGTTTCCATGATGTCAAGAGTGGACAAACACCTTTCTAATACAGTAAACTATGTTTATAACGAACATGCTTATAACAAACTGACGGATATAATGAACTTATTTTTTAGTCCCGTCCATTTGTGTCCCGTCCATATGCTGTTTATATGCTTATAACGAACTACGGTTATTACAAACTAAAATTACTGGTCCCTTTGAGTTACGTTATAACCGTAGTTTACTGTAATTATAATAATAATAATAATGATAATCATGATAATAATAATTTGCAATATGCAACGTGACAGGAATTCAGATTGGTACTTTTTCTCGGACATTGACCAATTGTCTTTCAAAATATCATGAATTTGCTTTTTTTCTTAATTTGGTAGTGACAGATTTTCCTTTCAAGAAGTGGTAATTTCCTGAAAAAGTTCTAATGCCATTTGCCCGTTCACTGTACATAATGACCTGAAAATTGGGCCAGCACCTTTGACACATGCAAGTTCAACTTGTGTTTGATTTTTGTTCAGCATTCAGATTGGGGTTCAGCGGGACTCTGTATTTGGATCATATTACTGTGTTAGTGCCCATCCCAGTATGGACGGTTGTCCTGTTGGAGGGAATGATCGTGTAAACTGTAATATGATGAACCAAGAATATTTATTCTTCAAATCTTGCAGGATTCATAAGGGCTTGAAAAGGCTTTGAATTTAAATGTCCCTCTTGAAAAGCCTTGAATATATTTTTTAGTGTCCACCTTGAAAAGCCTTGAAAATGGCTAAAATAGGTTAAAAAGCCTTGAAAATGGCTAAAATAGCTTGAAAAGCCTTGAAAATGACTAAAATAGCTTGAAAAGCTTTGAATTTGTACAAAATGACATATAAATGTACTTGTTAATAACCATTTAAGTGTCATTTATCACAGCAATAGAAGTGTGTGCCTAAGACCATACAGACTTCATGACAAGGCTGAATGTGTTATTTATTGGTTGTGAGAACAGATATTGTTGGGAAATGTCTGATGTTCATTCTACTGATACATGACCATTCTACTGATACATGACCATTCTACTGATACATGGCCATTCTACTCATACATGGCCATTCTACTGATACATGACCATTCTACTCATACATGGCCATTCTACTGATACATGGCCATTCTACTCATACATGGCCATTCTACTCATACATGGCCATTCTACTCATACATGGTATGGTGGATTTAAAAAATGTTGACAGACTAAGGCTAATAACCCAAGTAATAAGGTCTTATAAAAGCCTTGAATGTTAGTGTTTCATATCTGTATGAACCTTGTCTTGCAACAGGCAAACTTGAAGGAATTTGAGCAGAAATTGGGAGAGGAACGAAAGCGGCGACTGATAGAACGCAAAGAACGCCGCAAGGAAGAGAAAAGGCGGAAGTGGATTGAAGAGAAAGAAGAGGCAACACAGCGGGCCAAAGATGAAGCCCTTAAGAGAGGTAAACATCTTCACACAGTTGGCCCTTAAGGGTTTGACCATTTTACCTTCTGTGAGTTAGGGTTGGGGTTTAAAGTATGTTGGGATAATTGGCTGTAATCAGGTTCCTGGCTGAGGTTGCGGACTGGGTAATCGTCCTAAACCGTTAAAACAGATACATGCAGTGAGGCCTAAGAAGGGTAAATTCTTTAGAATGTTGTGATAAATCACTAAAGTGGATGAATTTAAACTTGCTATAATTGACAAGTACCTTAATGCAGAAAAGAAAACTATTATGGCTTTGGTATAGTAGCTCAGACTTTTGAGAGTCAGCCTCCGTGGTCTAGTGGTAGAGAGTCCGCCTGGAGAGCACAGGGTTTGGTTGCAGGCCGTGTTATACAAAAAGACGTTAAAAGATGGTACTTGTTGTTACCCTGTCTGGCGCTCGGCATTTAGAGGCTGAAACAAAGACTTGTTGTCTCGGAGTCAGGATACTGTGTCTGAGTGGAGTATCCAGGGCTAGATTGTTTAGTTCACATATTGTAGAAAGTGTAAGAGGAGACAGATCAGATGATTTGCCATCAGTCCTGAACTAATAAGAAAAATGTCTCTAAATTAAGACATGTACACGTCAAGTACATTCATACAACTAACTGCTACATAGGACAAAGTGCAAACCCTAGGGGGGTCCTGGTAACAGAGCTCCAGATAAGCTTTTGGTGTTGTGGGTATTTTACCCATGCATTTTAAAATCATTGGGTATTAGTAATTCTACCTGCGTATTCAAATTTCTGTTACCCACTAGTTTTTACACATGTGGGTATTTAAGTTAAATATTTAAAAACACTATTCATCTAGTCCCTGCAAACTGGTGTCGTGTGGGTTCGAGAGCTTTATAGGACTCAAAAATACCACGATACTCCCACAAGAAAGTGTGATGGCAAATGATCATGATGTAACTGTCATCGTGGAGTTTGGCAAGGTTGACGGAATGCCCGTTTATAATTTCAAAATAAGTTGCTGATTTGCTAATTGAATACGCAGGGTTACTTAACACTATTTTGATGATACGCACAAGTTTTATTTTTGTAGCGTATCTGTAATGTTCGTTGCGTATTTGATACGCTTGGATTTTATTTTACTGCATATTTCTGCATTTTTTATGCCTATTTCACGCAGATACGCAGCTTATCTGGAGCACTGTGGTAAGAAGAGGTCCAAAGAACCTTTGTTTGTCGTTAGCGAGGACTTAATGGTGGTCTGACTCCAGACATGATTATTGACAGGCTGCTGTCAGAAGGCTGGAGTATTGCTGTGTTAGTGGTCAGCCAAAACACCGACAGGGCAGTAATTGAACTTTGATGTATGAATGATGGGTTTCAGAACGTGAGGAGAAGGAGAACGTGGAGAGGATGAAGCGGGAGGAGGAGGAGCGGGAATATAACGAAAAGCTGGCGAAGCTGGAAGAGCAAGCAGAGAAACAGAGACAGCGCGAGAGGGAAATAGAGGAGAGGGAGGCCAAGCGGCGCCAGGAAGAGAGCGGCAAGGGGTGAGTTGCAGATATACTCACCCACAATGCAAAAGCACCATGTTTTCAAGCATCTCAAGTCAATCTCAAAACACAAAACAAAATTGAATGTTTTTTCAAAGTCTTTCAGTGTAGTTGTAGCCACACAGCTGAATAGGTAGTGATCAGGTGTATCGGGGAACAGTTGGTTGTGTCAGAAAAGTGTTAGGCTGAATAAATTGTTATCAGGCAGAGAGAGGCTGTATTGGATAGTTGACAAATTTCTAAGGTAGTGGTCAGGTGTTTGTAACCAACTAATATGTGCTAAAGCATGAGAAATCCTGTATACATTCCCAGCAGTTAATAGACCCCCACGGTCATTGTTGATGAAAGTCAACTTGTATGAGGATCGAACTGTAATGTTGTGTTAACTGGCTGAATGTGAGGAAGCTAAGAATTGTAACAGTATTAGTGTCTGTCAATCAATGTAGTTGTCATGGTGACTGATGTTTCTGTGATGTTAAGATGTGGCGTGTATAAAGCTGGGCATCATAGGCGTTGTCATGGTGACCTATGTTTCCATGATGTCAAGAGTGGACAAACGTCTTGGACATGAAACTGTGGGACTTCCTCATCTGGTGCTTTTCAGGAGATAGAAGGTCTGCCTGAGAGTGGAGGTCATGGTTCAGTCCCCGTCTGTGTCATAGCGAAAGACCGAAACAAACTGTATTTGTCACCCTGCATGGCACTCCCCATTAAGGGCTAAAACAAGGACTTGTCAGCTTGGAGTCTGTATACGGTGTCTGAGAAGGGTATTTATCATCCAAAACTGGCTCCCACAGGAGATATCGCTTGGATTAGATCAAGCGATATCTACACTGTAGATATCGCTGCGATGAAATGACATCACAATGCTTTGCAGACCATTATGACGTCACTGGTTACCATGACGTCACAATCAAATGACATCACTAATGGCTCTGCTACTGAAGCTGATAGCAGTACTTTTTACACTGAAGACCCTTCTAATTACTGTCTACAAATTGAAAAAGTTGGAAGAATGATGTTGGATGATAAATAAAATCTCTCCCGAGTGTCTTTTGATATCAAATATATCAACACGAGTTGATAAAAGTGGAAAAATTCCGAGGCTTGCCGAAAGTATGGCATGGTGTTGGACATGCACCTATGCACCCTAAAACACACACAAAGGATATTTTCTTGTCCACTCTTTCCTGAGCAGGGTGGTGGAAAAAGCATAAGCTGGTCACACAAAGGCCAGAGTTGTATTCACCATGGTATTCTGAACAACAGACAGTACTGCCCCAACCAATTTATTGTGTGTATGAACAAAGCCTGTTTCATGTTTTGAGAGTTGAACTCTTTTTGCCCATCATAGGCGTTGTCATAGTGACTCATGTTTCTGTGATGTCAAGGTGTGGCATATATTAAATTGTTCATCATAGGCGTTGTCATGGAGACCGATGTTTCCATGATGTCAAGAATGGACAAACACCTTTCATGTAAATATAATTTAACACTAGGGAGTTGATTTGCATAACAAAATGTGTGTGCCTAAGTCCTTTGGTATTTGAATTTGGTTCTGAAGTTTGTTTTGTTTCAACTGGTGTTCATCTTTTCAGATTTGGGTCATCATGGTCATAATGATGATATGCAATGTGACAGTGTTTCAGATCGGTTTGAACATTTCTTTGGACATTGACTTGTTGTCTATTAAAACACCCTCAAAATGTTTTTCAAATATGGTATTGACAGAAATATTTCCGATCAAAAAGTGATGAAGCATGTCATTTTTACCTTGCATGATGACATTTGTCCCAAGTGTATCAGCATTGGTCAACTAGTATAAGCACAGACTGTCACCATGGTCTAGTGGTAGATCGCCTGCCAAGAAAGCAGGAGGTTGGGGGTTCAATCCACTGCATAATACCAAAACTTCACTGCACTGCACTGCACTGGAAAAATGCTGATGGTGGTGTACAGCAGTATCAAGTCTCTCTCAAGAGATGTTTGGTTTTTCTGTGGTCGAGATGGTCACACATGTATATAGTAAAGCTGCAACTAACATGATATTGGAATAAATTATTCCTGATAAAATATTAGTTACAGATAATTCTTCCGCTCATTGTATCAAAATTCTTTAAAATTATATTATTGGGTAATTTTTGACTGAATCACCGGTAGATTCTGAGAAACGTGTGTACAGCTGATTGCTACTTTCAGCTTAGTTTATGAGACAAGATACACGGTAATCTCAATCTCTGCATTTAAAACAATGCCAATCAGAACAGGAAATAAATTTAATCGGTAAATCATCATGTCTAGTGATGTTTTATCTCAAATTTCAAATTTGTATTGGCCAAGTTTAATTGTTATAAACTGTTCATTTTTCCTGAATTCCCTTAAGGGATACGATGTTATCTTTTTCTGTGGAAGACAAACACGTTTATATTGCAAATGTAGGGACTTCGTATGCACTGGTGATGTGCTTCATTCCGATTCGCTTTACAGACGGGGCATATAAATTAGCATTTCCCACTTATTTTACGAGATAAATACACATGTAATTGTAAATCTTAACCACTGCGCATGAAAGATTGTCCCGCATACAGCACACAAATACCATTGAATTTGTAAATCATGTCTGGTGATGTTTTATCGCAAATTTAATATTTTCGTTGACCAAATTTGCAAACAGCAAAACAAGCACACTAACTCCTATTGCCGCCATGACTATAACCATGATAACACACAAGATGCGCAGTAAAGCAGTGCACATGAAAAGGGAAGTAACTGCATGTTATATTGGATCGCATTGTTTTCAAGTATTGTAACAATTCACTTTTGGTGTCGTATGTTCGAGACGCAGACTATTTAAGGATATTTTTTTTTTTTTTAAATGGAACTAAAAACGAAACATGCGGCAGCCTGTGATGATGCGGCGGTGCCTGAGAACCAAGAAATATTTTTTAGCCTAAGACTTATTTTTCACTTTTTTGGTGTGGAGGGGGTACATAAATCTGGGAATCAGAATCACTTGATAGTAATGGTGTATTGATATTTGCTAGCATCAGTGAAAGGGAGCCAAGTGGACCATCGGAATGGAGGAGGGGAGGAGAACCTGAGGAGGAGAGGAAGGCGTGGCGCCCCAACCCAAGCAAAGTTGGATGGAGAGAACGGGAGAAGGAGCGGGAGCAGAGCTGGAACAGCCCAGGCATGGAGGACCGGTAAGACACAGTGGACAAGTTACAAGTATAGCAGGAGAGGAGTTAGGGCTTTGTTAAACTAGCTTCTGGGTTTTACTAGTGAATAGTATTTAGGACAGTGGTATACTTTTCTATTTCTCTGTTGTGTGTTTTCTGGGAGGGAATTTTTAAAGTAAAAGTCATTTTGTCACTATTTTAAGCATTGTTATTAATTGTAAGTATTTGACAGTAATTTGTAAGTAATTAAGAGAAGTTAAGTATTAGTTACTTTCTTCTGAACCCCAGGTGACTTGCATAGTGCAGGGTTTCAGCAGATGAATTCAATTGTATAGACACTGAACCATCCTGACTGATTGTCATAAAAAATATCCTGAAGATTATTTTGTTAATTTGGTAATATGGAATCATGTCTTATAAAATATTAGTAATAGTTCTGAATTTTACCTCAGGTTAGTTTGTTGTCAGGGACTTTAAATTAATTCACTGGTAATATAATGAAAATGATTTAACATGTTTAAGAAAAGACAGACAGTAAACTATTATAACGAAGACGCTTATATCGAACTGGCTGATATAACATACTTTTTTTATACCGTCCATTTGCTGTATTATATACGCTGTATATATGATTATAATGAACTATGGTTATGACAAACTAAAATTGATGGTCCCTTTGTGTTCGTTATAACTGTAGTTATCTCGTCCTCTCTAGTAGTTCAATCTGCTTCAGTCGAGACGAAGGGCCATCATGGCGTGAACGAGGAGCAGCACCGAGGGAAGACTTCCGTGACTCTAGAGGACCACAGGCCGAAGATAGAGACTTTGGTGATCGAGGACCACCTCGAGATGAAAGAAATTTCCGTGACCGAGGGCCACCTCGAGATGATAAGGACTTTGGTGATAGAGGAGCACCGAGAGACAGGTTCAGTGACAGAGGTCCCCCGAGAGATGACCGATTTGGGGACCGCGATGGACCTAGAGAAGAGAGAAGTTGGCGAAGCAGTAGAGACACTCGAGACGACAGAGGTGGTTGGGGTCGCGATGGTGGCCAAAGTGATAGAGGTCCAGTGCGAGATGGCTGGAGGGATCGAGGAGGTAATGAAGGGGGGATGAGAGAACGACCAAGGGAAGACACTTGGAGCAGAGGAGGGGCTCGAGACGAGCCTGGCTCAGACCGAGGTGGGGACAGAGGGGGCTGGGGCAGAGATCGCGAGGACAGTTGGCGATCCAAAGCTCCATCTAGAGATGAAGGGAGAGGACCGAGTGATGGCGGAGGGGCATGGAGAAGGGAAGATCGAGGTGGAGACTTCCGTCGTGGCGGGGACGATCGTGACTTCCGTCGTGGCGGGGACGATCGTGACTTCCGTCGTGGCGGGGACGATCGTGACTTCCGACGTGGTGGGGATGATCGTGACTTCCGACGTGGTGGGGAGGATCGTGACTTCCGACGTGGGGGAGAAGAGCGTGACTTCCGACGTGGGGGAGAAGATCGTGGCTTCGGTCGAGGGGGCGACGATCATGACTTCCGTCGTAGGGGAGATGATAGAGACGTGGAAAGAACCCAACGTCGTGATGATCAACCACCTGCAGATAGAGAGGAAACATGGAAGAGAGGAGGTGAGAATTTAATCAATACATGGAAAAGATTGAAGGTCAAGGTCATTAAACATGGAAGTGCTTATGGCTGAGTTATTTACATCGCTAAAGAAGTTGTTGTTTCAAAGTGGTACTGCATTGGGCGCCTGAGGTCATTTGTGGCCCTATGTGGTGAAGTTACAATGGTTGATGTTTCTGATGCGTTCTGGACCTTCAGGATAAGGCTGTTTATGCATAAGAACCAAACACCTTTCAAGTTCAGAGTGCATTACAGTAGGCTCTGTGATGAAGGCCTGACTACTTGCTTATGTTATTATAGTTTTGTTTGTTGTTTAATGCCGCACTCAGCAATATTCCAGCTATATGACGGCGGTCTGTAAATAACCGAGTGTGGACCAGACAATCCAGTGATTGATATAAGCATCAATCCATGCAATTGGGATACAATTACATGCATTAACAAAGTCAACGAGCCTGACCACCCAATCCGTTTGGTGGCTCTTACGACATGTATAGTCGCCTCTTATGACTACCATGGGTTGCTGAAGACCTATTCAACAATACATATGCTTACATTTTAATATGTTGGAAGGTATGAGTTCTGCGGTCAAGTCTTTCTATGCGAGGCACAGAACTCAACAGGAAACTCTGTAAATGTTTTCAGCCGGGAAAGGCAAACACTTTGAATTATGGTAGCTGTAGGCAACAAGAGGCATAAGCCTCGGACTTTGTGGCGAATATGTCCTGCATGTGGCATGTGCCTTCCTGAGCTGCAAATGATGTCATTAAACCATAAGTTCTAATGAAGAATAATGAAGGAATATGCAGCTTATACTTTGAGACCGCCATAAGCTTGACAAAACACTGACTGTAGCATGTGCAGATGTTTGACAGGTCACTGATTTGGTGAAACTTGAAAGTTGCAGTGGTGTTATGATGTCATTATCAACTGGTGTCATTACTATCCCGATTGCTTAGATCCATGCTCATGATGTCAATCACTGGATTGCCTGGTCCAGACTTGATTACCCCTGAAGATCCAGGGTAGTATAGGTCTTCAGCAACCCGTGCTTACCCTAAGACGCGACTAACGGGATCGGGTGATCAGGTCCAGCTGACTTGGTTGATGCATGTCAACTTATCCCAAATGTGTGAATCATTACTCATGATGTGAATCACTGGATTGTCTGGTCCTGACTTGATTCTTTACAGCCCGACGTCATATAGCTGGAATATTGCTGAGTGCAGCTTCAAACAAACAAACATTAGTAGCACCTTCGTTTTTCATTGACAGTCTAATGTTTAGTCAAAAGTGTGCTCCTTATCAAATGTTGATTAGTAGAGTTAAGTGGGAAAATTTGGGGCGTTTAGGAAATGTGGGGATGGGTCTGTTTCATTTTCAGTGTGTTATGCAAACACCTGTCTGTTTTATCTCCCTTCATGATGATATGTTTCCTTTATCCCCCAGGTGAGCCGCGTCCGCCGCCAGCCAAGGAGAGTGGAGGTAGGTTGTCCTGGGTGTCGATGGAGCAGATACTGAGTTGTTTCCATTGTTCATGTTCCTTTAGAAGTTGGAGATATCCTTGAAACAGATGTATATCTGCTTCAGCATTATTATCATCAGGTTCCTCACTGAAATAATGATTGCGTTCTGAAACAACACTCACTCACTCACTCACTCACTCACTCACTCAAATAATGATTGCGTTCTGAAACAACACTCACTCACTCACTCACTCACTCACTCACTCACTCACTCCAGTAATATACAGTCAAATCTCGTTAATCTGACATTCATTAATCTGACAATCGGCTTTATCCGACACTAATGGCGGGAACGGATTAAGTCAGTGCTATTTAGACCCGTTAATCCGACACACTCCGACTCTGACACACCTAATTTGCAACGAATTACCAAAATCACTCCTTAATCAGTCTCGTTAATATTGTAACATAACAATATAAATATTTTTTATTTCGTGTTTGTATCGTTATTTATCGTGTAGTTGTCTGATTTTCGATCACGAATGTTGATATCACTTAATTGCGTTTAGCCGACATAAACATTAATCTGACATAATCTTATACAACTTATCATGTTGGATTCACTGGACTTGACTGTATACTCATCGCCAAAAGTAACGCGAATACCATACATGTTGGTTAATATTTGAAGACTTACTCATATTCAAGAGATATTAGATTGGTTCAATGCACATACGAACATACTGGTATACTGTGTGAACCGATGCTCATGAACGCATTACATGTGACGTCATAGATCCATGACTCGAGATGCACCATTTGTCTCGTGCAGGATTAGAATAAAGAATAAAGACACTCTGTGGTAACACTTGACTGGTTGTTGGTTTTGTCAATAATTGGTAACCATTGAAAACATCTCTTCTTAACATACATACTTCTTTATATGTTTCTTTGGTTCGTGTTTCTTTTGGTGATGAGTATATATTGCTACTTGTTAGGTTCAAGTTATGAGTATTGTAGCACCCATATTTGCCCTAAAAGGTGACTATGCTTGTCGTAAAAGGCGACTAACGGGATCGGGTGGTCAGACTCACTGACTTGGTCGATACATTTCATCGATCCCAATTGCGTGGATCGATGCTCATGATGTCAATCACTGGATTGTCTAGTCCAGACTTGATTATTTTACAGACCACCGTCATGTAGCTGTAATATTGCTGAGTGCGGCGTTAAACAACAAACAAACAAACAAAATTAGTGTTGTAACAGGTATAATTTAAATAGTTATTTGGTCGGCTTCTTGGGTTCAGGATCTTCGTGTTTCCATGGGTATTGTTGTAACATTTATGTCTTTTTCCGGGGGGCCCAGTCGTCTAAAGTGCCGTGATTCGCTGTGCAGAGTTGCGTCCCTTGGGCACGCCAGAAACCTATGATTGTGGGTTCGAACCCCGGTTCGCCCCGATTATGTTTCTAGGTTTGTCAGCACCATACCCGTGCTTGTGGGTTTCACAGAAGTGGTAAACGTCTGAGAACTGCATCACTTCGGGCTTTCCTCCCACATTAAGCTGACACGCCGCGATATAACTGGAATACTGTTAAAAGTATTTAGTTATTAGTATTGTAACACCCATGCTTGTTGTAAAAGGTGACTAACAGGATCGGGTGGTCATGCTCACTGACTTGGTTGATGCATGTCATCGATCCCAATTGCGTGGATTGATGCTCATAATGTCGATCACTGGATTGTCTGGTCCAGACTCGATTATTTTACAGACCACCATCATATAGCTGTAATATTGCTGAGTGCGGCGTTAAACAACAAACAAACAAAATTAGTGTTGTAACAGGTATAATTTAAATAGTTATTTGGTCGGCTTCTTGGGTTCAGGATCTTCGTGTTTCCATGGGTATTGTAACGTTTATGTCTGTTTCCAGGTGGCCAGAAGGAGCCCGAGGATGATGGCTGGACCACAGTCCGTTACTGAAGAAGCGGAGACAAATGGCATCCTTTGGAATGTGAACAGAGGACTGCAAATCCTTGTAGAAATGTGTTAATCACTGATGCAATTGGATGTTTTCCTTAACATTGTGTGGAGGAATTGGCTTTCTATTGTGGTGGTGTTTATATGACAGTCAAACAAATTCTTTCACAATTGACAAAATATTTAACTCTGCATCTCAAATGTTTCTGATTGTATAAATGACCAGTCAAGTAACTTTACCTTCATCAAAATGTATCCTTGCATAAATATACGATGTATTGTATTCAGTGCTAAGTTCTATTGCTGAGTTTCTCCTCTGTACTGATTCTGACTTTATGAATTAGGATTGTATGTTGTCCATACTGGATTTAAAAACAAGTCATGAGCAGTTATATAAAAATTGGAAAGTATGAATAAAACTAAATAGTTGAACCTTGTTTTGTCCTAAAAGCAACAGTTTGTCCATTTGTCCAAGGACTGCCTCTGTGGAGAAGTGGATGAGCATCTGAGGAAGGTTGGTGGGTTGATCCCCGGACACATCCTACTCAAAGACGTTAAATGATAGTTGTTATTGCCCTGCCTGGCACTCAAAGGGATGACACGAGGACTTGTCGGCTTGGAGGCCGCATGCTGTGTCTGAATCGGTGATCCATATTAAACTGGTGCATGGTCAGTGGGCTAGCACTATCAAACCGGCATTACTGTGGACTAGTTGAAGAAAACATGCATGCACGTAGCTATATAAGTGCAGTTATCTTAAATCCAACGTGGAACCCCATTTTTACCTCACGTCAGCGTTTGTCCATCTGTCACATGGATTCAGGGCAACGTGTGGCCAACTCTAAAGAATGGAGAGTGTCAAAGGTGGTTGTTTATAACCTGTCAGATATTGTGTAGAGGTGACATGGTTATTGTTTGTTGTACGCCGCACTCAGCAAGATTCCAGCTATATGACGGTGGTGTGTAAATAATTGAGTCTGGACCAGACAATCCAGGGATTGACATCATGAGCATCGATCCATGCACACTGGTATGCGATGACATGCATCAACCAAGTCAGTGAGCCTGACCACCCGTTGCGTTACAACTGCAAGGCGACTACGCTTGTCATAAGAGGTGACTAACAGGACAGGAGGCTGTATACTGTGTCTGAGTGGGGTAGCCATGTAAAACTGGTGCATGGTATATCAGTAGGCTTGCACTATAAAACCGGCATTACTGTGGTCTAGTTGAAGAAAACATGCATGCGCATTGCTGTATAAGTGCAATTTTCCTGAATCCAACACAGAATCTTATTTCACCTCACGTCAGTGTTCGTCCATCTGTCACATGGATTCAGGGCAACATGTGGCCAACGCTAAAGAACGGAGAGTGTCAAAGGTGGCTTATAACCTGTCGGATATTGCGTAGAGGTGACATGGTTATTACAAAATAGCTTCAGCATTTGAGAGAAGTGAAGGGTGACAAAAACAAAAGTAAGGACACACATATGATTTGTTAAAGTTTTTGGATTATATACATTTCAGGATGTTTGTTTGTTTATTTTTAATGCCACACTCAGCAATATTGCAGCTATATGACGGCGGTCTCCGAATAATTGAGTCTGGACCAGACAATCCAGTGATTGACATCCTGAGCATTGATCCACGCAATTGGGATACAATGACATGCATCAACCAAGTAAGCGAGTGTGACCACCGATCCCATTAGTCGCCTCTTACGACAAGCAAAGTCGCATTTTACGGCAAGCATGGGTTGCTGAAGACCTATTCTACCCCGGATCTTCACTGGTCTACATTGCAGGATGAGATTAATTTCAGAGCCCTTCAAACTGAATGTTTCATCAGTCCCATGTGAAACTACTCATTATGGAAACGATGCACACATACTATGTTAAAGGGAAATACACCAATGTCTGGCAACGAAAGTAATTGATATTTGTGGCAAGATCATTTTCAAGGAAATTAAGCAACCCAAGGGTAATAACTCCAGCCAAGGCCAGATTAGTCAGAAGGATGACATCAAGAAATCATTTACAAACCACCACTCCGAGAAAAGACTGGTTGCAACAGGTTACTGGTGTAAGATTACATACCCAGACCTAGCAAATCACATGCACAGATGGGACCCGTGAAGATCCCGGTGTAGAATAGGTCTTCAGCAACCCATGCTTGTCGTAAAAGTCGACCAACGGGATCGGGTGGTCAGGCTCGCTGACTTGGTTGATGCATGTCATCGATCCCAATTGCATGGATCGATGCTCATGATATTAATCACTGGATTGCCTGTCCAGACTCGATTATTTAAAAACCGCCGTCATATACTAGGAATATTGCTGAGTGCAGCGTTAAACAACCAACCAACCAACCAACATGCACAGATGGCATTTGCTGCATGACGCCCACGTGTCCTTCCACAACATACTGCAGTGAGGTGTGGTGGTGCTGTGAACGCCAGCACTGCCACAATTAACGTTAGTTGGGCTCATGTCATGTTTCCTGACGAATCGAGGTTCACTCTGTACTTCCATGACCGAAGGAATCGAGTTTGGATAAGTCCAACTGAGATTTTTATGGGCATCAACATCATACAGCATGATCGTTCTGGGGTGGGTCGTAATGGTATGGGGTCGTTTCACAATGACTGGCACTCCTGAAGATCCGGGGTAGAACAGGTCTTCAGCAGCCCATGCTTGTCATAAGAGACAACTAAATGGATCTGGTGGTCAGGCTCGCTGACTTGGTTGATGCATGTCATCGTATCCCAATTGCATGGATGATGTCAATCACTGGATTGTCTGGTTCAAACTTGATTATTTACAGACCGCTGTCATATAGCTGGAATATTGCTGAATGCTGCGTTTAACAACAAACAAACCAACCAAAAGTATTCTTTTCTGGAGTGTTATTAAGAATCAGTTTATCTGTTCTTTATTAAGTATCCGAGGTAGAACTCTCCTGCACAGAAATTCATATTTTTTCTCTTCAACCATTTCTCTAAGCCTAAGCGGATACATGAAGCTGTAGCCCTGATGAAAGAGTCCAATGGTACTGGGGGCATCCAAGTGTCTGCCCTTCAGAAGCACACGATCTGCTTCATTGATTGTCCAGTATATGACTGACGAGAACACTGAACCATCAAACAGTGTGGACTGCTCAAATTGTACCAGCAAATCCAACACATTATTCTTCAGAACGTATGGGATGTAGACTATGTTCGTCTGATGCTGATCGGCACCATTTGTCTCAGAGATGACCTGGCTACCTGTAGACCTGAATTCAGAGGTGTGTGGGCCATGGTCAGGTGGAGCTGGCGACAAGGGTCCATGCCACACCTTGTCCACTGGCAGGGAACCCACGGACCACACATTGAGTAACGTGTCGTCCTGCACGTACAGGTAGCCATCGACTGTGTACCCCATCTCCATCGCCCTGGCCATACAGTGTCGCCTACAACACTCCCCAGTCTCCACCTCAATAAACGTCACAGGGAATCCGAGTTGACTAGGGAGGGATTCAAATGCGAGCATGTCCTGTCCGCAGTACACAGTGTTGGGAAAGTGCCAGCCATACAGTAAGTCCAACACCTGTACATGGTGGAGGGTGGTGTTGCTGATGCTTATGATGAGAAGAATGTTCGAGTACACTTTGCTGTTATGAATAGTGTGAAAAGAAACATTAAATTTCACATTGGGGCAGAATTTCATCATCCGGTTCAAATAGCTGTATTCAAATGCTCGACCCGTATTAGTTGATAATTTTAAGGGCGGTGTCTGTTCATGGGGACAGAAATGAACCTTTGTCTTCTTGAGCCTGATTGAGGTAGTCGTTGCTCTAGATGGTTCTTTGTATCCTATCTGTTTCAAGTCGTAGATCCATCTCTTGATCAAGTCGGCATCAGAGACTTTCCAAAACCCCTCCTCAGCCATTGAAACCGAGAGGTCATTGACGCACTGAAAGAAGGATAGATGCCTTCCACATTTCCACTGTTTAAGGAATGATATTAATGCATCAGTCTTATAATAGAGATCCTTCTCATCAACAGCATCTTCAAAGTCGGAGTGGGAGTTTCGTTTCTGGACCGCGTTTGGGGGGAAGAAAGCTAGGGACCCTCCTGTTTCCCACAGAAGTCTCTGAGCCCAGTACCCCCTCCAGATGTCGCACACGCGGAACCTTGTACTTGTTGGGATGAAGAGTGCCCAGAAAGCATCATAAAGAAATAACGTGTTTTGGGAGTTAAATGGCGAAAATACTCCTTCGGGAACAACGCCAGGCGGCGCCCTTCCATCAAAGGTCACATTCAATATGGGTACAGTTTTCTTCCGCATCAGTCTAGATATGGCGTCAAGGTCGGGGTCTCCGTCCACAGTGCCTTGTTGGATAGAGGGAGTCTTCCATTCGCCCAGCAAGTAGAGAATACTTTCATTTTTGCCAACAAAACTCAACGGATAGCCCCGAGGCCAGAGGGACGGCTGGCCAAAGTGTCTGTAGGGATTGAACACCTCGTCGCCATTATACATGAGTCCCTTTATCACAGGGTTGAGGATGAAGCTCTTGAGTGAGTCCGTGAGTCTGTTGTCATCGTCAGTTTCATAGATAACCTTTGCTCCATTAGCAATGGCATACAAATAGCCAGCGTTCTTTCTGGCGTAGCTACTCTCTGGGAGGAAGTGCACAGTGGTCAGATGGAGACTTTGCTGGTCTTCTAAGCTTAAGTACACACACTTGGGGTAACTGTAATAAAAACAAAGATATTCACGAAAACATTCAGGTTAGCCCAAAATACAGTAAACTACGGTTATAACGAACTCAAAGGGACCACTAATTTTAGTTCGCAATAACCGTAGTTAGTTATAAGCATATAAACGGCAAATAGACATCAAATGGCTGGGACTAAAGAATAAGTTCGTTTAAGCATGTTCGTTATAAACGTAGTTTACTGAATATGTTCTTTTATATCTCTGATTGTTCAAATCCTGCCTTTGTTGATATATTTTGTTACGTACGATGCAGTCGCAACTCGGATTCTTGTTGCTTTTGTTGTGATTCAGACGTTTTGTGTAGCGTTCGGTTATTGCGTTCGGTTATTAGAATTTGAGTGACCTGAGTCAAGACATAGTTGACTAGTGTTAATCAAGGACAACTTAGGACAGTACCCGAAATAAGACGCAGAAAGTGACGTAGATCTGTACCACCTGTTTGTGAAACCCACGAACACGGGTAGGGTGCTGACAAACCTAGAAACAAGCTGGGAGAACCGGACACTGAAGATCAACGCACGTTACTGAAGATCAACAATATATATATGATGCGCCAGAAAGTAACTAGTCTCGATTTTGCACGAGAGTCAAGGCAAAATAGGGGTAAAAATAATATGAATGAATCACTGAAAATCAGTGTCACCAGGTGTTCGTGAATAAGGTAAGCATGTCCTGCTCTACCAGTATCATCGCCTTTCTCCCAATGTACGTACTCTCTTTACTAAAGCATTCGTGACCAACTCTTGTTATTCCGGGACAAGCCGAAAAGCGACTCGTGCCCCTCTCATGGCCATTTTTGCGACCGGGTTCCGTCTTAGCGCAAACGGGCATACCTAAAACAATTGTCAACTCGTTGCGTAATGGTTCATGTATATTTCCCCATATATTATATATATTTTAAATGCAATTTAAAGCACATCGGGACATGCGGAATTAAACAGTATGATTGAACACATTTAACTGTGTCTTGGGTTTATTTTTAGATGTAAGACATATGTAAAATCAAAATGTATTTCGGAGGGATTCTTTGCCGCAGAACTTGAAATCATACGCGCATTCTGATTGGTTTGTCGTATTTTCGCGCATAACATTCATCGATAGAGGGACGAGTCTTCTTGCAGGTTATGGAAAGGGGCGAGCGGTGACGAATGTTACTAAAGATGACAACTAGCTCAAGCTAAATACTCACTACCAGTCACGCGGTGTTTTCCTGTCGCCGACAACGACGACCGTCCACCCAGGCAGCGTGGACAGGTACTTGATATCCTCCGTGGGAGGAAAGATAGTTGTGACGATGATCCATCTGTCCTGGCTTCTTTGGTTCAGAGGGACCCCCGATCCACGCTCCCCCCTCGCAGCACCCTTAACTGTGTTTCCCGGCTTCCGTTCCTCCCACAAGGAAGACCCGGATGTTGTGGTGCTGCTTAATTCTCTGCCAGGATGTTCGGAACGCTCCATGTATTTCCGGAAGTGGTCAACTGGGCTTTGTCTGTTGGTTAACCAACGATGGTTGTAGGATATGGTTATGTCAAAAGTAAGTTTGTAAAATTGTAATTAAAATCGCCAAAACCTTTTGCGTATTCATAAGAAATCACTGCAAAAGCAGGGGATGATGTACGGGTGGCCCAGTCGTCTAAAGCGCCGCGTTTCGCTGTTCAGAGTTGCGTCCCTTGGGCACGCCAGAAACCTATGATTTTGGATTCGAATCCCGGTTCGCCCCGATTATGTTTCTAGTTTTGTCAGCACCATACCCGTGCTCGTGTGTTTCGCCGAAGTGGTAAACGTCTGAGACATGCATCACTTCGGGCCTTCCTCCCACGTTTAGCTGGCACGCCGTGCTATAACTGGAATACTGTTAAAAGCGGCGTTAAACCCCACTCACTCACTCACTCACCTGAACAAACACGAAAACATTTGGTACAAGTCAAAATGGGGAATTGCAATGGACATAATTTTGGTCCCTGATGAATAACATATGAAAATGGCCGCCACATTTCCACTACGACACCGCCTCCCTGGTCTAGTGGTAGAGCGGAGAGCGATAGGTCCGGGGCTCGATTCCCGGCCGCGTAATACCAAAAGAAGTTAAAATATAGCACTTGTTGTTACCCTGCCTGACGCAGTAAGGGGATAAAACAAGGACTGGTCGGCTCTTTGTACACTTCAGATAACATTGCTTTCAATTTGGACAGATTGTCTTTCATCTTGGAGTGAGTGAGTGAGTATGGTTTTTACGCCGCTTTTAGCAATATTCCAGCAATATCACGGCGGGGGACACCAGAAATGCGCTTCACCCATTGTACCCATGTGGGGAATCGAACCCGGGTCTTCTGCGTGACGAGCGAACGCTTTAACCACTAGGCTACCCGACCGCCCCTTTCATCTTGGAAGACAGAGATGTAAGTGTATTATCCGGGTCATTACGTGTGACAGATGCTTCCTGGATCAAGGAATATGCGTCGTGTTGGATAGTGGCGTGGACAAATCAAAATGTTTTGCAATAATTAATACGTTACGGAGATTACACAAATGCAAGTAAATCTTATGAGTTTTTGAGAATAAGCATGGTATTAATTACACGTGCCTCCGAAACCTCTGTAATATACAGAAAGTCCCTCCTTGACTGTTTAGAGGAATATGGTGAATCTCATTTGGTGGAACATTTGGTTGACCAGGAATATCTCTCTCGGCACGGATTTTATGGAACTTTGGAATCCTGGACAGAAGAGGCATTGACAAGTGTTCAGGTTTTCGAGTCAAGCCATGGTTTATATTACTGATACGTGGTTTTGGAAGATTTCTTCCTCCCAAAACATAATGTCTTTTTTATGGCATTTTTACACCAAGTCCTTTGATCAAACAATGTATGCAATGATGCTGACATGTACTGGTCAGAGGTATGCTATTCGACACAGACCGCCTCCGTGGTCTAGTGGTAGAGCGTCCGCCCGGGGAGCGGAAGGTCCGGGGTTCGATCCCCGGCCGCGTCATACCAAAAGATGTTAAAAGATGATACTTGTTGTTACCCTGTCTGGCGCTCGGCATTTAGGGGCTAAAACAAGGACTGGTCGGCTCGGAGTCAGTATACTGTGTCTGAGTGGGGTATTCATGTTGAACTGAGGCATGGTATCTCAGTGAGCTAGCACTATTAAATCGGCTTCAATCCGGACTTGTACAAGCAGCCACACAAACATACACACGTACATGCACGTCGCTATATAAGTGCAATAATCTTGGAGGCATCGTTAAACCCCATTTCACCTCACCTCACCTCAACTATTCGACACAAACTTTCCTTGGAGGGAAGCCCGACTTTGGATGACAGATAGTTGTGACAGAATGAGGTTATTCCATTTTCCTGTTGTTAAGTGTAGATGGCACCAATCCAGGCCAAGTCTTGACGGCAATTTATACTTATCAAAGTCTTGTGTGAATTGTAAATAACATCACTCAAGTCCCAGTTTTACAGGCAAGTTATACGTATCCAAGTCTTGTGTAAATTGTACATTTCACCAATCGTTTACTAGTCCTGCGCCATGACTGTGGAATATATATACATACTAAAAGCCTAGGCAAGTCTAGATCCAACTAAACCAAGTCTAGTTTCCTTGATTCCACACACAGCAGCGCAGGAAAGGCTCTTTTGAAAAAAGACAATTATTTTAAAGAAATGTTTCAGTCTAATCTTTTACCCGGGATAACTTTAATTTACCCCAATCTGAACAATGTTTTAACAGTTGATAACGTTAATCTATACCTGATGTTAAATCAGGCTGCACAAATCTGCCCCTAGTGTAAGCAGTGTCATATGCCACTCTATGCCTGATGTCAGCTGTAGACAAGAATAATTTAAATGTAGACTGTTAGATCCGGTGTAGGCTATACAAGGCTATTCCTGGTGTTAACTGTAGATAACGAAACTTTATGCCTAGATTTTATTGTAGATCCGGTGTTAACTGTAGGCTATACAAGGCTATTCCTGGTGTTAACTGTAGATAACGAAACTTTATGCCTAGATTTTATTGTAGATCCGGTGTTAACTGTAGGCTATACAAGGCTATTCCTGGTGTTAACTGTAGATAACGAAACTTTATGCCTAGATTTTATTGTAGATCCGGTGTTAACTGTAGGCTATACAAGGCTATTCCTGGTGTTAACTGTAGATAATGCCTAGATTTTATTGTAGATCCGGTGTTAACTGTAGGCTATACAAGGCTATTCCTGGTGTTAACTGTAGATAACGAAACTTTATGCCTAGATTTTATTGTAGATCCGGTGTTAACTGTAGGCTATACAAGGCTGTCCCTGGTGTTAACTGTAGATAACGAAACTTTATGCCTAGATTTTATTGTAGATCCGGTGTTAACTGTAGGCTATACAAGGCTATTCCTGGTGTTAACTGTAGATAACGTTATATGCCTGGTGCATAATGTAGGCTACACACATGTGTGCCTTGTGTTAGTCTGTAGGCTATGCCAGCCTATTCCTGATATTAACCGTAGATAACTCTACTCTATGTCTGGCGTTAACTTAGAACGGCGGGTATCTGTAGGCTATACCGCAATGCGCCTTGTGTTAACTGTAGGCTACACCAGTCTACGCTGACTATCCATAATCTCACCTGGGAGGGTCTGTTGCTGATGCATTCTGGGATACCAGCCAGTTCACGTATAGGACATAAACACTAGTTGCCATGACAACTGCGATGAAGATCCGTTTGCCGTTCATGATTCCATACGATGTGGCGATCCCATATCCCTCGAGCGTTCCTCGCGTATCGGAATTACATGTAGGACGTCGCCAGTGTCAACCCGCCTCGCCTTCAATAGTGTGAAGTGACAAGCTTTCAGTGCTACTATTGTGTTGGTCCAATAGCTTTGAGTTCTCGGGTAATGTCATCAGCTGAACACACAGGACAGTGAGCCCCTTTTGTGCAGCTATTCACTGCATGTCATATACTTCAGGGCTGACATGTTGAGTGTGTGTATGTTGGTGTGTTTGTTGTTAATACAATATATTTAAGCTGTCTGGTGTGTGTGTGTGTGTGAGTAAGGTGGGGGGGGGGGGGGGGGGGGGGGGGCGGCTAGTGAAGGTACGGGTGGCCCACTCGTCTAAAGCGCCACGATTCGCTGTGCAGAGTTGCGTCCCTTGGGCACGCAAGAAACCTATATTTTGGATTCGAATCCCGGTTCGCCCCGATTATGTTTCTAGGTTTGTCAGCACCGTGCTCGTGGGTTTCACCGAAGTGGTAAACGTCTGAGACCTGTATCACTTAGGGCTTTCCTCCCACGTTAAACTCACACGTCGTGATATAACTGGAATACTGTTAAAAGCGGCGTTCAACCCAGCCCACTCACTTACTCCAGCTGTGTGGCGACATGTAAATAATCGAGTCTGAACAAGACAGGCCAGGGATAGATATGATATGTTAAAATTGAGGTGAGGTGAAATGGGGTTTAACGTCGCGTCCAAGATTACTGCACTTAAATAGCGACGTGCATGCACGTGTGTGTGTGTGTGTGTGTGTGGCTGCTTGTACCAGACTGATGCTGATTTATAGTGCTAGCAAACTGAGATACCATGCCGCAGTTTAACACAAATACCCCACTCAGACACAGTATACTGACTCCGAGCCTACCAGTCCTTGTTTAAGCGCCTTAATGCTGAGCGCCAGACAGGGTAACAACAAGTACCATATTTTAACGTCTTTTGGAATGACGCGGCCGAAGATCGAACCGTTCTTTTCGTTCTCCGGGCGGACGCTCTACTGCTAGATCACGGAGGAGGTGTGATTTGTTAGGAGAAACATGCAAAGTTTTGATATAGATACATCTTGTGCACATCACCTGTTGTGAGATACACATTGATATGATGTATGTAATATCGACAAGAACTTTTCTAATTTTGGCATACCCCACTTTCATGTTTTGTTCAAAATATCAATACGGGATTTGCTGAACATGTAATTCACCCAACCTGACCCCGGCTTGCTTCTGATATAAAGGGACCCAGAAATGTACACGCAGACACTCAAGTGACAATACTCTCCCTGATACATAAGTGACAATACTCTCCCTGATACATAAGTGACAATACTCTCACTGATACACAAGTGACAATACTCTCCCTGATACACAAGTGACAATACTCTCCCTGATACATAAATGACAATACTCTCCCTGATACACAAGTGACAATACTCTCCCTGATACATAAGTGACAATACTCTCCCTGATACACAGATGACAATACTCTCCCTGATACACAAGTGATAATACTCTCCCTGATACATAAGTGACAATACTCTCCCTGATACACAAGTGACAATACTCTCCCTGATACACAGATGACAACACTCTCCCTGATACACAAGTGACAATACTCTCCCTGATCCACAAGTGACAATACTCTCCCTGATACACAGATGACAATACTCTCCCTGATACACAGATGACAATACTCTCCCTGATACACAGATGACAATACTCTCCCTGATGCACAAGTGACAATACTCTCCCTGATACTCAAGTGACAATACTCTCCCTGTCGTGCAGATACACAAGTGACAACACTCTCCCTGATACACAGATGACGATACTCTCCCTGATACACAAGTGACAATACTCTGCCTGATACACAGATGGAAACACTCTCCCTGATACACATATGACAATACTCTCCCTCATACACAAGTGACAATACTCTCCCTGCTACACAGATGAAAATACTCTCACTGATACACAGATGACAATACTCTCCCTCATACACAAGTGGCAATACTCTCCCTGATACACAAGTGACAATACACTCCCTGATACACAGATGACAATACTCTCCCTGATACACAGATGACAATACTCTCCCTGATACACAGATGACAATACTCTCCCTGATGCACAAGTGACAATACTCTCCCTGATACTCAAGTGACAATACTCTCCCTGTCGTGCAGATACACAAGTGACAACACTCTCCCTGATACACAGATGACGATACTCTCCCTGATACACAAGTGACAATACTCTGCTGATACACAGATGGAAACACTCTCCCTGATACACATATGACAATACTCTCCCTCATACACAAGTGACAATACTCTCCCTGCTACACAGATGAAAATACTCTCACTGATACACAGATGACAATACTCTCCCTCATACACAAGTGGCAATACTCTCCCTGCTACACAGATGAAAATACTCTCACTGATACACAGATGACAATACTCTCCCTGATACTCAAGTGGCAATACTCTCCCTGATACACAGATGACAATACTCTCCCTGATACACAAGTGACAATACTCTCCCTGATACATAAGTGACAATACTCTCCCTGATACACAGATGACAATACTCTCCCTGATACACAAGTGATAATACTCTCCCTGATACATAAGTGACAATACTCTCCCTGATACACAAGTGACAATACTCTCCCTGATACACAGATGACAACACTCTCCCTGATACACAAGTGACAATACTCTCCCTGATCCACAAGTGACAATACTCTCCCTGATACACAGATGACAATACTCTCCCTGATACACAGATGACAATACTCTCCCTGATACACAGATGACAATACTCTCCCTGATGCACAAGTGACAATACTCTCCCTGATACTCAAGTGACAATACTCTCCCTGTCGTGCAGATACACAAGTGACAACACTCTCCCTGATACACAGATGACGATACTCTCCCTGATACACAAGTGACAATACTCTGCCTGATACACAGATGGAAACACTCTCCCTGATACACATATGACAATACTCTCCCTCATACACAAGTGACAATACTCTCCCTGCTACACAGATGAAAATACTCTCACTGATACACAGATGACAATACTCTCCCTCATACACAAGTGGCAATACTCTCCCTGATACACAAGTGACAATACACTCCCTGATACACAGATGACAATACTCTCCCTGATACACAGATGACAATACTCTCCCTGATACACAGATGACAATACTCTCCCTGATGCACAAGTGACAATACTCTCCCTGATACTCAAGTGACAATACTCTCCCTGTCGTGCAGATACACAAGTGACAACACTCTCCCTGATACACAGATGACGATACTCTCCCTGATACACAAGTGACAATACTCTGCTGATACACAGATGGAAACACTCTCCCTGATACACATATGACAATACTCTCCCTCATACACAAGTGACAATACTCTCCCTGCTACACAGATGAAAATACTCTCACTGATACACAGATGACAATACTCTCCCTCATACACAAGTGGCAATACTCTCCCTGCTACACAGATGAAAATACTCTCACTGATACACAGATGACAATACTCTCCCTGATACTCAAGTGGCAATACTCTCCCTGATACACAGATGACAATACTCTCCCTGATACACGAGTGACAATACTCTCCCTGATACACAAGTGACAATACTCTCCCTGATACTCAAGTGGCAATACTCTCCCTGATACACAGATGACAATACTCTCCCTGATACACGAGTGACAATACTCTCCCTGATACACAAGTGACAATACTCTCCCTGATACTCAAGTGACAATACTCTCCCTGTCATGCAGATACACAAGTGACAATACTCTCCCTGATAAATAAGTGACAATACTCTCCCTGATACACAAGTGACAATAGTCTCCCTGATACTCAGGTGACAATACTCTCCCTGATAGTCAAGTGACAATACCCTCCCAGATACACAAGTGACAATACTCTCCTTGATACTCAAGTGACAATACTCTCCTTGTCATGCAGATACACAAGTGACAATACTCTCCCTGATACACTAGTGACAATACTCTCCCTGATACATAAATGATAATACTCTCCCTGATACACTAGTGACAATACTCTCCCTGTCATGCAGATACACAGGTTACAATACTCCCCCTGATACACAAGTGACAATACTCTCCCTGGAACACAAGTGATAATACTCTCCCTCTCATGCAGATACACAAGTGACAATACTCTCCCTGATACATAAGTGACAATACTCTCCCTGATACACAAGTGACAATACTCTCCCTGATACATAAATGATAATACTCTCCCTGATACACTAGTGACAATACTCTCCCTGTCATGCAGATATACAGGTTACAATACTCCCCCTGATACACAAGTGACTATATTATGTCTCCCTTTCAAAGAGACAATACACTATTTGTTAACTTAGACAATGTTATCGCTTTTATCTCTCATTCACCTCGACAATATACTTGCTTTGATACAGACAATACACAAGAGACTTCTCTTCCAGCGTGACAATACTTTCATGAAAGCAATACTCCTTCTTTCACCAAGGCAACACTCCTCCTTTCATGAATACAATACTCTTTCTTTCACCAAGGCAATACTCTATCACCGAAACATGTGGAAAAGAGCCCCCCGTTCATGTGGACAATGGCCCCCCTTCCATGTGGACAATAACCCTCCGTTCATGTGAACAATAGTCCCCCGTTCATGTGGACAATGGCCCCCGTTCATGTGGACAATGGCCTCCCGTTCATGTGGACAATGGCCTCCCGTTCATGTGGACAATAGCCCCCCGTTCATGTGGACAATAGCCCCACGTTCATGTGGACAATGGCCTCCCGTTCATGTGGACAATGGCCTCCCTTTCATGTGGACAATAGTCCCCCGTACATGTGGACAATAGCCCCCCGTTCATGTGGACAATAGCCCCCCGTTCATGTGGACAATGGCCTCCTGTTCATGTGAACAATAGCCTCCCGTTCATGTGGACA